TAGTGATCCCAGTACCTATTTGAGGAAATACTTCATATTTGCGGTGGCCGTATTGTCTTAACAACTAAAGCCAATTATTAGTTTTCTCTTTGAAGGAACATCTCTGTGTTCTTTGAGTGCAGAACTTTAAACCCTTAACCCGTTGTTTAATGCCCAGCAAGCCAACTTTTAATGTTGACCAGTCGTTTAATCATTTCGGCCCCTCTTATTTTCTCCTTTTTCTTTCATTTTGAATCATAAACACTTGCAGGTGATCACAAGAAAGCTGCATGGATACTGAGCATGTCATAATGCACACCTTAACAAAAGAGATATACCTAAGCTAATTGTGGGGTATAGAACCTGCCAATCATATCAACTATTTTCCTTTTTCTTTTTTTGCCCAATCTTCTGTAATTCTCTTTCTTTGTAAGAGAAAACTCCGCAAAGGATAAATTCACCCGCCTTTTCCTGTATTAAATACATGTATTACCCTCTCTGTCCAGTAGGTGTCTCTCTGTACCAGATGAATCTTCCAGTCCCTTGAGATCCACTACAGAGAGCACTGTATTAGTTTTCCAGTAGATCCTTGTTAATGGTAAATGATTATTGCGTGCGAATATAAATATTTTGCTACTGGAGTATAGGATTATACCTGTTGTACACCCTTGAGGAGTAAAATTTTCTTAATTAATTATGTCGTTAATTTTTTATTTGTGTTTTATTTCAGGGAGTATCTAGGACGCCAACTGGAAAAAGAGCAAGGATCAACAACTACTACAGCAAAATCTGCAGCTGGAGTACTCGCTGGTAAGACTTCTATGTAGCTTGACTGCTTCAGAAATTAATCAAATCTTGTATCTGAAGATCATCATTTGCTGCGGTCATATTAAACACTGAGATTTTTCCTGCCTATTATTATCAATAAACGTGGGTAAATTTACTGATGTGGCAGTCCATTGACTTGTATTAGCTAAAAGCCTGCTAATTAGGAGTATGGATTTTGGTGCCTTCAACGAAGACTTGTTACCAGAAGTATTACCCTGACTCCTAACAATGAGTCAATGATGCTGACTTTTTGTATTGCATCATTTAAAATTTCTAATTGAGGTGAATCCTTTGTAATGGGTCAGTTGCGCTGGTCACATGCATGGAGTGCATTTTGATGGTTTCAGCTCATAGATTAGCAAAAAGGAATCAGTTATGTCCAGATGCTTAGTTTTTCCATCCAGTATTCATGGAAATATTGCCCTTTTAAAAACACAGTGTATGATGTCATCCACTGTGGTAGCTTACACCATGGTCCCGTCCACCTTTGATTCATCAATTAGTGATGTACACATTTGTATTGGTAGCTCTACTTAAATCATAGATGAAACCAAGGTGGAAGAAACTATAGTATGCACTACTGTGATGGACGTCATACGCCATGCTATTTGAAGAGGAATATCTCCGCTGGAATCGGACAAGAAAACTTGGGTTTTGGACAGATCTTGTCATTTTTTGCTGATCTGTAATCTGATGTCATCAAAATACAATTCTGAGACTAACGCAACTGACCCATTTAACACTTTGAATTGTGATCAAGGAGGGAAGCACGGATTTGACGAAGCTAATCGGCAATCTAGCCAAAATAGTAATTTTGATGGCCAGCTTGTAATATGCAATAATTATCTTCTCGATGGTTGTGGATTTTGAACTTGAAGAATTAATGGCTAATTAGTAATTATTGGTAGTCTCGCACATCAAGACAGCAGTGCTAAGGAAGAACGCCGCATAAACCTTCAGGCGTTGCCAAATTTCCTTTCATAAAATCCGAATTTTCTGGTAAACTTATGACAATTTTTATCCCAATTTTTTCAGATAATATTCGTAATTGCATCTACAGGTTCTGAAAATTGAAAGGAAAACTATTCATAACATTCCTCAAAAATAATCATTCTATCGAAGTAAATTTGGCAACTCTGGAATGTTCATACTGCGTTCTTCCTTAGCACGGCAGAAGAGGACAATGATTCAGTAAAGGCAGGCAGGGGCACAGAGCAGCTGAGTTCCTCAGGTTTTTTCCTAAATTCTTGAAATTGACCTTATGTTTTCTCGAGGTTCCTTGCCTCCAGTAAATATTTTTTAGCCTCTTTCTCCTCTATTTTAGTTTGTTTTCATAGATCTTTATTCAAAATGAGTATGCAGCTCAAATGAGGTTTTTAGGTTCTTGCATTTATTCCTACGTTGCAAGAAATTTTTCAGAGCTCTTAAAATGCTATCTACTTCCCTGCCTCAAAAGTAGTGAAGCAATTCTATTAATCAATCGATTATTTTGTGAAGACATTCACTAATTTCCTTTGATTTTCTTCTAGAGGTATAGATCCATCAAAGGCAGTATTGGTGTCGATACTCAATTCAAAGCTTATCAACGGCGTAAGTCCGCAATCACATATCTCGTTTGCGGTGTCTGAAAATCTCAGCCTCTATGCTATTTTTTTAAAGGAAAAAAAATTTACATCATTCCTTAAACTTTTTGCAGAATTCTCTTTGCACAGAGAAGAAAAATCACTGCAGTTTTAAGGAATTGCCGTTGAGTAGTTTTCCGTTTAAAAAATAAAGTATGACAGTAAGTCTGCGATGTCGCAAATCAAGTTATGAGATTGCCAACTTTCACCGTCGTTATGTCTTTACAACTAAAACTAAATGGAACAAAACAGAACCTCAACATTGACTCCCAAATTCAGTGTCAAAAGGGCTCCTATCTAGAAAACCAAGTACCTCAGCATCTGCTAAATTCTGTTTTTTGATACAATATTCCTCACGGCCTCTTGGGCACCGTCTCACCATCAAAAAAATCCTGATATCAATAAGATCAAGAGTATTTTATAGGGGAATATCTATAAATCTCATTCGAATAATTTTGTGAGGAGGTCAAATTGATCCTGTTCTTACATCTGGACTTAATCTATAGTAAAAATACATTTAAAAGAATGAAATAAATAGTCAAACTTCTGAAACAATAAAAAGGATTATTCCAGATCTAATAATATAGTTGATTTTAATAACATCTCGCCATCAAACTCAAACCTTCTATGTACCAGGCTCGAGAAAAGCAGGGCCAAACAGTGAATTTTTCTGTATTTTTTCTTGCAATATTAAGTAGATACTAGCTGTTCTGGGCGCGCTTCGCACGCCCGGCACGTCTAGCCGGGGGGCTGCCCCCCCTGGACCCCCGGTCACTCGCTACGCGAGTGACATTCGGCTCGCTTCGCGAGCCGATTTTGTAGTGGTTGCGAATTTTTTATCACTTTATTATGAAGATTTCATAGAAAACATTATTAAATTTTCACTCCACAATTAATTTGTAGAAAAATAATGACGGGGCAAGAGATAGACTGTATCTTGAAATGAACGGTTCCCACTTAGCAGGAACAGCCAACACCACGAGAAAGGGAACCATCTTTAGCCACTTTTTTTTTTTTACTTCTCGGAAAAAAATTACTGAAATTTTAGTTGCGCTTCCTTAAATGATAAGTATTAATTTAAATTTCCCCTTTTTACAGTGTTGTTAAAATAATAAAAAGTTACCCAGTGGGAAATTTCACTTATATTCCCGGCGGGCCTGCTACTCAAAATTTGAATAAATTTGCCGTTATTCAATTGAGCTGGGCCTATGAAATCCCACAAGCCCATTAAATTTACATCGACAGATCGGGAGTTCGTCTTATGACGCACTATGTCAAAAAACAAATTAATTGTGTCGCCAGACAACACGTCCTGCAATACGTCATCAACTGAAGCTGAAGCTGGATTCATGCTTATTTTATTGAAAATATCCTCAGAGAACAAAGGATAGGAAAAGAAATATTAGAACAGAAAGGAATAGAAAAGACAGAGAAACGCAGAAGAAATTCAAGAGAAGCACAGTATAACAGAGAAAAAAATAAAGAAAAATAACAAAGAAAACGACTTCACTAGGGTAATCTGAGCTCAGCTGCGTGTGAGCATTAGCAAGATAAAATAAAAACAGATTTAAGAAAAACACAGCAGAGAACCAAGGAAAACACGGTAAAGCAAAGAAAATGTACATTCAAATTAATAGAGAAAATTACTATCAAAGAAATTCTAATTATTCGGAAAAAAATTCGCTTGCGTAATCTATGCGTAGCTGCGTGGGAGCATGAGCAAGATTTATCATCAACTGACCGCTGGCCGCTAGGTACCCTGGTATGTACCTGGGTGGGCGAGCGACAATGCGTAAGCGGAGGCATGGTTCGATTGACTGAGGAGTGGGGAACGGTCAGACGTAGGGGAAAGGTTCAGGCTGAACCGTTCAGCACAGCGCAGCGTCAGTCACCGGGTGGGGAAGAGAGGCGGGGAGAGGGGACACTTCCCCGCGAGTGAAATAGAAAAAGGTAGAATCGCTGAAAGTCTGAATCCTTCGAAGTTTATATTAATGATGATGAAACATCCGACTGGTCTTCAAGGAGAGCTTTTGTTTCCTTGCTGATCAGGAAGATAAGATAGACAAAATAGTAAAATTTTCCGAATGATAACAGAGTGAGGCGTATCCTCCTTACACCTAAACCAGGAATTCCTCAGCTCCATTGGAAAACACGTGTGAAAAGGCCAAAAAATTATTTTTTCAGCCCTGCTTGTCTCGACCTTGGCATATTGAAATTTTAAGTTAAAAAATTCATTGCGCTTAGAAAGTCGCAAAGAATATAATATTGAATAATAATTAAAATTTAGCCAGGTCAGAATACCTTTGGTTTCCCATGCAGGGTCGCTACAGGTATCCTAATTTTTTGCTTTTGAAGCAACTTCTGTTGAATGAGTTCTAACTAATTCTCTTCTCTTCTTATTTTTAGGTAAAATATCATAAGATTTTCTGGAAGAAGTTGGCTCCCAATAGTGGAGAGGAACAAATGCTGCTGTTATTTGGTGTCAATCAATTCTGGTGCCCTTTTAATTCTTTCTTGAGAATGATTTTTCCTCAAAAGGGACTCATGCTGATATCTTGGCAACTAGTTATGTATTAAAAAAGTATGATGGTGGCACTTTCTCAACTCATTTATTGAACGTAAATTTTCCAGATTTGTTGTCTTAAAGTAAAGTCATCCATGAAGCATGAGCTACAATTCGCTTTAGCTGTAATTAAACAGTGGCATGAGGGTGTAATTAAAGCCTCTGAAAACATTGTAAATGTCTCTCCGATGAATGCTTAACTTAAGTATATGCATAAACAATTTTGTTAGTTTATGAATTGGTTGGAACTCAAACAATTTACCATTCCCCATTTCGAGTATATTTTGTCTAAATTCTATTTTAGTCTTTTCCATAAGAAAGTTCTCTAAAGTAGGTTAATTTGAAAATCTGTAGTAGCATCTTTCAACTGATAGAGACTTCTTCAAAAGTTGCTGTTTTAATAGTTGTAATATTTTCATTCTTATTAGCCTCAACTCAACTTTACAATTGACAGGGTGTGTTGGGAACAACTACAAAAATCTAATACAGCATTCATCTTTTTGCGCCATGCCAATCAGCTGTGCTTAAATATTTTATTGCTGTAAACTGCATCTTATTTGAAATTGGTCACCTCTAAGCCAGTCAAATAGGCCAGACCGAATACTAAACGCAGGAAAGTTCAGAGATGTTGTTTTTTTTTTTTTGCTGTTTTTTCCAGCCCCTGGACCCCTTAAAAACCAGTAGCTTTTCTCCACAAGCCTTAGCATTTAATCTCAAACAAAAGATCAAAGAAAAAATTTCAATAGTTTGGAACCTAAAGTCGTAAGATACTAAACCTATTTACCATAATGCTTATGAGCGGCTGATTTCACTTGATTTAAAATGACTATGTTATGAACGAGATTAATTATATTTTTTCAACAACTCTTGTGCTGTAGTATTAGTATGTAATTCTTATGTTCATTGAAAAAAAATCTCTCCATGCTCCAAGCCACTATGACAACACATAATTATTTTCCCCAAGTTCATTCCATAGCAATGTCACCTATCACTGTCCTTGTTGGATCATTCTATGAGATGTTGATGATGTATTTTTGATTTGTTAAATTTTATTATTGAGGTATCATATAATATTGTTAATGTTAAATTATATGTCAAAAAATTATGCAATTTTATTTAATTTGTGTTTCCCAAATTCGATTTTTTTTTGGATGGGAGGAGGTGAGTAAAAATTGAAGAGCATTTTGTAGAAGGGTGGCTCTTCAAGGTACTATTTATTGAGGAAAATGCAATTGAAATTGTGTTGATTTTGATCACACTTAACCCTATTGGGTAACTTTAAACCGGTTAGCTTCAATCAACCTATATTGAACTGAAAATTGACAATAGTTTTAATTTTTAACTTTTTGAGCTTTTCAAAACTTGAAGCATTGGCGGATCAAGAGGGGGCGGTCACAGTGGTATGCTGCCATGCTAAGTTGAAAATCAGTAAATCCATAATTTGCTGCAAGTCCACTAATGGACCAGTTTAGAAGGTACAAATTAACACATTCTGATACATGTTGTAACAAAAATTTTACCTAGAACACGATTCACGCAACAGAAATTGATGAAACTAACTCTAATTGATCTGTTTAACATTTTTTGATGCGTTAATTCAAACCTTGCGCTCATGGAAAAATTAAAGTCTAGCTCAGACAAATTGCGCAGTAAGGGTTACTGTAACAGTCTCTGCGGTATGAAAAGACGGCAACCTTGATTTTGGCTCTTCGGCTCAGCTGTTGCACGTAGTTAACACCTAGAACAATACAAGGCAGGAAGGAACATGGCTTGATTAAGAAGCCTGCCGAAACTGTTGTGGTAGGTGTGATTTGATTCAAGTAGACCATTGTATTTCTTGTGAGCAGGGAATTCAAAATTCTTGTAACCAATGTAAACTAAAAATCGTTGTTATCTTAGTTTGGAGTTGATTTCAGTAAGTCCCTTTGTGCAAGTTGTGTTTAACAGGTTTTGGTTAAAAGCCATGTATCAGAACGCTTCAATTTTTGCCTTGTTTACTGGTCCATTACAAAATATAATTCTGCTCGTTTCGAAGAAAGTAGTCCAAGAGGTTTCCATTGACCACCTGGGATCAACTCATTTTTGATGATGACAAATGAGGGGCTTAGAGTACAAGGCACATTAGTGCAGTTTTTGCTATTTCAAAATGTACTTGTTAGAAGTTTCGAAATTTCATGGATCCTCAAGGCAGAAAGAAAGTTCAAACTGACTTTTTGATGTTTAAAAATAGGAATTTGGGAGCGAATTTTTCACAATATATGCATCGAGACCAGTTTCACTTGAAATTGTTAATATCTCAACTTTTAAAAATTGCACTAATGCGCCTTGACCTCCAAGCCCCTCAATTTCACTTCAATGCAGTAACACCAGAGAGAATTTAAATGAGGCCTTGTTCTTTATGATGATCAAGGGGAAAAGATTAACATAAAAGAATCCTAAAAAAGCTGAGTTTATATAAATGTAGGAACTTTATTTACAGGAAATTTTTTATAATTCATTATTTACAGTTGCCTCAGCTGGTTTATCACTTTAAAGCTTACCAATTTCATTCTTGAATTTAGTGATTGTTTCTTTAGCATTTTTAAGACGGTCCTTGTACTCGCTAATTTCTTGTCTAATCTTCTTTTTGGCATTTAAACTGGCAATTAAAATTTCCTACCCACCATTTTGCTCAAAAAAGGTAATTTCAGTGATTCGTAATAATAGAGGAATCCAAATGGGTAAATTAATGGTAAAAAGTGACCCCGGAACGAATTGTGCTGTTTTATGATGGTTCCGGATCTTTTAGAATACTATCTGTTCCGAAAACATTGGACATCAACTTTGTAGGTAACTATGTAGCTCACTTCAGTTAAGTGAGATCGCACGGGACGGGACCCGAGTAATTGCTGGAGTGTGGCGCGCCTTCAATCCGGCTGGCAGCAACATGCTTACACCCGTGGTCGATTAGTCGTATCACTGCGCCTGCCGTGAGTGAGTTCAAATATATCCATTCCTGCACGCGTAAGAGAGCGTATTTAGCTCCGACTGCAACATTGCAGACCTCAACTACTGTCTTATTTTTAATCATTCTTCTTACGAAAGGCAAATACAGTGTTTCTAAAGAATTTCCGCGGATTTTCTTCAGTCGCCGGAAATTTTGACGCAGTATTTTCGCTCGTTTCATACCTCATTTTGAAAAAATGAATTTAATAAACCCGATCCGAGATTCTGAATCGTTACTATTCAGGGATACACTTTCACTCAAAAGTGGTAAAAACGACGGGTAAATTAATGGAAAAAAGGGATTCCGGAACGAACTCCGCTGTTTTATGATAGCTCCGGATCTTTCATAATACTATCTGTTCTGAATACATCGGACATCAACTTTGTAGGTACATATAGGGTACGGGTAAATAACTCTTTAGTAAGATAAGAAAAATCTCAGTCATCATCTTGTGTTTACATCTAGTTCCGCGAATATTAGGGGATACTGAAAGTATTTTTTTTTTTTAAATTTAGCAACAAGCAAGCGTACTAAGTACATTGCTTTAATTTATTTTTTATTAGTAGATAATACAATACGCAGATTATCGTCTTTATTATTGTAGTATGTGCTGAAGGTTCTCTGTTCTTTCTTTGCTCAAGTTTCATCAGTGTACATCATTGTCCCTTGCTTCTTATCTGATTAGTTCTATATAATAACTATTATCATGGTGAGTACTTCCAAGTTTAATTGCTCAACAGAGTCAACAACCCTTTAGTTTAGTCGAATGAGCGTCAACATGCCTTGAACAAGCTAATATGAAACTTGCTTTCCAAGGAGCGCATGGCCAACATGAACATAGACTTACGTTATATCACAATCACATCTCCAGCTCCTTCCCTTTTTCTTGAACTTTAACAAATTAGCATACTCCTAAGAGGCTAGTTCAAGGACCATGTGATATTCAACCTACTTCTAGATGGCAGCGTTCCATCAATTCACTCTTGATTTTTTCAAGGCTAATTTGGAGGTTATGTTTCAGTGCTTTTTTCCAACTAAAATTTTTCATTGTCCGCCTCACTTTTGCGTTTTGAGAACTGCACTGCCGAAAACTTATTTTTTCACCAGCAGTGAAAGCCTGGAAATGAATCTTTAGGGCATTAAATTTTATGAAGCACTAGATAAGATGCGGTTCAGGGTTTAGGCTATGTATTGCTCGATGAAGCTTCGGTCGCTTGGCACCATTAGAAACAGGCTGAAAGAAAAATGTTGTTTTAGCAGTTCACTCTTTGAACGCAGCTCGCACTATAATGAATTGTATTGAGACTGCACTCTGACGGACGATGCGATACAGAATCTCAAGTGACAAGTAATCTGTGCAACTAGGTAAAAATATTAAGAGGAAACCTGTTGTGACATTCCAGATACTTAGTAATGCATCAATGTTGAAGTTCTGATGCGCAAGCACACACAGCAGTATTCCGGCCTGTTGCCAGTTCTTTTAACATAGTCAATAAATGTGCCCCTGCTTTTGAGGATTTATCTCACTGCTTGATTTTTTGTTGTGTGTTTACAGGATGTCTTTCTGATGATACGGCGTAAGAATCTCACAATTTTCACCGATGCTAAAGATAATACGACAGTTTTAGAATTGAAAAGGATTTTGGAAGGTGAGATTTTTTCTTTACCAAATGCTGCATTTGAGATTGTATGACTCCATTGATAGATAAGAGTAATGCAATAATGTTGGATTTTGTTTCTTAATTGAGGAGGTAGATGCAAGAAGGCTCTTATATCATAGCTTGCATCTAGAGAAAACAGCCCAGGTCTAAGGTTTCAAAATTAGAAACTGTTAATTGTTCAAATTATTTTTTAAATTAATTTTTGTAATGTTATCACTCCTCGCAAGAGCTATCAGAGCTTACTGAGAAGTATTGTCAGAAGGTGGTGCTTGCGCACAACGTTTAAAAAGGTGTCTCTGAGAGCCGTTGAAATTGAAAGTCCTATCATGAAATGGCAGTGATTTTCATCTTTGGCCAATTTTTCAGTGCCTCTAACAAGGCCTCTAAGAGCCTGAAAGTATGCACAAACTCACTGTCTTGATGACACATAAAGGTCACGCTCAGGAGTTTAAGGATGTATTACCAGCTTGTTAACACCTGTCAACTCGGTACTGCATACTGTCGTTCAAACTCTCAACATACTGTCCACCTCAAACCAATCATTTGAGGGTCATTTTGGACAGTAAGGTTACATGAGTTCTTGGAATTTGCTTCATCATGGATGTAAGTTCAACTAACCAGGCAAATTTTTTACCTTTAAAATTTGATGAAGCTGTCCTCTTTAGCATCAAAGCTATTTAACCTAGAGATAATTTTTAGAAAAGAGCTTACTAATTTTTATTTTAGGTCTTCCATGCGGAGAGAGAAAACACAAAAACTAAAAAGAGAAAAAAGTAAATTTCTTCACATTTTATTTTTTTGGTTCAAACCCTGGTAGGTATGGTTGTCAATTTACTTCTTTTAGCATACTTTATTACCTGTATCTTTTTGAAATGGACTGTACATATATTTTATTATGACTGAAACCACTCTTTTTTGCATATGATAAATTCTCCAATTCTTCAGAGGAATAGCATTTATTTTATTTTAAAAAAAAACCAAATATTGATAAAATTTACTAAAATGTAATTATGATGTTGCAGGTATTCTAAAAGTGCCGCCCTCAAGTCAGCGATTGTATGATAAGAATGTGCATGTGATGGAAGACTCAAAAACTTTGCAAGACTACGGTCTCACCTCTAGTGTTGCAAAAGCTCAGTGCCCGGCTGCACTGGGCCTAGCCTTAAAGTGAGTACAGGAATATTTTCTTTTTGTCTCTTCAAATTTTAAAAACACTTGCTTTCCTCTCAAGCCAAAAACATTATCTTTCCATTAGTGAAGTTTTTTTGTTAACAGCATACAGGGTTGGCAATTTCAAATTGATTACTTAGAGACACTTATTTTTTGGCCAAAAAAAATTGCATAAATTTTTTTTGGGTCAATTTAAAATTTGCACTGATTTAAGGAGCCGACGAATAATAAAAATTGGCAAACTATTGAAATCCATCAATTTTTCCCATATTTTGAAAGCTTCTGAGGCAATAACGTAATGTCGGAGATTTTCATGCTTTTGATTCCAAAAATGGAGGAAATTTATTTTCAGTAAAATTGATGTTTCGATGCTAATTTATAAATCGAATCAATTTTCTCTCAAAAATCAAATTGATTAATTGAAATCGATTTTTTTTTCTTTAAAAGCTGGGGTGCAGAAACTTCCAAGGGTTCCCCCAAAATAAATTTAGGTTCCCCCATTTTAAGTTTTTGCAAAATTTTGCCCGACACATAAAGTAACGCGGTTGACAGTTGGGTTCCCTCAAAACAGCGCGGTCAACAGTTTGGTTCCTCCAAAAACAGAGTGCTTGACAGTTAGGTTCCTTCAAAGTAGCGCACTCAACAGTCAAGCTCCTCCCAAACCTAAAAAAAAAAAAAAACCCTCCCAAGGTGGTTTTCCCAATTTTTTCGTCCTCACATGGGTTCCCTCATTTGTCTCGTCCTCACATGAGTTCCCCCTTTTCATGCGAACGGCCGGTCGCGTGGTTGGGAAGTTTCTGCACCCCTGGCTGCTAAGGAAAGATGCTGTTTGAACATTCTAATGTTGCCAAATTTTTCTTTATGTAACACTCATTTTGAGGAATGTTGGAATTATTTTGCCTCAAGATTTCCAGATACTGTAGATTAAATTGTGAATAAAATTCTTTGAAAAATGGGAAGAAAAATATAGACACGTTTCTCTGAAAATTTGTATTTCACTGAAAAAAATTTGACATTGCCCAAAGGTTCATACAGTGTTTTCCATCAGCACAGCAGTATTTGTATCATTAGCTCTTGAGAAAATTAGGCTGAACTTGAATCATCATGTAGCCTGGTTGTACAAAGTGGCCATGGAAAGTTTTTTTGATGACTGTACGTAGAAAAATAATGTTTCCAAGTAAAGGGTTGGTTAAGAAAAAAAAAAAAACCCCAAATTTTGTGGGCTTACAACCAAACATTTAAAAGTGCCAAGTAGTTTAATTTTCTGTTAAAAATATAAAATATGATGGCAAATTAGGCAACGTAAAATGCAGTTAGAATTTACACTCAATTTTTTGTTTTTTTTTTATCTGAGAGAGTTCAAAGAGCTAATTTTGCAGTATCTTTTATAATTTTTTCCTGATGGGGAAAATTGTATATAAGAATAGATTATAAAGTGAAAAAATGCAATGCCCAGTGACATCATCTGGCAGCATTTCACATTTAAACTCATGTATTTCAGCAGATTTGATCATTTTATTTCACCTCCTCCAATAATTATTCAATTTTTTAAACCAAGGGTACCCTTATGTTCAGTTCACTCATTTTTCGTAGTTTCCCTTTAAACACAAGATTCGTCTGAATTCCAGACACCTGCAAATTCTTCATTCTAATTTGTGAATTTAGAGGTTACAATAATCATCTTTATCTTTTCCAGAGGGGACGATGGTGAGTTTGAAACGTTCGATCTAACACCATACTCGGCCCCGCCAGATTTGCCTTACGTGATGAAAATCCAACCAACTGGAGCTGAGCAGTCGGAGTAATACTTTCCCAAGGAGCAACTCCATCTAAAAACTGCATGCAAGGATAGTGTAACACCTTCTAATCTACTCAGTAATCAGTTATAATCCTATAATCATCATCCAATTGCGTGCATAGAGATACACTTGCTCCATTGTTAGAGAAATCAGGCGATTCAGTTGTCATATTGGACAGAACCTCATTTGAATGTCCCTAAGTCTATCACAAAACTTCTCATTCTCAACTAAAGCCTGCCAGAAGCCCATGTATTTTCAATAAAGGGATACTTCCTTCAACTTTTCATTTGGACCTTAGCAGAAAGTAACCAAGCCACATCAGCTATTGCCAAATTTAACCGGACAATACAATTTTTTACGAGAGAACGTTTGTGCGGATTCCTTTAAAATTTTTAAGGAATTTTCTTCAAATCATAGAGAATTTTCACTGCAATTTGCAGGAAAATCCGCAGAACCGTTTTCATGTAAAAAATTAAATTGCCCAATTAAATTTGGCAATAGCTGATTGGTTCCTTTCTCTTTAACGCGGTCCATTTGTTCTTGAGCTAACTTGCTTAAATTCGGGCTTTTGACTTTTGAATTGCATAGTTTGTCAAATACTAATGTACGTAGGAGTCTTTTGCCTTCAATGACAGGATTTTTCCATCTGAGTGTTGCAAAAAAATGGCAATATCTTGGTTGGCTTTTTTTTTTTATTTTCCGCGTAAATTTTGAACGTTTGCCTTTTACTCTCCTTGGGAATGAGCTGTGACTTCAGAGAATCTTTAATGTTGATTTTTATCAATTAGTATTTTATTTCCTGACTAATTTCTCTCAGTTTTAAGAAAATATTTTTTCATGCCTTCCTTCTCTTCAATCTCCTTATTTTCATTCAACAAGTGTTTTTTCATTTTTTTATCACCTCTTCAAGTGGCAAAATAATCGTATCAAAAGCGAAGCAGTCCCCTAAAAATTTTTCTTGTCCGTTATTTTTTCATCATTTTTTTACTCTGACTCCGATTTTTTAGTCCAGCCTAACTTTAACAAAAGTAATCTCATTTGTCCACTAGTTTTGTCTATGCTTTAGAAATTTCCTTGCAATGCGCAGTTGACAATATGAGTTTTTCTTATCCAGAATATTTCAAATAATTCGGATCCCCTCCATCCGTTCCCCTTAATTTTAATTTGCGTCCTGAGTATGCGGGATTTAGGTGTTTCTTTCTTTAATTTTGACCCCTTTCTCTTCTATAAATCGTGTAAAAATAGGTGTAAATATTTTGATATGTAGGTATTTAAAATTTTTCAAAATGATCCTTGTCAAATTATATCTTGTCACTTCTCGGTTGAAGTAGTTCCTCTCTAGTCTGGGGTTTTTCTAAGTAATTCGAATGGCAAGGACCTCAATGAGCAGGGACATTAATTATTAACTTTTGAGGTTCTAGCAATTACAGGCTGGTGTCTCAATTTCTTATCTAATTTTGCGTCACTGCATATATTTTAGAGCCCAAGCCTCGCTTTCTTTTTAATTCTTTTGGTAAAAAAAAAAAATGGTCACTCTCTGTTCTCTGTAAATAACTCTTGCTTGGTTTTGCTCCATCCATTTACCATTTCTCACAAGCTTTCTTGTGCGTTATGTTTGATGTTGTTTTGATTTTTATGTAATACCTATTCAAGAAGAGCTTTTACTAGCATTATTCATGAAATTTGGCTTGAAAAATTGTGCGAACATCTAGTATTATCATTAAAACTGTAAAAATCTAAGGAACGTTAACCCTTAGCAGCAACTTTAGTAATTGATTCACGTGCTTGGTAGCGTTAATTTTATCGACAAAAAATCATGAAGGTCTTTGGGGTCATTCAAAAATCAGGAACTCTTTTGAAGAGCTTGGACCAATAGCCTGCATCTGTAACATGTCATACCGATGGTTTTTATACTTTAGCTATTTCATGAACGATGTTTATCAAAGTTCTAACACAGCTAATGTAGGATGAGTAAAACAAAACAAAAATCCTGGGTGTCTACAGGGGTGGAAAATTGAAAAAATTCAAAGGGAAAATCTCCACAAATTTTATGAAGAAGCTTTAAATTTTGAGTTTTTGAATTCATTGTAATGAAAATTCTAAGGAAGTATAACTTAAACACAGAAAACTGAGCTCTTTTGGGCGAATTTTAAAATTGCACTGGTTATTTGAGGAATGGCGTGGCTGCCGAATTTTCAGACATTGAGCTTTTGACAGAATACTATTAATTGAGAGTGGATGAATCTCACCGCTCATAGTACTGCTAAAACTGGCAGTCCTGAGCTGTTTTGTGTAAAAGGGTGTATCGACCAGAATTGTAAAAGAATGTATTTCTTGCACAATTTCTCTGATCCTCTCGTGTGACAGTGGTCTTCTTGCAGATGGCATGTAGAATATTGGTCAATTTCTCAAACATAGGTATTTAAAATTGCTGAGGAAATAAAGTTCTTTCATGTTTTCTTAAATTTGACTTCCGGCAGTTACACCCTTCCCCAAATAACCTGCTCATCAGAAATCGCCCTTAATTTAGAAAAGCCAAAGAGTTCCCCCCTCCCCCCCCCATATTTGAAGACACCATGTATGCAAATATGTCATTTTGTTGGAGAAGTATTTGAGATAGTATACAGGGTGATCCAAAAGTTTCACACCACCAGGACCAGGCATCACTCTTGTAACTTCTGAAAAAAATTAAGATGGAGACTTGAATTTTTGTAAGTGCTCTCAGGTCAAAAGAAACTACTATGCATTTTTTTGCCTGTTTTGTGCATTTCTTTGAGGAATTAAGTTGTCATCATCACTATTACTTGTGGGACTCTCCAAAATTCCAAGGAGATCTCCGTGAAAAAGGGCAAGAACAATGATCTTTGTAGGGGTGGTGAGGTACTTTTGGGTTACTCTGCATGAAGGAGCAGAGGAGCAGGTAGAAACATTGCAAAAACTTCAAGTAGATTCAATAATATTTTCCTGCACTTTCGACTGGCTCCTTAGAACCAGGCATATCGAGATATTCTGATTAAAGTTAGGATATTTTCTGGTGCCAGTCCGCCTCTGCTTATAGTCTTTCAACAAGTGGCGAAAGGAGCCAGCATTAATCATGCATCTTGCCGCATTTTTTATCGTAGAGCAATTTACTTAACCTAATCTTCATTAGTTTGAGAATCGACAACCAAATATAATTGTAATAGCTGTTGCCTGTTAGTATTGGAAGTAACATCATGTAAAGTATTTTTAATTTGCAACACAAGAGCTTAGATTTATTATTTATGAGGTCAAACTTTAATATGAATTATTTTTTCTCTTTTTTGTACTTACAATTAGCCTTGTTCCACCCTTTTTTTATTTTTGAAAGTGCGTGTGTAAATTCGTTTTAATAATGTGGGAAGTCCTAGGTGGTGATGTTTCGTATTGAAATTGGAAAGAGACTTTTTTTCTTGTAGAAACCAATTTTTGTGCCTAAGATTTCAATTATTCCTCCAGACTTGAGATTGATTTTGGTCAACACATACAATTTTGGTCTCCTCTTTTCTTTAATAGCTCATGAAGAAAATTCACAAACTCCAACACTCAAAAAAGGCATTCAATTTTGGATTGGGAATCTCTTGTTCTAATCCCACCTTAAGAATTATTTCAAAACTTCTTTATTCCAAAATAGGAAAGGCAAGTTTACATGAGAGTTATGCTAACATAATTACTTTTCTGCTTAAGCCCATTAAGGTCCTTAGTTAGAACAAATTTTTTATTTTCCTTCAATTTGGATTTGGGCATTCAATTTCTTTGTGCTCAAAAAGCAATTATTTTGTTTCTTTATTTATTTCTTCTTGATTATTCTAAGTGTATAATTCGCAAGGTTAAAAGCTTTTCTCTCCAAGAAATTTTCATTCCTGTCCCATTGAAAAACCATGTATCCATGTACTGTCTGGTCTTACGAAAAATGCCGCAACAATATTCTCACTGTGCATTAAGAGCAGAATAGATTATCCCAACGGGCCCCACAGATCCAATAGAAACTCCCAAACCACGTATCTATTTGCGACATTGCAGGCAACTTTATTTTTTAAAAACAAAACTACTCAACATTCACTCTTTAAAATTTTCGTGATTTTTCTGCTCTGTGAAAAGCTCACGCAATGATATTGATTCGCTCTCAGAAAAAAAAGAATCATATGAGCGGAGATTTTTAAACACCGCAAACGAAATACATGGTTTGGGGGTTTTACTGTTGTTCTGCACTGCATACAAACGGGTCAAGGTATACTTTCCTAAAGCGCGAGTCCATTATTAAAATGGCAGCTGGGTGGAAGCTTCTCAGCTAGGAATGCAGCCTTTTTGGCGTTGAGGTACTTCATCTAAAGCAGGAGCCATTTGAATTAAGAGGAACACTTATTGTGGAAAAGAGAGTTCCCACTCTCTTTCGTTTTAATTAGTGAATTGTGTGTCAGACACAGGCTAGTACAGTACATTAATCGCAGATTATGCAATGGGCATTTTATTTAGCCAGTGAATCACTTTATCTTTAAAGCAGATTTTGTAAAATTAATTTCTAGTTTTTAAAGGCACTATTATTTGTCCTTTAGACTCAAAAAAGCTAGTCGTAATTTAAACAATCCGTCACAAATGAAGTAATTAGATGAACTTAGACTATTAACTAAAAGAAGTAATTTTACTGCGAAGTTTCTCTAAAACTTTATTCAACGTCTCAAGGGTAACAGTTCTGAGCCTAAATTTTGTCGGCTGGAAATCAGGATAATATAACCTTAAATTTTGAGTGAAGCTGCATTTAATTTTTCTATCATGGATTGAAACTGTGATAACAGTCAGTTCATTTCATTAAATTAACTTAATTTCGCTTATCAGTTTCCAAAGAAGAAACAGGAGTTCATAACCTCATCAGGTAGAGGTCTCTTAGAGCTCTAGTTCTATTGTTATTAGGCTGGCCCACCTGTAAATTTTCGACAGAGGAAATTATTGATCAGCAATCAATTAACCGTGGTAAATATGCTCACAGCTTTTGGCAGAAAAATTTTTACAGCTGGCAAATCTCGGGCTCTGCTGAGAAGTAGTTTTAATTTTAATTCGACTTCATTTTTATTTTTTTTGTTTTTGACAATTGCGGTCTGAAATTTTCTCATGATATTTAATTGCAAATGCAGTCAGACCAAGTTTTTTATTTTTCTTTGGTTTAATTTTTTATTTCCATGTTAAACATCTTTCGTCCTTTTCTGTTGAATGTGCCTGTAAGGTGTGTCAATTCTTTCATGACTGATAACACTGAAAAGCCACTTTGAAATTATACATGTTTCCTTTGAATTTTTTGAGGTCAGACCGAAAATCTAAAAGAATATTGTTACATACCGGTTTGGAAGTGAAGAAGTTATGACAAATTTCACTTTGCTCATCTGCATGTCGAATGTCAATGAATTATTTTGAAACTTTTTTTCCTCTTTTGTTATGTGTCTTTCAAACTATTATTTATGAATCAATAGAAATGTCAAAATGAGCCAGTGTTATTGAAAAATAAACATTTTTACCTGAAAAAAAAATCATAAGTTTTTCTCGAAAAAGTTTGTACCTCATACTCGTATCTCTCCCCTTGCGAAAAATGGTAACATCAGTTGTATTGCAGAATGAATGACGAAAACAGGTATTCCACCTTTACTTTGACAAATCAATGCAAAAGAATAAAAAAAATTGCTTACCCAGAGATTTCATGACAGAAAGACTTTTTCCTCTGAAAATATGTTCAATTGGAGGCTTTAAGTGCAGAGCTCATCCTTCACTCAAACATAATTTTGTGAAGTTTTCTTGTTAAAATTTATTTTTGATTTTTTCCGTCAATTCAATCCTAGCGGTAGAAATCCTGCGAAAAATGTGTCAAACAGTTCTATTCCTGCTTAAAAAAACCTAATGTAGCACAATATTCAAATTTGCCAAAAAAGCTCTAAAACTGTACCTTGTGGGTGGTTTTTGCACTCAACGCTATGCCCTACCTTAAGTGCCAGGAACATTAACAGAAAAAAGACCAGCATCTCAATGGGCAACTAGACAAGGTATAACATGATTATATATATCGACGGTGTAAGTCGGCAATCACATAACTCGGTTTGCGACATCGCACATTTCCTGTCATACTTTATTTTTTAAACGGAAAACGGCAATTCTTTAAAACTGTCGTGATTTTTCTCTTCTGTGCGAAGAAAATTCTGCAAAAACTTTAAGGAAATGATGTCTTTTTGTTCTCCTTAAAAAAATAACATACAGGCAGAGATTTTCAGACACCGCAAACAAGTTATGTGATTGCCGACTTACACCGTCGATATGTATATAGCACAACATGCCATGATTCTTCCTCAAAATTTCAGAAGGAAAACAAATTTAACCATTAGCGGATCCAGGAAGTTGGCAACATTGTCTTTCCTCCATACAAACCTATGGAAATTCATCGATTCTTGGAGGGGCCAGGTGGTCCCTCAAGAATCGATTATTTACCATAGGTTTAAAGCAAGGAAATTCAGGGTTGCCAAATTGCTGGATCCGCCTCTGAATTTTACAACGGGAAGTTAGAAAATCAACCCCCAAACGAGTTATAAGTAATAGGTGTTTACAATTAATAGTGGCACAGAATATATAGGCTACACCAACAGAAGGCTCACTCCCAGCGTATCTCGGTCGAAGAAGAAGAACACACCTAGAAAGCATTGTTTACATTTTGCCTTTAGTCCGGAGCTCGGACGACCTTTAACGCTGTCGGTTTGTTTGGCGAAACACGCTCCTTTCTACCCCATTTTCTACCTGAACGCATTCACATGGCAACGTTGCAGAGCCGCTGGAAAGTACAAAACGCATTACATTGGAGTGAACGGGAGTGAACCTTCTGTTGGTGAAGCCTATATATTATGTGAAAGTGGTTAAACGAGGTAACGAGATTAAATGGCTAAAATACAAATAATGTCATTTGAATAATCAAGCTTCCATTTGATCTGTCCTAAAATGCTTGATAATATCTCGTTCAGGAGTTGGTTTTTGAGTTTCCAGTTGCGTACATCGTTTTCTATGTAAGATTTTTAAGAGGAAACATGCAATGAGCTCTTCCAGTTCAGACCTTGTTCTGTCTCCCATCACTTCGCAATTACGCTGGTTTGCCCTGCAAGATCAGCCAAGCCCAGCAAAGACCGCTCTGAATGTACTAATACGTAGATCTACCACAATAAAATCAAACAACAGTTAACAAAAAAATTCACTTTACTCTACCAGAGGGTAAACAAGGCCAACATCATAAAAAATAGACAATTAAAATACCTAAGCTTAAAATAATTAATCACAATAGTTTTTCAAGGTGAGTTTTGGCACGATGTTCATTGATTGGAGCTCTTGAAATAGTAGTTTGCAGGAATAGGGAAGTTTGATGTGGGACACTGAAGCGCTGCTCTGGCAGCCATGACACCTGTAACCAAAAAAAAGGAGAGAGTAGGGAAAAAGATAAAAATGTAACATGGCAATCTTGTACAAGCTTTGTATCATATTGATTTTACTCAAAGAATGAAGACCTGATTCGTAAGACTCTGAGACCAACTTGAAAGATGAATGATAGGAAATGATTAAGACTTACCATCCTGAGTAGGCCAATCTGCCACAAGATCCGCATACATCCACATCAAAGACATCACTAGAAATCATCAGTCTTTCCAGGAGCATCATACTGAAAAAAAATCAAACAAAAAATGTATTTTAAGCTTATATCTATAACCCATTATATATCATCAAATAAAAAAAAATTAGGATCGAAAGAACGAAATTAACCTGATGTCATGTTGCCCCTTTACACAAAAAAACAGTAATTTTTAATGCTGATTTTTAAAATGATTTTTGGCCTCCATAATTGAAAATTAGATATGTCTCCGCATTTACTTGTGAAATTACTCCACCTCACTTCAAAAAAATTGTGACCCCTCTTGAAATTTTAATCCAGTGTACAGTTGCCGCCTTCACCCTTGAAAAAAGCAAATTTCTAAATTATTTTCGATAAGTTTTGGCTTCCAGATTTGAGTGTCACGGATGTCTGGAACATTAGAGACGGTGTAAAATTAGATCATTTATTACACCTAAAACAGTGTTCGGCTCCTTTGATGGTTCTTTTCCGATGCAAAGTTTTCAAAAAGCAACGTATACATCAGTCATTATGATAACTTTTGGAAGTAAGTGCAAAACAAATCGATGGCCGAAAGTGCAAAACCACGCATTTTTATTGCGGTGTCTCAAAATTTCCACTCCTATTTTGCTTTTTCACGGAGAAACAGGCTAACTTAATAGCTTGAAATTTAAAAAGAAAACTCTGCTAACAGAGAAAAAAAATCAAGGAGGTTTTCAAGAAATTACATTCACTAACTTTCCAGAGAACAAATGAATTGCATTTTGCAATTTGGAACTATAAATTCTGGCTCATCTGAAAAAACACTTATGTGCATAGGGAAACTAATGGCACATGCGTTGTTTTTAAACCAGGCCGGAAGTTATAGTTCCGAATTGCAAAATGTAGTCCAAATGAAGTATGGACAGGAAGTCTGCAACGTCGCAAACGGAGGTACATGTTTTTGCACTTGGCCATCAAAATACATATAATATCCAAGATGGTGATGAAAGTAGCTGAATACAGCGATTTGTTATATGACTGTTTTCCGATGGAATTTCATAAAAGTAAACACGCGAACAATGGTAATTCTTCCTTGTTGGCAATACTGCTTATTCTCTATTTAGAACTGTTACAAATAATTGCTTCCAGGTAAGGCAACCAGCCTAAATCGATGATGCTCGTTTGGAATACATTTAAATTCACAATATCCAGTGTTGCCAAATTTTGAGAATCACCACTTGATGACAAGACCTTCACGAACACAGACAAATGTGAAACCTGAATTGAGCAGAAAAAACTCACCTTGCACCATAACTGATAAGACAGTCTCTCTCCATTTCACCAAGACGTAGTCCTCCATCTTTGCTGCGACCTTCTGTTGGCTGTCTTGTCAGTACAACGCGAGGACCACGAGATCTTGCGTGCATTTTATCCTGCACCATGTGCTTCAGTTTTTGATAATAAATCTGGCAGGAGAATTGAAAAAATTCAAGTGCGTCAGAGAAAGAATTTGGAAAATAACTATTTCAGTGCGTACATATTTTATACTTGGTACAGGATAAAGAATTGATTTCAGATGACAGGATTTAACTTTCTATTCGATATCTTTTTTGCCACGACACTGAAACAAAAAGAGCCCATCCACAAATCAGAGGTAATTTTTTCCGATCCTTCGACTCCTTCACCTTTTCTGGTAAGTCCACTTTCCTCCCTCCCACCCTCTTGTTGAGGTATTCGTAAAGTAGAGTTAAACTTACCTCTTAAAAGTGCCTTACATATTTGATTGACAGTCCCTAAATCAGGTTAAGCAAACACTGAAAGGGAAAAAAATGATTTTAAAAGGTTTTAAGTGCCAATGCTTTGTTTAAGAAAAAAAAAACGAAAAAAACTGACTAAAGTCCACAATTTATGCTTACCGGTCCTGAATAAATATATGCTTGGAGTGGCTCGCCCGTAATACCTGAGTAGAAAACATCTTTTCCAAGATAGTTGAAGCCGTTCGCCATTAATTCATCACATATATCTTCTACTTTGGCACCACCGAAAGCTATAAAACAGACAAAAATCAATCTGTTATTGTTCCTGATGCAAAAGTCTCTGATAACAGCCACAAATAAGTTCACAATCTGCATTAATTTATCAAGTTTGATTCACTGAGGCAACAATTGCAATTACGACAATCCGACAGATGCGAATTGAGTACTTATGTTACAACCATTTGCATGAAATTCAATTTAATAAATCAAGCTTTTGAAGCACTAAAAATGTGCTCCGAGTCTGGAAACCGTAGTGGGCCACAGGGCATTCAGCACACATGCTCTCATTGAAATGGTAATACAAGTTAAATGCATCAAAAGTGTCCAGATTCGACTTTTAAGTAAAACATTAGCAATTCTACACTCATCAATTGAAACTTCCAGCTTGCAGCCGAAAACCTTAGTATACCGACGTATACAAGACTGTGTGCTAGTTAATTAAATAATGGTTTCAGTGTTTTTAATTTTTCCTGGCAATTTTAGAGGCCCTGCATTTTAAAAAATATGGGAGATATGGAGAACTGATCTGTATTCATTCACAGGCCAAATAGCTTTGTTTTCAATGGTCGAACTGACCCAAGTTGAATTTGGTTTTGCAGGAGGTAGAAAGTTCAATTTTCTTATTGTGATGTGAACTAAAAATGCCAGTTTCTCATTTATAATGCGAGCTTAGACTTTTTAAACATGTTTGTCATGTTCTGCATGAAATTCACATGCAGATACATCCTGTAGATCTTAAACTTCTAATTAAATTTTGCATTTCTTAAACAAAATTTCATCACACACATTGTTTCTGTCTTATTCATCCAATGATTTAAGAAAACTCAATTCTCATTCTCAAATTATCATATGATCATGAAAGCAACGAAAAGTTAAACTCTGCTTATTACTCAAATTCTACTTATTACCCAGTCTAGTGGTCCATACACCATAAGCTCCGATAACGGAACACGGAACATGAATGTGAGATTCTATACCATAAGATAATGGCTCTAGACCCCACACATTTTTCATATTTCTGGTGGGAAAGACGAGCCAGCTGTCTTTACGTTTGGTCAATTTTATGAAGAAATTAATTCAAAATGAATACTGACCACAATAATCTGATGATATTTAATCAGAATGTCCACTAAAATTTCATTTTGAACTTTCTTGATATTGTAAATGAAAATTCCTGATTTTTTCCGCGAATAAATTCACACTCATTTGAATCCACGATCCAACAAATTCAATGAATAAAATTGAATAACATTTTTCACTTTTGCATGTACACACAGTTAGAATAGGCAACTTGAAGCACTCAGAATTTCCTGTTCTATGACAGATTTTCCTAATGACATCAAATTTCTGGGTATATCCGGTTTTCACTAACAGTAGACACCCTGTTTGACATGTCCCTGTTGAAAAATCTTACCTGTGCCGTACTTATACGTTCCGGTCATGAGACCAGCTTTCCCAGCTAGAAGTTCTATTAACTTGCCGACAGTCATTCTGGATGGAAACCCATGAGGATTCATAATCATATCCGGACAAATACCTTGATCATTGAATGGCATATCTTCTTGTTCAACTATTAAACCTGAATAGAGTCGACAAAAAATTATGTTAGAGCCAGAGGAGAAAGTAAAACACTGAAATGATACATATTTTGTCACTCCTCCAATATAAGGGCATATCTCCATTTCCATTTTAGTCAACTAGTCGTGTAATAAATTTAAGTTCATGTTCTGTAGGCCTCATGTTCAAAATGGAGATAAGTCTTCACGTCACGGCAGAGACAATTTAGTATTGAAAAGAGCACACTTGAGTACTTCAGTGAAATAATGCATGAAGTAACCATGGTTTTCTGAAGGTGAAACTGCAGGAACGTATATCTTGGCTTTGATCACTGTAGACTTCCAGTCATACTTTGCTCCTTAAATGGAAAAATGTTCAAATTAATTTTTTTCAAACTCTTCTGATTTTTATCCTCCGCATTTAGAAGATTCTGTGAAAATTTCAAGCAATAGCATTTGTTTAAACTCCTTGGATAATATAGAATTAAAGCAGAGCTTTTAAAACACTGCAAACGAGATAAGCATTAAGACAGTTTCACAATCATTTTGATCAAGAAGGCTGTGCACGGAAAAAGAAATCTCATTGGGTGAAGGAAAAGTAATTCTGAGCAAAAAGCAAGGAAAACGAGTTATGTCAAGTTGGATGAAAAAATTTACACTTAAATTCTCAATCAATCGTACCTACAACACCCTTCTGTCCATGACGACTGCTGAATTTATCACCAACTTCAGGTCTCCTGGTTTGTCGTAGTGAAAGTTTAATTAGGAAAGCATCATCATGATTTGAGGATACCATGACTTTTTCAACATAACTAGGAGCGGATGTTCGATAGGAGACTGGGACCTCCTTGTATTCAGGTAACGTTGCCTGAGGTGTTCCTGGACTTGCAATATTCAACAGAGGCATTGATTTGTTTACTAAGATCTGGAAAAAGAATGCATTTAATAATGCAATTTAATTTGGGAATGAAACAATGCAGATGCCAAAAATGTGACAATAAGGATAAAAAAAAAGTATGGGTAACCAAGGCAGAAATTAGATGATTTAAAAAGCCAGGATGTTTTCGGGTGCTAAAAATCCAATTATAAACCGGATAAAAACAAAATAAAAAAAAAAAAAACAGAGCAAAAGCTAAAACGTACATATTACAGCAGGGTTAACAAAATGAAACATTTGTTTACCCGGCTATAATGCGCAGGTTTCAGTTTTTGCTCCTTTTATAAAGTTTCTTTTCTTTTCATATGGTTGATAATGAGGTTGCTAGGTTCCCAAAATGTCAAATCATTTCATTTTTTGTCTTACTTTCCCTCATGGGTTGTTTTTTTTTTTTTTTTTTTTTTTTTTTATCCTTAATTTGGAAATATGGTGGTAACTCAACAGAAAGAACACTTCTTGCGATTAATTTTAATACCTGCTCATCAAGCCTCATGAAAAGTAAATTCCTTGCAGGTAAGGATAGCCCAACAAGCAGCCACTTAAAATCGAACCCAGTAATAGAATATTGTACTTCGTTTATCGTTTTTAAGGTAGTTATGGTTGCCCTTAAAGGAGACTTTAATGGTCATAAACGATAAAAAGACATCTTAAAGACAAAAAACAACTAAAAACTACCTGTGACTGAACAGTCGGTGGGAGTTTATACATCCGAAAATTTTTAATCTTGATTCCCCCACACAGTAGTGTGGCTCCAGTATTATTCTACTATCCTGTGTCTAAAAAGATAGGTGTAATTCTGTGTACCTTATTGGAGGCAGCTTTGATCATGAAAATTACCTGGCGTTCTTTGACCTGTTGACCTATTGCTGCAATACCATCACCATCGAGGATTTCATGTTTGTACGGAGGTTTTTTGGTTTCAGCATCCATTAGGGGTCCTAATATTCTATCGAAAGTTTGGTTGGGATAGTGTTTTAGAGAGCATTTAGCATTCCTGTAAACTAAGCACCGCCCAAATCCTGAAAATGAAGCATAGACTACCCTTAGTGTATGAAAATAACATTTTATTAGATCTTCTCTTAAAAGACTCAAATAGTTACAAAGCGAACGCAATATTTGAATGCAGCAATGGTACCACCACCATCATTATTAACTATTTTGAACAACACATTAAATTAAAATGTATTGTGCAGAAATTAGTCTCATAACTTTGATGGTGTATCGTCTATCTGTCATTCTTTTAGCTACAGGCTGCGCATTGTTAAACTGCTCTAAAATCTAGTATAAATTTCATAATTTGCTTCCGAAATTCTAATTCCTTGAGTGATTCTTGTGCATTTTTGTCTTAATTTTACTTTTGTTAGCATAGAAAAATATAAGACAGAACTCATCATTAAAACAATTCATACAGTCAGAGGTTAGAAAACCCTAACCACTATTACTAATAAGTCTCAGAATTTTTTAGGTTCTCAGGGTTTTTGCAAAAATTCCACCATTTTTCATGGTTTTCCATGTTTATCAACTTGCATTCTCTTGTTAGCTCAGAACAAAGCTGGGAGCGTCAAACACTCACTTGGAAACATTTCTTATCTAATCCTAATTCTTCAATCATTCACATTGCTTCAAGATCAACCTGTTGGAGTCCTGCTCTGTCACCATGACTCGTATGATGGTCAAAATGTAGATGGATATAACTTTTAAAAAAACATTTGAATAAGAGTCAGTAGAAGAACTTACCACGATCTAAAGATGCTTTGTTCATGATGATGGCATCTTCAATGTCATAGCCTGAGTAACTCATAACTGCGACGGTTGCATTTTGACCAGCAGGCAATTTATCATAGTTGATAAGTTCAATGGTCCGTGTTTTCACCATCGGTGTCTGAGGGTAAACTAGATTGTACAAAAGCGTGTCAATTCGGTTCAACTGATTGTAGGAAACGGCACCTGAAAATTGAGGATGGCAGCCTAACATTACAATCCAATAAAAAGTACTTTTTAGATCAACTGCGAAACTTATTTCAGTAAAAACCTTACTAATTTGGACGGCCTCAAAGTAAGATTTAATCTGACTTTCTCAAACTCATTTTTGCTAAAAAACACTGTACGATATTCCCTTTAATGTGGATAAAAAGTGAGTCCGACAATTTTTCAATCTTAAAGAGAGTTTAGGTGGTTTAAGATCGCACTGAGTCAGTTTTCATCTTGATGTGCCAAGGATACAAAGAGAAGGAAGGGCAAGAGAAGGGAGGACTGCAAATTTGAGCAAAAAGACTACCCATCGAATACCGAGAAATTCAGCACCAGCTAAATTTAGATATTATTTGATATGCTATCCTTCACGACGTCCTGAGCACAATGAGCTTTTGCAATTGAAATTTATGCCATAATCTTGAAAAAAGTGGGGCTGAAAAATTTATTTTTCAATAATTTTAAACGCATTATGCATTAGAAATTTTGCAATATCTGATTTCTGATCAAGGAGTTTAGCATGGTACAGATATAGAGTTTTGATAAGATTGAAATGGGATGGAATCACACTCACCCATTGCTTGTTTACCCATAGCACACTGATACGTATTTCTGGGACTCTGATTGTGATGAGGGAACGGTATGAGACCAGCGCAGACCCCCAATAAAGTAAAAGAAGCTATTTCCATGTGAGTTGTATTTATTGTAATGTTTTTCTCATCTAGGGCTATCATGCTGTTGTTTTCTTCATTTACATCCAGAAACTCAATTAGACCTGATGCAAAGAAAAAAAAAAAGACATTTAAACCAACTATGTAAGTTAAAAAATTTTGAAGTGGTAAGGCCGAGTTTAACCATTCAGTTGAGGTTCTTCTCCACGTACAAACTAGCTTCAAAGAGGCTTATCGATTACCCTGACTTGCACCGCTGATCAATAAGAGGGCCGAGAAAGAAATCATAGAGCCTCTTTGAGAGCTCCAGTTTGTGCATTAAAAAGAGCCTTCAGTGCTTCCTTCTTGGTCAGCTTGCTAGAGAGCCAAATTTCTCTCAATTTGGAGCTCAAAGTGTCTCCCTTCCTTTCTGTGTAATTATATGGTTGTTTTACACCATCATTTTCTCATCAAACAAGGTTTTAAAATTACTACTCCTTTGTTTTCTTTATCGGGAACTATGGTCACTTACTTTCTTTCTTTTTTGCCCGATGAATTTTTCCGTTGTCACTATGTACACGCTGTGTAAAAAATAGAATGTAACTGTGGGAAAATATATATTGGCCAAACAGGAAGGAGTGTGGCAACAAGGCTGAAAGAACACGTTGACTGTGCCATACTAAAAAGGAGAGGTCATTCATCGTTTGCGGATCATATAATCGACACTGACCATAAACTGGAAAATTGTTATGCGAAACTATAAAAAGTATGTCAAAAAGGCCGAAAATTAAATGTATTAGAACAAATCGAAATAATGAAAACACCTAAGGAACAGCTACTTAATTCACAAATCGAGCAACAGGTGGCACCAGTGATCGTCCCCCCCGCCCTCCTACGTGACGCAACATGGTCAGCTGATCACCGGCAAGATATCGCACTGACTGGTATCGCGACGCGTCGCCGGCGATAATACGTGGAATTTTTAACGTCGGTTTTTAGCTTCGGTTTTTGTTTTTGTTGTTAGTTTTTTATTACTTACCTGATGATGGCTTCCACTGAAGCCAAAATGGCCATCATTTAAATAGTGACAACCGAAAAATTCATCGGGCAAAAAAGAAAGAAAGTAAGTGAAGGTTTTAAAATGTTTAAAGCCGGACAAATCTCTTTGATTTCTCCTCATTTTCTTTGACTAAATTGATGAAATCTTTCTCACATTTTCGATCATCACTCTGATAACACATACACACAAAAAAAAACCCAAAAAAAATCAAAATAAAGGGGCAGTTTCTACTAATGACATAAAAGTGACTCTGAAATGTCATGAAGAGAGCCTCATCAAAATTATCCTGTACCACTAGACAAGGTGTGAGTTGAAGCACTACGCAACATACTTCCTCTTCAAAATTTCACTAGGAAAACAAAGCACACGACGTGAAGTCTATAAATTAATGCCCAAACAAGATATAAGTGTTGACGATTGACATTGATTTAATGGTAAAAATACAGGTGACATCATTGGTATTATCTAATTTTCACTTTATCAACGTTAAAAATTACTTGTCAGTATCTCGTTAGGGAGGTGATTTCCGAAGTTCTCGTTGTGTCCTTCGTTTTCTACATACAATTTTGGAAGAAGAACATGCAATGTTTTCTTCTAGTTTGGACTATATCTAAGGGCCAATTTCCAAGATCTTTCTTCTGACATATATGATAACTTTAAGGATAGAGGAGAATACTCCAGTCTTATTCACCTCCAGATTTTCAACGCCGTAAAGTTCTGAGTCCATCATTCATACCTTAACGGTTTTTTGTAACAAATACTGTTTTGCAGTTCATGAGTTTTCTACAAGGTATCCCAGTCTACAACTTTCACTGAGTCTTTTATTTCTTTCGATCCTTGTTATTGCAGCTTCCTATCTCACACTTATGACGACAGATCATTGATTTTCCTCAAAATTCTATACATGCAATTAGACGCTGGCAAACTACTTATTTTAGATTGATAAGAAGAAGTCATACCGTCATTTAGGAAATCCTGAAACCTTCTGATACCCTGATCTAGCTCATTAAGATGTTCCGCAGTGACTAGAGGTCTCCCATCTTCTACAATGATATATGGTCTGGAATTCAAAAAAAGTGAAAAAAAATGTTGAGACAAGATAGTAAAAAGTAATAAAGGCAAGAAATGAGCGCTAAGAGCCCAAAGCAAGACACACTTTTTTGCCACCTCATAATGAATAAAGAACATTTCATTTGGACAAAAAATGTATGAATTATGACACGATAAAAACCTGCAAATTTCTATCATGCAAAAACTTCTATCAATTGTTTCACCTGTTCTTGAAGATTGAACGGAAACTGTTCTGGGGGAGCACAATGAATGGTGATGATCGGAAACTGAGGTTAAAAGACAATGGAGAATTTGCAAGCAATTATTTTATCCCTTCATCCGAGAATGCTTTAAGTGTTGATTTTGCAGTATTTTTTATAATTCTCTTTTGACATGGGAAATGCTTTAAAAATAGATTAAAAAATTAGAAAATACACCACCTAGTGGCGTCATCTAGCGGTATTTTCCATTTAAACACATGTATTTTGGTCACTCGGTGTATTCCACTTAAACACGAAATTCATCAAATTTCAGACCCTTGCAAATTCTCCATTTCATGGTACTACCACTTCCCAAATTAATAGCTTTATACAAATTATACAATGAACTTGATAAATCAGTATTACAATTGTACAATTATACTCGTGGATAACAAATGACATAAGAACATTCCAGTTTAAAATATCACACCTGCAAAGTCTGCCTCCATCACAACTGATATAGACGCAGTGATGCCTATGGTGCACATACAAGGAAACAAATTCAGATATACGTCCACATCTTCTCAGCATCCTTAAAATATTCACTAGCCGCTCGTGATTCACAGTTATTCCTAATAAGTTACCTGCAAAAGACAGTAGGGGATGAGCCAATAAAATGTGAAACCTAGGTAGAGGATGTTGTTTTTTAAAGTTTTTGATACCCATAGGTAAAAGGAAATGAGGAAATCTTGGGCATGACGATTTTTTCAATGGTTTTTCCTGTTTTAGGGGTGACCAAAGGTTTCAGGACCTCGTCAAAGAAGTATGCCACTAGACAGGGTCACGACTAAAATCAAAATTTAATTGTTTTCTCTATAAGATCTTATGCAAAATAATGCACACAATGGAAAGTTGGGAAATTGACTCTTGAAGGGGATATTAACGAGTATTTCTAAGACAGATTGAATTGAAGTTGAATTACACAAAAATTGTCATTTGTATGTTTGCTGTTTGACAAATTTAAGCCCTTACATCTTGTTTAGGTGTCTATTTTCAGACAACCTGTTGAGTGATTCGTTTTTCTCATTAGACTTTGAAGAGGAAACATGATGCGTAGTGCTTCATTTCATACTTTGTCTAGTAGCCAATTCTATTAAAAAATTGATGAAACGATTGTTGTAGGGAAACTTAGTCTCACAGAGGGGTCTGAGAACCACCAAACATAGAAACCTATTTTGTAAAGCCATTTTAAACCATAAAAATATTTTAAAAAACGTTGTCGTTTTTGTGCATTAAAAAGTTTCAATTTTGTTGCTGATGATGGCCAGGCAGTGAACGGCCGAAATTTTTATTATCTTGACAAATCCGTGCATTTTTCTACCTCACTCAATATATTTTACATTTTTAACCATTCTTAGATTTCTAAACAACGACAAATAACACAATCTTTGTTCATCAAACAAGAACTAACTATCATTTGAAATAAAGTACTTGAATCCTTTTTACATACCATTTAAAAATACAATGAAGACACCGGGTTTGTAAACTTCATCCCCACTTATCAAACTGATACTTTCTACCCCTATATTGTGAGCGATCTGTGCAAGGGGGCCTTCCTCGGATTCAGTTGTAATGTGCGTCATCAAAGCAAGGTTCTTTACAAGACCGCAAGCCTGAAAAAGCCACAATGATTCAGGAAACAAAAAAAAACAAACCAAACCAAGCTGTGATCTAAATGACAAGTCGAATTTAACAGCTTGTAAATTTGCTGCGGTTAAATTTTCAACAATACACTTTTGAGGACTATAAGGTATGAAAGTTGCTTTTCAGCAGGGTGAAGTTGGTTTTTAAAACCAATTATAAATTAAAACTCTTGGATTCGACTAAAAGTCTTCATGAGAGAAATATTACAGATGAAAAGGAAATTGAATTTTTTTTTGAGGACATCTGCTGTAGTTTCTAAATTTGTTGACATTACGGCATAATCCTCCATCTTGTTGGTACACACAGAGTTTTATGAAGTTGTGTGATATTAACAGATGCTAACCCTGCGTATCTAAAAAAATCTAAGTTCAAAACATCCCAAACAATGTCAGGCATTGCTAATATTGTAGACATTCTTCCTGATTGAAAAAATACCTGAAACGCTTTCCTTCCTGAAATTTTGGTGAGAAATTTTCTCTACATTCAGACCGTAATTTGCAAGCAATGAATCATTTATCTGATCTTTATTATCATCTATTATCATTTAGTTACTGGATTTCCCTAGAATTAGAGACAGTGTACAATTTTGGCTACAGCAATGGTGTTCAGCATATTTTAAATTTTTCAAAAGGTGGAAAACTACATGAAGGATCACAATGTATCCAAAATCACAATAGAAGACTAGACAAGGTACAAAGTTAAGCATTTTGATACGTATTTCCTAACCAAAATTTCATGTAGAACTTGATTTGAACAAAAAAAATTACTGACATAAACTCCTAACTAAGATATTTAATGTTTCTTGACGCGTGAATTCAAACCTTCCGCTCATGAAAACACAATAGTCAATGTGAGTCTACTCTCTCACTAAACTTTACCATAACAATCTCTGCGATATGAAAATCTGGTAACTTCAATCATTACGCTTTGGCTCAGCTATTGCAAATTGTTTACACTTTGAACGATGAAGGGTGGGAAAGGAACAATGCTTGATTGAAAAGCCTGACAAAAATGTTGTGAGGCGCGGTTAGACACACATAGAGAATTGCGTTTCTTGTGACCGGGTAATTCAAAATTCCTGTAATCAATGTAAAATGATAACATTAATCTTACTTAGGAGTTGATTTCAGTAATTTTCAAAGCAAGAATCGTTTTCTATGTACTTGAAATTCTAATTAAGAAATTTGTATCAGAGTGCGTATCAGAATTTGTACCTTGTCTAGTGTAGTGGTCCATTCTATGAATAGCTAAAATTGATCTTTCATATCAGCAAACTTGTTCAGAATAACTAATTGCATAGATAAATAGGGTGAGCCATAAACTTTGTTTCAAACCTCTCCTTCAGGCGTATCAGACGGACAAAGCATGCCCCACTGAGAGGGCTGAAGCGATCTAGGTCCAGACACTTTTCGAGTTTTCTCAAATTGAGAGTTGACTCGAGTCATCATTCCCAAAGCTGATATATATGACAGTCTTGACAGAACTTGAGTCACACCATGCCTTTCCATTTTGAACCTCCTGATGGTCCAGTTACCCTGGAATTTTAGATGAAAGATCCATAAATTTATCCTTAAAATGGACAAGGTTTACAGCTTTCCAAAACCAAATTCAGGGATTAAGTATTCAAATAAGTAAAACTGGAGGGATCTAACAAAATCTCAAAAGCCACTGAGAACTGAAAAATGGAAGTATCCTTTTTAACCTTTATTCACTTGCCAACTGTTCTCCTTTGCTACTGATTCATAAAAAGGCAAAAAATTCTATCAACATGTTGAAGCCTTGAGGCATTGTCTAGTATTGCCTGGACCAGCATTCCAGCATTTCCTTGGTTCGGTAAGCATTTTACCTGTTGTTTCAATTCCAATGTGGTTACTCACATTGACCTCTCCCGTGGGGTCAGTGATTGTTTGAGTCCTGTATTTGCTCATGGATCACCACCAACATGGCCCCACCTGGAGAATGCACCACTGGACTTTTGTTTTTTGTTTCTTTTTCGCTGTGGCGCAGGGGAAATATTTACCCGAATACAAGTGGTAGGCAATGTGTTAAAAGCGCTATTGGACTAGTGAAGGAGTTGAAGACGATATTCTGAATGGACTCAAAAAAATAACCATATAAAATTTAGAGATTGCCAGATACATGCAACTGCATGTACCTACCTAGGTAAACTGCAGAGACTCAAGAATTTACAAGAAAGTTCAAGTATAATTTGGCAGTTTTTAGGTTTGTTACCGGTGATAAGGATGCGTTCGCGGCGACGGGTGCACCCACGAGTGTTTTAATAGTGTTTTTTAGTAAATTTTAGTAAATTTTAATAATATAGGATGTGACTTTTAGTGTTCACCAAATCGAAGTCGAAGTGGCCTGATGATGATGTGTACGTAACATTGGAATAGCTATCACCTGAAAACCGATAACAAGTGATCGGGAGAAAGGTAATATCATCAAAGTTTTTAGGTTGTCGAGAATCGTAATGGAAAAAAAGTGCTCTCATCTCAATCTCAACCATAAATGTTCCCTAACACAAAATAATTGAAAGATTAAAATTGAAAGACAAAAGCTCTTCCCTGTAGAATGATCATTTCAGCAACTCACAACAGTAAGGAGAAACTGCGATAAGACGTGAGAGGAGGAAAAACAGGGTTTGTGGCCGCATATTAAGGGTAAGGCTGGAAATTGTCCTGAATAAGTAAAAAGGAGGAGATTTTTTAAAAAAAAACATATTCTGAGAGTTTAAGAGAAGAAAATGAAACATTGATTCAGAGAAGATACTTACGGTCAAAATAGCAAGAGTAAGTTGGTTTGTAATCAGATCTTGACGCATGTGTTTGACAACATCAAACTGAGCGGCTTTTATTTTGGGAATGATTTTGTCAGCAATTGTTTTCAACTGAAACCAACAAATAGGAATGTTAGACACTAAGGTAAAGAACAACTGTGAACTGAATGTTTTAATTTCAAGAATCATCAGAATCAAAGACTGTGTTGGAGACATGTTTGTAGTCTAAAAAATTCAAACAAAAGTGAGAGTTTGCAGCGAGTTAACTTGCCTTCGGATTTTTCAACAAATTAACTTACCTCACTATTGAATCGCTTGAAAGCATCTTCAAACATGAGTGCAAGCAATGAACCTGCCAACTCTAGCCTCTTGTTTCCGTAGTAATCTCGATCGTCCAACATTTCCGGATCATCTTGGGCTTGAATAACGCGCCGAATCATCAGAGCTAGATACATTGCTTTTCCTTTGAAGTTGAAATTTTCTACCTGAAAGAGATAGGAATGGATTACGATAGGCGATTCTCATCTATATACTTTAGTTACACGGAAAAAAATTAAATGTTGCTTTAGCATTTATAATGTTAAAAAAATGTGCGAGAGGATTCAAATGCTGTTTTTACATTGAAAAAAAGCTAACTTAACTACGGCCACGGTTAAATTAACATATTCAAAAGTAAAGTTAGCATTTTTTAATGTAAAATCAGCATTTGAAACATCTCGCACATTTTTCCAGGATTATAAATGCTAAATCAACATTTTATTTTTTTCCGTGTACTTTAGCGATCGATCAATTTTGATTCACAACTTGTGCGTATCACACGGAAGATATGGATTCGATTGACATGAATCAATCAAAAAATAAAAACTGAAAAAAATCAATTTTTTTTAAAAAATGTATTTAATAAGAGAAATAATTGGAGACAGCTTTCAAAAAATAATATGGGTAACTATGCAATTTAATAAAACTATAGGTACACACCTACTTGAATGGTTTAGTTATTGAGTAGAGAACGCGCTTAATTTCGGTACGTTTTTTAAAGGGAAAGGCGGAAAATGGTTTCAAAGTCACAGAGTATCTTATACTTTTTTAAGAGACAGAAGACCTCCCTCTTGTGTAGGTAGTAAATACATTTGAAGCAACATTCAGTTTTTTTACTTTCTCGTTTTTTAAAGAAAGATGGGATGTGGCACGGGAGCAGCAATAGATAGCAAAGATCGGGATAGTCGCAACTCATAAGACGGTATGACGATGCGTGGCAACAGCTAAGACCATTCAATTTTACAAAGAGAATTTGATAGTGAGCTAGGATGAACGATGGAGTGGACGGAGATATTGAATGAGGAAGGTGACATGCCTCGACGTTACTTCCTTGATACACCAAAAAGCTTCATCTGTAAGTAAGTAGAGGGTGTTAAATGAGGAAAAGAGGGACATTACTCACCTAAAAATCTGGAAAAACATAATTTTCATCAGCAAATTATTATTGTCTTTTGCCAGACTTACTGCTTGTTGAAAGGGAACTACTGAGTGTATAATTCCACCGCTGAGAGAACATTTTTTGGCAAAAGGGCTCAATAAAAAGAAAGGGAGAGAAAGCAAGAATTTACTTACAGGTACATGAGCTAGAACAGTGGTTGCAAGAAGGTCACGGGCATCGTCAACTGGGGACTTCGGTTTGCTGCCAGCCGAAAAAAACCGTTTCTGTCTCATTTTCTTCCCGATAAAACTAAACAATGAATGAATAAGTTACAAAAGACAAGTAAAGCAGTGAGGCATTACATTTAGTATATTCACACGAAACCATGCAATCAGAATAAAAGCAGAATCGAAACATACTTAAAAATTGGCGCGATTTTTTCTACACCCAACTCAGAAATAAAACTTTCTAAATTGAGGCATTTTTCGGTAAAAGGGCGTATGAGACTTCCAATGCTGCTAAGATTGTGCGACGCAGTTTTGTACTTGTAAGTAACTTATCCGACAGTTTTTCCTCACATTTAGTGTATTGTAATATTTGTTTAGAACCTATACTTTCATCCTGAAGATGGCGTTTGCCTGATATGTGCATTGGTGGTAAGTCAACATAGTTACTGTTCTTATGTAATGAAAACATATTCCAGGCATCTAAGCCTAATTGTAATGATTTCACTTTTAAAATAGATGCAACAAGTAAACTTGCAATAAAAGAAAAAATACTCACTTTAAAGCTTGTAATTGGGTACAAACATCTTCGCACTCAACCAAAGAATGCAGAAGGCGAGACATGATTAGCGGTTCGGATCCTATCATTTGGACAATCAACTGGTCGCTTTCAAAACCCATTGCTTTGAAGACTACCATTATTGGAATATCCTGAAAAAGAGGAAAAAATAGTAAAATCTTAATTTTTTTAGCCAAGAATAATTGTATTTCTGCAGAGGACTGCAATTGCTACAGCCGCGGTAGAATAATTACTGAGAAATTTGGGAAAAGGAAACCTCAAATGTTAAGAGATACGTTAGAGAGCACTCAATTGGAGTAGACTGCACTGACAGAGAAAACGTTAAGCTAAAAGTAAGGAGGACGAAACAATTAATTAAACAGGTAAATATTTAAGTCTTTTCTTATCTTCTTACTTTTTTTCAACTGAAACTTTTTCATTAGCTTACTGAAAGCCAATAGTACACCCATAAGTCTGGGTGTATTCACATAGCTCTCCTTTTCCTAACAAATTTGACTTCAGAAACCTGAGAATATTAAGAAAGTTAGGCTATGTACAGTAACCTCCAGGTAAAATTGAAATCATACTTACATCTTGCAGTGCGTTATGACCGACATAATATTTATTTCTTTTCATGATGACTGTGGTTCGAGATTTCTTATCATGAGTGCTACTTGTGACTTGACACATGACGCCACCTTTGCGATCTTTTTCCACCAGGATTCGATTCTGGGTAATTTGCTCTTGAATCAAGATAACCTGTAGTAAAATAAAATGAACCCATTAAAAATTTATTCTGATAAAACAATACGACCCCTTTTCATCGACTAAATGCACAAATAATATTAATAGTGTTATTCCTCCGCAGAACCAATTTTTTTTTAGGGATTTCAAGACACTTATGATTTTTCCCATGCCGAAAACTAAAAAAATCAACAGTTGGCAAGCCGATCACTCCATGGCTTAACTGACTCATTAATAAAAAAGTCAACTGTTTTGTCTTGATGGGTTTTTATGGGTTGCTAAAACTAATGGACATGCGGTGAGATTGCTCACTAAAGAAAAAGTAAGACTGAGAGTAACAAATTAGTAAAGTAAATTGTAACCTTTTCTGTTCCACGAACGACAAAATAACCGCCAGGATCATGTGGACATTCGTTCATTTTTGAGAGTTCGAATTCGGTTTTTCCTGTGAGGACACAGTTTGAACTTCTCAGCATTATTGGCATTCTGGAAATGAAAGAATGAAAAGATTTAAAATGGCAATAGGGGGAGCAAAGAGGTATTTTTTCACTGGCATCAAAATTGTAATTAGCCACATGGTAATTTTAGAGTTTCAAGACTGGGATCACCAAAAAGTCGAAACTCACAGTGCTTTCGGTGCTCTGCTTCAGATGCAAATTCTTCACCTTTATTTTAAAACTCAAAAATAACAGCTTTGCATAGTAATCAAGCTAAGATAATATTTTTATGCCACAAGTGTTTTGTCGACAACAATGCTTTTGGTGAGCCTGTTTGTAGTATCCTCAGTTACGCACTCGATTTTCAATCATTCCTGGCAGATGAAGGCATGCTTTGGTTGGAGATATCTTTCAACAACTAATATCAATAGCCCATGAAAAAATTTGGCAGGTTGAAAGATGTTTTCGGAATGATTCTTGAATTGACAAGTAGAGCAGCTGTTTTTTTCCAATTCTGGCCTCATTTTTGTCATAATTCAAACAGGGTGCAAAAGCCGGGGATTCCTGAACAACTGTCAGACACAAAGTAGAGCCTGAATCTCGAGATGAGCTGTGATAAAAATCATCTGATTATTTTTACTGGATACAGAAGCGCCTCCAAAGCATTGAAAGACCTTTTCCACTGACAGATTCGCCGTAGAATTTAGAAAATGAAATTTCCTGACATTTCTCTGATTTTTCTATTACATTTTGGTAAAATTCCCTGTCAATTGGACTACGTTTTGCAATTTGAAACTAAAAATTCTAGTCCGGTTTAAAAACAACGTATGTGCCATTAATTTCCCTGTGCACATAAGTGTTTTTCCAGAAGAGCCAGAATTTATAGTTCCAAATTGCAAAATGCAGTCCAATTGAAGATATGCCAGATGGTTAAAGAGACATAATGCGAAATAGTGTTCCTGAGAAATCAGTTGTTCAAAACATCAAACCCATTTTAGAAATCAAATAAAGGTGACATATCAATTTTTCCTTTACACTTCCTGGTATTCCCAGGGATCCCTAACTTTGGCAACCCTGAAAGTATAGCCTGAATTTTAAGATAAGGAGAAATGAATATTATCTGATCCTTTTTACTGGATAAAATAGCATCTCCAGAGCATTGAGGGATCTTACCCACTACATTCTTGCAGCAAAACTTTTGACGACCCAGTTGTAGACATTTAGTTCCTTATGATGCCATTTTATTCCAGTCAAGATTCCACCCTTACAAGCGAACATGCAGCCTGCCGCATTTAACCTACCTTCCAATTAGTAAATTGTTCCGCAAGATTCTAGTGTTTCCTCGGGTATATTCGATGTCAACAGTGATAGGCGCTGAGTAAGTGAGATCTCGTATCCGACACTCGTGGGGTGTTGTGGAACGGATGATGTTAAAGCCTTCCTCGATCTCTGGTTTTCCGACATAAATGTCTTTGTACCTGCAGATCAAAATTAGCTGATCATTTGTGCAAGATTAAATGACATGTTAACTACCAAGGCTTCTTTTTTTTCCCCACTTCTAAGGGGCTGATGCCAATTCACACCTTGTCTAGTGGGATAAGTGGAATAGAAACTAAATTTGACAAAAAGTTCAAGAAAACTCGTACGTCATATTCATAATTTCATCCAAGCAGGGCAGAAATTCATAAATAGCATGAATTAAATGTTCACAATTTTATTCAGCCATGATTCTTCATCCATCCAAAAAATAGTCCAGGAACTTTAATGGCACTGATTCTAAAAGATTCATTTGGATTGAGGGGCTTGGAGAACAAAGCACGTAAGTGCGGTTTTTGCTAATTCGAGAAATACATGTTTGAAGTTTCGAAATTACATGAATCTTTACGGCAGAAAGAGAGTTCAAACTGACTTTTTGAAGCTCAAAAATTGGAATTCGGGAGCAAATTTTTCACAGAATATGCATCAAAGGAATCACTTACATTAAGGTATTTACTTTAAATCATTAATACCTCAATTTTTTCAAGAACCGCACTTATGCGCCAAGTCCTCAAAACCCCTCAATCCTCATTAAAGATGCATTTAATAAAATTACTTACTTCTAATTTTTGACAGTCAACTAAAGTATGAAAACAAAAGTTGAGCTATTAGCCGATTTTAAGCATTTAAATTTGCAGCAGAATTTTTTTTTTTTTTTTGCATTTTTATTAAAGCATGGCCTGAGTTACAATCATTGCATAGATTTGTAAAATCGGCTGATGGCTCAACTTTTGTTTTCACATTATGAGTAGCCAAAAACCAAAAAATCTTGTCAACTAAAATACATACACAGGGCTGCCACAGCTTACTTACTTGAGATAAAACAAAGGATCGACATCACTCAAAATAGTCTCGTTTGATTTGACGATTTTCTTGATTTCAACATTGATGAAATAATTGAAGGAGTCAATGTGCTGCTTCACAAGTCCTTTTACCTTCAGGAATGATGGCACTAGTTTCCACTGATTCTGAAACAGAAAAGACAGATTCATTTCATGGAGAGGGTAAAATTACTAAGCTTCGGACAACTCACAGTTGAAGATCAATGCAAGAATTTTAAGATGCCTCTTGCTAATAGTCCAACATATAGTCTACAAAATTTTAACTTAGTGCAAGAAATCATCATTGATTTGACTTCTCTGGCCCCTTAAATTTACATCATTTTTCACAATTTGTTCTACCATTCCTACTGGGCCGATTTACACAATATGCACGGCTATCAACCAGTGACAGTCCCTTAATGAGCCCGCTTTATTCATGTTTTGGAATTATCAGTCAGGTTATTTAAAATTACAAAAGGGTTGTGAATTTTGCTATGTAAACGATGTGAATGTTCACTACTTGCCACAGTCTGATCTGAAGATCTGCAGGCCAAATTTCATGATTTTTTTCGGCTATCAATAAGAGATAGTCCTGGGATAAGCCTGCTCTCTTTCGATTGACTCACGAAGCAGGTCATTAAGGGAAGAGCCTTCTGGAGGTTGAGCTGCAAAGCCCAAATGTGTGGTAAAAAAAAAGTAGGGGCCCTTCCCGAGGAGCCTTAGGATTCATTTTGGGTTGTTCTTCAACTCCGAACTCAGATTATCGAAATAACCCAGACGGGACCACAGGAAAAGAACTTCATTGATTGCATCTCTCAGAGTCAGATTAGATGATGCAAGATTTGAGCTCATGTTCATCAAAATAAAATTCTCAGCAATCCGAAGAAGTCCGAATTCGAGAAGTTGTCGATGATAAAACTGCCTCCGAGATGAGGAGAAAAGAGGATGAATAAAATACTTACCTCCAGATATGCGTGAGGAGAATCTTTGCACTGACGGTGGTTCAAGTTGCTATCGCCCATTTTTGGGGAAATAGGAGACGATTTAGAGGTGAAGCAGCTGCTAGGAAAATGGAGACTCCATTCTTAACTAAACTAATTGAGTAATTTTTGACTCAGAAGCCGAAATTACATTTTTTTGTATTAATATCACGTGGTAAAGTCACGATGCCTCCAATGTGGTAGTGCTCCGGCACGGCAATGTTTACAATTAGAAACATAACCTCAATTGGCTGTTGGCAACGATGGGACCAGATGGGAACTTGGGACATGCATCTTTCATCAATATTTACAAGAAGATTTTCAACTGGAGATAAAAAAAATCTGGCCGAGTACCTTACTTCAAATTTTAATTCTGTTTTATCTTTTGCTCTGCATATTCAGATAAGATGTGATAATTTGTCTGTTGCTATACTTTAGTGATAAGAAATTTTTTATAATTTAATCGAATATGACAACTTCCAAAGCTTCTAAAACTTTAGCGCGCATCGAAAATGATATTGAGAAGAGCAGGGAAGAAGGCAACTGGATCAAAGTTATTGAGCTTGCAGAGCAGCTGCAGAGGGTGAAACCTGGTGCAACCACTGGTATGTTGAAGCCACTTCATACTTTTAGCTCTGGGATTTTGAGTAATGCTCCTCACTGATAAGTGTAGAACTAGGTCAGGCGCATACATCACCAACCTCATACCTGCCTTCCCGTCAAGGACTCCAAAGAGCAGATGAAGAATTTCTATCCTAAAGTTCGTTCACACGGTCATTAGTTTCTACAGGATTTGAATGGTGTCGCCTTCAATGGGACGTATTTCTATCAAGCAGAACTATGTGCAGGTGGGAAAGATTGGTTGTGCTTGTTGGTGCTCGGGCCACAAGAATGAGTTATTGGCATGCCAGTTACGTAGCTGCCGCCGCGCTCCTCCCACTTCATCCTTAATTCCCATGGCTCATGGGCCGCGTTCATTTGTCTCAAAGTTCCGTTGCTGAATTGGAGAAGCGGGATTTTACAATCTGTCAAACGGAACTATGTGCATAGTGTATGAGCCAAGCATGTATCTAGAGCCTTGTAGACAGGGCTCATGAGTTAAGGACAAAGCGGGAGGAGCGCAGCGGCGGCTATGTCACTGGCACCTTATCATTTCCATTCATTCTTATGGCCCTAGTACCATGCAACGAGCACACCCCATCTTTCCCACCTGCACATTGTTCTGTTTCACAGAAATATGTCCAATTAGCTGTAGGCTTAACCTGCCTCTCCCAATAATCCGGTTGAGGTGTAAAAAGTTCAGTGTCTGCTCAAAGGAAAGTAATTTAGAAACCTCAGTCGGTCATTTGATGCAAAAACAGGACAGTATTTAGTTTACTGCTACCTACAAGACTCATACTTAAAGAAAATTTCAAATAAACTACTGTCAGCTGAAATTCACTTTGATCTGTTTCATGTATTAATCCTATCTTTTGAAAAGCACTGTTCTCCTCCGTGAAAGATCAATCCAGAGGTAGATAAGGTTTCCTGCCTTCCAAAATTTTGCGCGAGCCAAAATAGTGCTTTCAGCTAAAGTGATGACTTTCATTTTTCTTTTTAGTTGTTGACCGCTGGGAAGAAATATTTCAAATGGTAGTGAGAAGCCTTAATCAACGCTTGTTGTACCATCCTGTGCCAGACGTCGCCAAAAAAAAAAAAATAAATATGAGAGCTTTCCACAATTTTGCCACAAGCTTCGCATATTATCGACCCCTGGAATAATCATGCTCTTTATTTGTCCATATTTTACGAGGGGATTTTGAAGCAGAAGCTCGTTATTTCATTTAATTACCTCAATTACTTATCTACTTGGGGACAGGCATCTTAGTGTTTCAAAAAGTACGGCGCGTATTCCTCAATTAGAATTTGATCAAATCTAAGTATCCTCCTCTTAAGTAAGTAGTCATACTTAACATGTTAATTACTTTATTTTTGTTATTTCATAAATTTAGTTATCTAATTTTGAACTGTTGTCCTTTTATTTTCAGAGTCTTTGTGCAATTTTCTAACGGGTGAAGCCAAGCTAGAATTATATCTGCAAGATAATCCTCCGATCAAGAAAAATGTGGCGAAAGCAAAAAATCAACTAACTGATTCTAAAGATCTACTGCTTAGCGCTGCTTCAGAATTGGGGAAAAAGGTGTGTAGAATATTTGTATACTGTCAATGAAACAAGTTGTAAGTTCATGTCATGTCATGAAGCTCATCAACAGTCGACCCTCCTGGTATTATTTAATCCAAGAGAGGCAACGCAAAAATGAGAAGAAGCTTTTAATTCAACAATTATCCAAAGCCTTTGATAATAAAGAATTCTGATAATCAAGGTTTCCCTCTTTTTGGAAATTCTAAGAGCAAATACCGTGCTTTTTGTTATTTCGCACAAGTAAGATGTTTTTTAAAAGGACTTGCTGGCCAATATTTTTGCCATTTCAAAGTACAAGAAGGAACTTGCTAAATTTCATGCAAATAAAGGACCACGTATGAAAAAGGTACTAAGAAATTTGGTGCCTGCAAAATTTTGAAATTCTTTTTTCTGTAGTGTTCCTTACAGCCTCCTGAGCAAATTAAGCTTTTAAAATCTAATTTTCTCTGTGCCAATCCAGTGGAAATCGAGTGTGATAAAGGCATTTTATGGCTATTTTATACACATAATCAAGTGAGAAAATATAGGTGACAGATTAGGGAGATGAAACGATGCATTTGTCAACTCAGTTCAAAAGAAGAGGTTCTGCATCTTGGACTCAAAGTGATGTTGCTGCTTCTTTGAGGGACAGCACATATTAAATCGCTAGAAGAGGCACTTTTCAGATGGAATTTTCCCAAGATTGACTATTAGAAAGTTTAGTTCCAAAAGCTCATCTTTCTCAGGAGATCAGTTGGCTGACTAAGTGTTTGTGTTGTTGATTTCAGTTAGAGGGCACTCATGCTTAATGCAATAGAAACAGAATTCACAAACAACAACAGAAACATACAAACAGAATTCACAATACAGAGTTTTAGCATTTTATCTTATCAAGCGTTTCTGTTTTGTGCTCTTTTCAGGCTGGTGTGGCGTTAGACTCTCATCTGCTGCTTGGTAAACTTTTCTATGTGCTTGAAGATTGTGAGGCTGCCTTAGATCACTTTGATGAAGCTGATTTACAGTCTCTGACAGAGAAAACCTTGCCTGGTAGGAGTATTAGAATTGTGGCTGAATCGTATGCAATAAAAGGTATGATCCAGCAAGTATCTCAATTCGCTCTTTAGTGGCCCTACCTTCTCATAACATGTGTCAACTTTTTCCCCATTAACCTCAGTCGAAATTTTAACTTTTCCTGAAATATTATTTTTCTTCATTCATTCAGACTTTCAAAACCAAATCTCTTCCTTTTTCCAAAGTCCCGTTTTCAGTACATTCAATCCTTAATCATAGTAATTATCTATCAAAGTATGATGACTTGATTGACAAGATTGACAAGATTAGAGACAGCCGAGGTAGCATCTTTCAATAGGAATCGAGTGATTATTCTAATAACTCTGCTTCAAGATGTAAGCATCCCTCTAAATAGGCTACAAAGCCTGAATCTGAGATATTTTATTATTTATATTCTTGGTATTTATCAATTGGTGCTAAAATGGCAAAGACCAAATTAGTAGCACACGCCATTAAAGCTTACGTTGTACCTCAACACCTTAGTGGTCAATGCTTACAACATAGTTTTACAAAATTCCCATTCTTATCCTTTCCTTCTGTTTCTAACAGCTTCTACTTAAAACTAAGGGCTGTATTCATAGTTGTTCCTTAAACAGCTTCTTTCCCTAGGAGATTCATTTTGGTTTACAAGTGATGAAAAAAGATTTAAGGAAGCCCCATAAAAATAGCATCATGAAATGGAAAATTTTGCCAACCTTGAGTAAAATTCAGCATTACAACTTTAGAAATGGATCTTTGCAAGGGATGACATTAATTTACCACTACGAAAGAAAATATAATGCAAATTTTGTTAATTCTTGGGTAGGTTTGCAAGTACCTTAAATTTTTTCAAAATTAGAATTCCTCGGTTATTATTTGCATTATCATTGATCTGGTATATTTTCTCTTGTTCACAGGTTTATGTTTAGAAAAAGTGCCCCTTGCTCTTTCTTCCAAGTTCAAAGCTGCTGAAAGGGATGAGCAAATGATAGACTGTTTCAAGAAAGCTGCCGATCTTGGTCTCCTCTACTTACAAATGCATGATAAGCAGCAACAGCAGCAGCAGCAGCAGCTGTCCGTTGTTGGAAGCGGGACGGGCTCTCATTCACCGCAGCCTGCTGTGCCCCCGTTCGACATGGGTTTGATTCTAGAGACTGCACTCCAAAGAGCCCCTGTTCTATGTATCCAAAATGGGAAACTACCAGAGGCGGTAGATTGTTACCGAAGTATGATCTCTGCAGTGGAAGCCAGCGGAACTCATAGTTTGCGTGTGGTTTTAACAAGGCAGCTAGCAGAAGTGCTTCAAAGAGGTGTGCCTGGCCCATTGTACAAACCTATCTCTGATATCTCTAGCACCAAGAAAAAACCAACTGCAAGTCCTTGGAAGCCGAAGAAATACAATGGCCTTAACTTGTTCATCCCAAAGAACGAATATGAAGAAATAATTCTACTTCTGTTAATTAGTGAAGCAATGGCTGTGCGGGAGGCAGTCTTGAGTCAATCGCCCGAGTTCAAAGATGCCAGAAAGAAAGCTCTTTCGAATGCAACCTTGATATACGACTTGTTGGCTGTTACACTTGTCAAGTGGGGACAAACTCCCCTTCTCCAAGAGTCTTTGGAAAGAGCAATGAAATTCTCCTATGAGGAAGCGCATGTGTGGTTTCAATTTGGTCTCAGCCTCGATGCAAATGGCAACTACATTCATGCGTACGCCGTCCTGAAACAAGTTGCACGAATGCTCCCAAATAAAGTTCTCCCATGCTTACTTTTAGCCCGAATCTGTTATCAGCATTTAAATAGGATCAGCGATGGTATCGAATGGAGCAATGAAGCGTTAAGCAGAGAAACTGCTGAGCCTCAGAGTCTCTTGTCTCGGTGCCATTTGTTTATTGGAATTGGCGCTTATTGTTTTGCTCAGTCTAGTCACTTAAAAATAGATAAAGAGACGCATAATCTCAAAGCTTCAGAGGCATTTCTCAAGGCATTCCAGCTAGATCCAAGTGATCATCTTGCTGCATATTATATGGGATTGTTTGCTGCGAACCAAGCTCAGATTAGCGAGGCCATCACTCGAGTCAAAGTAGCTCTGAAACTTCACTCAGAGCATGCTCCGTCTTTGCATTTAATGATACTCTTACTAACAGCACAGAAACAATTACACGAAGCTTATGTTTTGCTTGAATGTGCTCTTCAAGATTTCCCTGATTGCTTGAATCTTCTCTTCGTTAAAGCTCACCTGGAACTTTATACTGTTGGGAGCGAGGTGAGCTTTTTTTTCTATTTCATTTTTGCATTCATTCTGACATATTTCTCTCAAAATAAAAAGAGACATATATGACATTTCGTCGTTTCCCTCACAAAAAAAGTCACTCCATTTCAGTGTTGCCAGATTTTTCTACACAAATTGCATTTTGACCAGGAGAATTTTAAGAATTTTTGACCAAAACTTTCACTAATTTCTCCTCTGATCCCATACAAAAATCAGACACATTTTCGACGAAAATTATGCAGGTTTATTCTCATGAAAAACTGAATTGTTTGAGTCAATTTTGCCATCTTGGAATGGAGTTGAGTTCCTTTATGCGGGTGACGAGGATTTGAGACAGAAAAAAAAACAAGTGAAAATTATGACAGTATCAATAGTAATGAACGTGATAAACTCTTTTATGCTTTTTTTATTTTACAAACAAGATTATGACATGCAAAATGATGTCATAATCCTGTATAAGTAGGTTTTTTTTGCCGAATAGACAATACTGTGGCAACTCTGAACATCCTTTTTTTTCGCAACACATTGATTGTTTTAGTCTAATTTCCGAGTGATTGTAGTTTCTTTTCCATTTTTTTTTCCAGTCACTTTTAACACTTTGTTTTTAGCTTTTCTTCTTCTTTGACAAATACTACAATTATTAAGAGGGGTCAAAATTGCCGTAATTTTCCTACACTGCTTTAAAAAATTTGGCAAGGAAAGTTTTATCTACAAAATTTGACGTATCAAAACATTTTATAGAATGCCTTCTCTAACAGTCATGGAATTCAAGTAAATTTTAAAATTTTCATGTATTAAGCTGTCTTCCTGATGAATTATTTCAAAAACCAAAGTGCAAAACCACATATCTTTATTGCAGTGTCTCAAAATTTTTGCTCCTAGTTTATTTTTTGGATGAGAAAAAAGCTATCTTCGTAGCTTGAAATTTATTCAGAATATTCTGTTCACAAGAAAAAAAAATAAGGAAAGTTTTCAAGAAATAATGTTGACCAGTTTTCCAAAGAAGAAATAAAGTATGCCAGGAACTCTCCAATGTTGCAAATTGAGCGAATTTTTCAAACTCTGGCCATCGATTTTATTCTTAACTTTCAGGAAGCTTCTCTTTCTTAATATTCCAGTCAAACTCTTCTCTTTCAATTTATCTGTTTATGTATGTGTGTTAATTTTGACTTTCAATATTTTTCATGTTTCAGGCTGCTTTACTAACAGCTAAACATATGTTGTCTCTATGGAAAGTACTCTACGAAGAGCAAACCACCCAAGAAAGCACTCAAGAAAATCGTAGTGTCCTCCAGTTATATACGAGTGAAATGTCTGACAAAGACTCAAGTAAGTCTACGTACACTTTTTTGCCTATTTTATTACTCATAGAATTAGTAGCATAAATCGTTGAATAGTTGTCTGATGGCTCATAGTTGGGAACAGGTAAAAAGCAACAGCACTGGTCTAATGGGCCTCTAGACAAGGCATGAATTAAAACAATGTGCAACAAATTATCGTAGTCAGATGGGGAATGTCCCTGAAGAAAAAAAAAAAAAAAAAATTATCGTGTCAAATTCTAATGGAGAAAGCGATTCACACAACGAGAAATCTGGAAAGCAACTCCTGAGCAAGATAAAAGTGTTCACAATCAACATTGATTTTTTATGACAGTTGTTTTGACGTCAAAAATTCCCATTTATCTGCATGCATGAATACAAAAATTTTCATGAAGTGACTGTGAAGTACGCTTTTGAAAAGTGCATCCATTTTAATAAAAAGAGGCAAGCCCAATTTTTTGTAGAATTTTTTGTGTGGTAGGGAAGTTGGACTAATGTTTCACAAGCTAAAGAAAGCTTTTTTAAGTCATCAGCGACCGTTGTCTTCGCAGAGCAGTTCAGTTACACCTCTGCAACGGATGTATTTTAGTAGAGAGTTATTTTTGCAAACACTGCAGGGAAAATACAGGGAATACACATAGGAAATTTGAAAAAAAATAGAAACTCAGACAATGGAAGAAATCATGGATGAATCTAGAGGGCGAATATTAAGAGTGTTTGTAATTACTGTTATGTCTTTGCAGATTCCATGCACACGCATTCTGTTGCTGCTTCGAAGGTAGAGCAGGCTCTCTCAGAAGTGGCATCAACAATCAGCTCTGCTGTTCCAAAGCCGGGGCTTCAAAAAGCGTGGATGCTCCAGCTTCACATCTGGGTGTTGCTCTCTGAAATTTACTTGTCGCAGAACCAACCAGACTCTGCTAACTTGTGTTTGCAAGAGGCCACCACAATATTCCCCCTGTCACATCATCTTGTTTTTGCGCGAGGACGTGTGCACGAGTACAAAAGTGAATTCCACGAAGCTAAGCAATACTACCAAAATGCTGTTGCAATCAATCCGGCTCATATTAAAAGTCTTCAACACTTGGTAAGTTTTTTTAAAGGGAGTTGTATAAGTCCCTATCTTCACCATGGAAAATGTGCTTGCTGAGGTACACTTTTCTCAGGTTCAACTGGACAGATTTACAGAAACTGTTTTTTTTATTTTTTAGATTTTTTCTAGCTTCAGGCGAGAGGATTTTTAAAAATTTCGAAAATTATTAAAAAATAAAAATATACGAGGGTCGTCTCAAAAGTAAGTTTCCCTTTTTTTGTTCTCTGCCACTATTAAAGCTAGAACAAATCTGTGAAAACTTTAAGTCATACTCTCAGCTTTTCAACAAGCTAAAGTTTTTATAATTTGGCCCACTGAGTGCTGAGAAAATGCGGTTTTCCGGAACGATCCTCTGTGCTCCGCAGTTCCAAATTATATTATTTTGAAACTGGACATGATTCCCAAGATAGAAGTTATTCTCAAAGAATAACAGATGATTTGAGCAAATGTTCAATTATTATGTATAATCCTGAGGACCTTACCTTACTTTTCAACGTAGTCTCCGCCAATATCCAAACATTTTTGATACCGTGGCACCAGCTTCCGTATCTCTTCCGCAAAGAACTCAGGTGACTGCTTCAGGAGCCAAGAGTTGACTGCGTGCTTCACTTTTTCATCAGTGGCAAAGCTCTGACTCCTGAAATTTACTTTGAGATGAGGAAACAGAAAGGAATCACTCCGTGTGAGATCAGGAGAGCAAGGCGGTTAAAGTGGATTTCGGAGGTCAGAGCTTTGCCACTGAAGAAGAAGTGAAGCACGCAGTCAACTCTTGGCTCCTGAAGCAGTCACCTGAGTTCTTTGCGGAGGAGATACGGAAGCTGGTGCCACGGTATCAAAAATGTTTGGATATTGGCGGAGACTTTGTTGAAAAGTAAGGTAAGGTCCCCAGTATTATGCATGATAATTGAAGGTTTGCTCAATTCATTTGTTATTCGTTGAGAATAACTTCTATCGCGCGAATCATGTCCAGTTTCAAAATGCTATAATTTGGACCTGCAGAGCTCAGAGGTTCGTTCGGGATCGCATTTTCTCGGCACCCGGGGGCCAAATTATAAAAGCTTTAGCTTGTTAAAAAGCTGAGAGTATGACCTACAACAACGTTTTTACAGATTTGTTTTAGCTTTAATAGTTGCAGAGAAAAAAAATAGGGAAACTTACTTTGGAGACGACCCTCCTATTTTTAAATACATAGGTGGAACAAATGCCATGCCATCCGTTCATTTCATAAAGGAACCATCTTGTTGGAGGTTGGCCCTTTTCAAAAGTATCAGCAAATAGAGTCGTCTAGAAAAGAACGTGTTGCAGCCAAACAGGTGGTGAGTGTCTAGGAGTTGATTCGCCTGTCCATTAAGAATAAATTTCTGTGGGAAATGCAGTCTGTCAAAATTGTGGGTGTGGCCTTTTTTCTAAGTTACCAACTCAGTCGTTTTCACCTTAGATGAGACCACATAACAGAAAATCTAAGCAGCATAAATTCATTACGTATAAAATATGATCAATGCATTTTCTATTTTTAATTTTTCAGGGTTTGATGTACCATTACCTAGGGCAACAAAGACTAGCTGAAAAAACTTTAAGAGATGCTGCAAAATTGGATCCTCATGCACCGCAAACTTGGTAAGTATCAACGCATCTTCTTTAGCAGCAACATGTTGCTTTAATCAATATGGATACACTTATACACTCTCTCTCCCATCTATGTAGAGGCGGGGGGTGGATGAAACATTAAAAAATTTCTTCATTTTCTTTTTTTTTTCTGCCTCTAAATTCGGAGAGGAAGAAGGTGGATTGTAACAATTCATGAAAGCAATAATAGCAGCTAAATCAAGGTCAAGTAATTAAAATTCCAGAGTAGATGATCGTAAATATTTTTTAAACATGGAGATAGGTGGAAAATAATTACTTCTCCAACGATACTGTTAACTAAATGTTGCGGATTCTTGTCAGACTTTGATTTGAAGACTTATCAAGATAATATCTTGGAAACTTTGGTGGTTTTTCTATTCTGTTCAACAAATATTTGTAGAAAATGTTGAGCACTAAAGTTGATTGGCTTCTCCTTAAAAGATACAAAAGAGTAAAACGCCATTTCTTTGCTTAACTTTTGAACTCTTCGTTCGCCTTGAAGGACCCCAATCAAGAACTTTTTTTCTCAGTTTAGCCATCAATATATTAAATAGAACATAACTTTTTAAGGACTTTTTAACTTTTTAAGGAATGGAAAAGATGTTGTTCGGGAATGGGTGTCCCGCTACGTGAAGATGGCACCCTTTATACTCTGTGCTTTGCTGATGATCAGGTGGTAATAGCTCAGGACGAAGAAGATGCGAATTACATGACGCGTAAGTTAGTGGAAGTATACCGAAAGTGGGGAATGGAAGTAAATGTGGTTAAGACGGAGAAGTTGTTATCGGTGGTGATCAGCAAAGCATTGAACTGGAGGATGGCCGGAAGATTCTGGACTGTGAAGAGTATAAATATCTAGGAGTTTTGTTAACTAAGGACGGAAATTTGGATGGAGCTATTAAAGATCGGAATGTGCAAGGCAGGAAAGCTATCGCGATGCTAAATGGGGTTCTCTGGGACCAGAGTATCTCCAAGGAGACCAAAAGAAAAATTTATAACGTCATGACGCATGATATCAGGTCCAAACAGTTGGTCTGGTATGGACATGTGCGAAGGATGGCAGATGATCGGTTGCCCAAGCAGTTCTTCGATTGGGTTCCTCCCGGAAGGCGACGGCGTGGACGTCCTGTGGAAGGTTGGCGACAAGGGGTGGAGGAGGAGATCAGAAGGTGCCAATTGCCTGATGATCTCTGGGAGGATAGGGGGCAATGGCGATTGGGCGTCGCAGAGCGCGAGGCGGCGCTATAAAAGCGACTTTATGTATGTATGTACATAACTTTTTAATTCGGAAAAGATACTCAGTAAATCGAGCCCAAGCAGGGAGTCAATTAAAATTTCTCTGAGTACTTGACTCCCTGATTTCTGGAATTATTTTCGGAACTGTCCTTATTTATTTCTCTCAATGTTGGCAGCGTTTTTTATTTTTCTGTGCTTGACATTTGGTCATTCTAATAAGGCATTTTTCATGCTCATCTGTTTCAGGTACAATTTAGGGAAAGTTCTGGAAGTGCTTGGAGAAGTGGAGAGTGCAACGGACTGTATGGTCACTGCCCTTCAAGTGGAAAAGCATTGTCCTCTACTGCCATATTCAACTATTCCGTTAGCATTTGATTGAATCTATTTCCTCTCTTCCTAGGATTTCCTTCTGCGTCAGGTTGGTTTGCAAGGTAAGCAGTCAAACAAGAGCTGAGAATCTCAACCTATTTGTGCTCGGAGAGAACCGCTGTTTTCACTCATTTTTTCATTTACTTTGACAAGATGACAAAAATGGCCTGATGGTTTTTAAAAGCCTTTTGAAATTTCTTTTCAGTCTCTTTAAAATTATTCCTTCAAATCTCCAGAGTTTTTACAATCCTTTTTGGATTTATCCACTAAAATATGGTAGTTCCTATTTCTCCCAGATTTCTCTCCATAGGCTATTTTAATTTTAAATTTTCATGAAGCAATGTCTGCAAAAATGATCTCCTCTGGGGCCCAGTTCACACGGTTCAATTTCTCATCAAACTTCTCCTCTAACTCTATTGAGTGAAAAATTTTTCTATTTTAATTGGACAGTAAAAATTCTCATCCGATTATTTTAAAAGAAAAGTTTAATTGTGTGAATTGGACTGAAAAGGAAAAGCAAGTGTAAAATCGTCTGAAAATCAACACACAGTTTTAAAATTCTCCATCCATGTTTCTGCACTATTAGTTTTGAACTTACATTTTTAAGTCTGAGATGCCAAAATTACAGGATGATCTCTTGTTGAGTTCGATGAATATTATTAAAATATAGTATTCAGATTGGTTTTTTAATGCTGCTTTTGAAATTATCTTCTTTCACAATTTTAAATTGCACCAAACTCAAGGTAATCATAGCAAATTTATCAGTTTTTTTAGCTCAATGATCTTTTTTAACTTCGAATTGTTTTGTTCTCAGGCGCTGGATGGCCTCACTTTGGAGTGAATAATTTTTTTGGAATCTACAGGATTGGTCTCATCTATCATAAAACTTAACACTGGTGGAGGATTTGTATCTCACATCACTTTTCTTTCAAATATCTGTGGTAGAGCTATTATTGAACCATTTATTTAATTTTTGAAGTTTTATTGAAAGGCTTGCCGAAAGAGTTTCCTCGTATCAGAAACAAAAAATTGTAGCCATATACTTATTTTTTATACAGAGATACTGCATTGCTCAACCATTCAAGCTTTGCACAAGCAATATTTATTGTGTATTGGCAAAAATAACTTTCCCAGCCATGAACGGTAGACTTTGAAATTGTCAAGTTGGATTATTTAAACAAAATTCCTAAAGAGACATGGGCGGATTTTAAAGTTGTGAACTTTAGTCTTCAACATTGCAGTGTAACTTTTTTTGCTGATTATTTTTTTGAAAAAAAAGGCTTTGGTACATATAGGATTTCTGGCATAATAGAGCTAAAAAAATTACTAAAGCCCTACTTTGGCAGATAATTTTTTTCCTGTCAGTGAAATCTATCATCAAAATTTATTATCTCTTAATGAAACCGAATAAGGGGTGTGAGAAAATACCCAGAGAGTTTTCAAATTTGCTAGAAGTTGAGGTATAAGTGTGTAGGTTTGACATGACTTCTCAAATTTCACTGTTTTCAGTTCGTGAACACTAATCTCAAAAAAAAAAAAAAAAAAAAGTCATTTTATTCCCAGAAGAATACGACTTGCTAACTTGAAAGAAGGATAATAGTGTTACGTATCAAGTTTTTACTTAATGTAGTGTGTTAAGTATTTACTTTATATCTTTTAATGGTGGACAGATCTGTTTTAAGTCTTTGATTGACAAAATCATCAAAGTACATACCTATAGACGCTATTAGTGTTAAATCACAGTAAAGCGATGTAAGCAGATTTATTTTCTTCGGTAGCATCGGAAGAGATTTGTCATTTTTATCGTTTGGAAGAATACGTATACGTTACCACAAATAGCGTCTAAAGAGGTTGAAGGCTGAGATTCTTTTGTTAATAGGCAATTACTCTGCCAAATACCTTGTATTTTTCCCTCCTCAACTCCTGTTTCTTTAGGGTGCACATTATTTTTGAAAGCTCTTTGATAGCATTTATCTGGCCGTTTCAACTGAGATCTCTGTTAATTTAATTGACGTATTTTGTAAAACTTAATGGGAACAACGGAGCTCTTCATTTGCAATTTTGATAATCAAAAATATTTTAAGTATCGAAGAAAATTCTGAAATTGGATGTTTTCGGCTCTTTAGTTGTTAATTGATTTTGACAGAAGTCACATTTTGGTAACTTACGGTGACCAAGAACTCTACATCTGTTTAATTCGGGAGTTAGGAGATCCTTAGAGACTGATTGAGTTAGGAAATCAGTAGAGAAAGTCAAGGAATTTTTGGAGACGTGCTGTGCATTTGTCGATGATCGGTATTTATCGACCCTGTGGTCTTCGGAAGGTATTTGATCTTTTTCATTTATAGTTAAATGGAAATTCGTGAGCTTTAAGTTTAAAAAACCAAGTTTTGGCCGATTTGATTTATGACTAATGAATTTGTGTTTTGTGATCCTCAAAGCCTCTTCTGACAAAGCAATGGTTTAAACTTGTCTGAATACTTGGTGAAAGTAAAATAATAGTGATTTTTCCAGAACCTAGTCAAATTATTGCAGATCTTGTCAATTAGGAAGAAAGTTCGATTCACCTGCTATCTCTATGAGTCAAATAATAGAGGAAATTCAGTCTCATACTTCTGCTTTAACCAGATCAGAGAATTGTCTCATTTACTCCGATGAACAAACTTTGAGCAGCTGACTCTATGGTAAAATCAAGAGACCTTGTGTATTCAAATCGGCGGGTTGAAGAATTGCTTTTACATTGTACCAGTGCTACTTTCATCGAAAAGGGAGAGAAGAATTACCAAAAAAGTCTTGAGTGTTGGTAAAATCTCTCATTAAGAAATTTTGCACCAACCATATATGGTTGAGATCGTTCTTTGCTTTAGATGAACAGAAATATGAGATTAAATTTTCGTTATTATTTGCCTCTTACTGATAGTATGTAGATGAATCGAACATTATTGCTCATTGAAAAGATCTTTCAACAAAAATCAAGTATTTCCCTTCCTTCAGATGCAAGCAGCACAAGGCGTAAACCAGGTTCTGATGAAATCACTATCATTTTACTTTTAATAGTTGAGTTTTGGTACAAGTTTAAACCTTTTTTTTCGTCAGAAGAAGCTTTGAGGGTCACAAAACACAAATCATATTTTTCAAATTTGCCACAACTAAGTATTTTAAAAACTCGCCATTTTCTATTGATAAACATGCATTTCGTTGATCTACTTACCAGTCTTATCAGGTAGTGAAGAGACCTTTTCCCTGTTCAGACGGAAAGAAGGTCTTCAAGCCAATTAGAATAATCTTTGCTGTAAATTACTCCATTTCTGAGAGGGCACCTTCAATTTTTTCCCTCCTCTGTCCATTTCCTGGCACCTCATAGATTTAATCAACATCTCTCAAAATTCTCTTTCTATATTCCTTGGAATAAAAATATAAAAGGGAAAGTTTGTTATTATTATTTATCATTCCATGGAGGTGATAGTTGTATTTTGCGTCTTTGTAAGTTGTTGACTTCTTTCTAAGCTAGCTAAGTATACTTTGTCTGAGAGCCCATTGCTGGATTCTTGTTGTTACCATGTAATAGATTTTCAAAGGTACTTACATCAAGAGTAATTGTTACGTTTTTCAATAAAGCTCTATTCGTTGACTTGTTAAATGTGGTCTTTCATTTCCTCTTGATGCAGACGGAGTATAACTTCCTTAGCAAATCCCTCTTAATTGAGAACTAGTGCATGAAATAGGCACTGTTCTGCTACGCCCAATTCAGATGGTCAAACATTTTCTATGACAAAACGGACGAAAAGTTGGATGTAAAATTTAACGCAACAAAATTTTATTTAATTACCATTGCCGCGTGATATCAAGTGGGATGTGGGTATCTGACAAAAGCGAAAGAAATATTGAACAATAAGTTTGCCGGTCAGAAGTGGGCTTTACAGTATTTCAGAATCACCAACAACAATTTCTTTTTATGGCAGAATTTAGTGAAGCTTTTACCGCTCTTGAATTATTAAAATTATGAGGAGAAAGAAAAATACTATTTTTACAATTAAAAGTAAATTTATTAAAAATTACATAAAAACACACGTGAAGATCATACATTGAAGTCTTGTCAAAATTTTTAAATTCACCACTTGACTGAGATTTATGCAGCGAGATAAAAAAAAGGAAGCCAATATTTGTCACTTAGAGGCACCTGAAATTGTGCAAAAAGAAAAGAAGAATACTTAAAGTGTCAGATAACTTGAAAAATAAACTGAAAAAAGTCTATTGTTTTATCGACTAACTAACTAATGCCCGCATGTGTTCAAATAGAATTTTGAGAATTAATTGACTGCTGAAAAAAGGACTGAGAAAAAAGGAGGGGAGTTCAAAGACTTAACAAAAACTTAGGGCATTTAGTGGATAAAACTAAAAACTAATTAACGGGGTCAAATCAAATTTCGTAAATTATAAAATAAATTATAAAGTTGAAATATTTACAATTATACGTGGTCAGGTTTGAAAACTTAGAACAGCTGCTATTAGCTTCTTTATTTTTCTACTGAAAAGTTGGCTCGTTTTCAGATTAATAGTAGAAAGATCTTTTCTGTTATTTATAAGCTATTGAATGAGATGTTTGTAATGATGTGAGAGAGCTGAGATATTATTTAGGAGACATACAAACAAATAGAAAAGTAAGAGAATAGAAGAACTACAAGTTAATCCTTCTACAGTTCAGAAACTGCAAATGCGTATGTTGCTCAGTTCAACTATTAATCTCGATCCATAAATGAAACTAGGTTTTGCAATGAAGTGACATCACTTCGTAAAGCTTTTTATGATACAAGAGACAATGATACAAAATGCAAGATCCTTTGGGTAATCTATCAGAAGGTCGGTCCACAAAACCATTACGCTAGTTATACTGGATAACTAAACATGAATGAAAGCTGGCGATACACTGTGTAAAAATACATACTTATAAAATCTGTACAATATATTTTTTACAAACTTTTTCTTATAGTATGGCCTTAAATTACGATACTTTTTTTTATAAAATTTTTTTGTCTTTTCTAAAAACAGTTTTACCAATTATCTTTAAGTCAACTTAATTTACTTCTCTTAATCAGCTAAAGATAAAATCTCTTATTTGTAATCTAAAAATGAAGAATACTTATATGTACAGATGAACGATGATAATGATTCGACTGGATCTTACAAATTTCAACGCTGCGCTCAGCAGGGGAAAAAATTTTAACCAACAATCATTCTTTCAAATATTTGAAATAAGTAGACTCATTTTCAGTGATATTTCCATTATTACCAACTGGTTAACAATAATGAAACATATACTTGAGCTGACCTAACAAATTCAAAAGTATTACTGAGGGGGAGGAGGGATGCTAAAACTCAGAGAGAGAAAGAGAGAGAAACAAAAAAGTTAGAGTTCTTTTATAGGCTTAAAGAGAACAAAAATTTAACATAACGATAATATGAAATATGTTTGTAGTAAATGAATGGAAATAATTGCTACTTGAAAAGAAAAAAAAAAAGACTTGAACAAAAAGCTCTGACCGGTTATAAATTGACGCGATCTAATATAAAAACTTCTGTTGTAAGTTCTGTTATTCCTAATGATTGATACCAAAAAAAGAAAAATCATACAGACATTCAATATCTTTTTCATCGTTCATTTTATTGGCAGTGAGGTTGACACAACAAAAGTTTCCTGCAGTGAATTCATGTTTCTAATTAATAGCATGGTGGCAAATTTGTCCAATGCGTTAACAGGATCTCCTGAAAAATATTTAAGTGTAACTACTTTTTGTGCCTTCAAAAATAGGCAATCTGACACTTATGCAGATCCGTAAAAAAATATTTGTTGAGGAAATACATATGGCAACTCATTCCAAGCAGACTGTTACTCTTACTCTTCCATGGACAGTCACCAAAATAAAATCTATAACAGCTTAAGAATAAGAGCTATAGAAATTCAGATGCTTGCTGTCTGCGATGATTGATAACAGCAAAAGCAGTGACTTCACTTCCTCGATTTAAAATTTGGTGATGACTCAGCCCATACTCATGACGCTGGTTTGGTCACAAGAATAAAAGGAACTATCATCAAAGGACAAAGGATGTGAAAAGTGTCAAATTGAACTACTCCTAGTATTGGGATACAAGAGAAAAATTATCCAAAAAATATTTAGTGGCTAAAATCAGCTCCTCTTCGATTGAGGTCACCAATTGTTTTTAGTATAGCGGCACAATCACTTCCATTGGAATCAAATTCAAAAACCTAAAAACATGAAATGCTACTTGTATGTACCTGACATATGACTTAACCTGTTAAAAATCTGCTTTTGTAATAAAATAATTAATAAGGGATGATTTGTTCTGAAATTAACTTACCACCACAGTAAATACAAATGAATTCACGAGGCATCTAAAAATAACGATCTTAAAATTGCAACCAAGTCGTATTATACATCTGTTGTACATGTTTGAATGTATGTATATGATACATGAAATTAGAATTAAGTGAGTTTTCAACATTTACAGGTCTTAAACCTAAAATAGAAAAATTTCTTCAACAATAATAGAGAAAACTAGGCGGAGATCAAACAGGTCTCATTTTTGTCGGACAGGTATCCCAGAGTGCAAATGTTAAAATCTTAATTTAGTCAAAAGAAAATAAGAAGGGAAAAAATGAAAGGAAAAAGAAATTAAAGAGTGTCGGGGGGAGAAGTAATTGGCAGGTAAATAGCTATTTAATATAGCTACACGTTCATACTCATAAAATAAAATAAGATTCACGAAGTAATACAACTTGCTTCGACTGTTGGACCAACTACGCCATTCGGACACAGCTCCAATTCTTGCACGCTGTTATTAAGGCTTACTATTGAGAAAATATTTGTTAATCTGAAATAGATGAGGAATAAAAACAGCAAATTAGTATCGAAAAATGTCCTCATATTTATTTCCTTTCTTAAAAAATTGTGGATCACCATCAGAAAGGTACTACTTTTCTTATTTTGCCAAATGCAATGGCAGGGTTCGAAATGCTATCTGCTGGCAAAATCAGAGTTTATAACAAACCATAGTCGAGAAGGATGTCCATACACTCAGCAGGAAAAATTTCCTATCTCTTCACATAGATGGTTTGTGTGCAAAGAAAAATTTTGTTGGCAATAATTACACTGCAAATAGCAGAAACATACGAACCTTTTTCTTCAAGATACATATTAATCATTCAATATTAACTATAGTAGCAATTCCTCATTGAAACTTATTCACTATTCAGGGCGCAACTTAGCGCATTGAAGTCCGTATCGGACTGATTGCAAGACTTAGTTTAATTGTGTGGACAGCACTGATGTTTTTTTTCAAAACTTGAGTTTTGAGATTTATCAAATTTTCAGTCGTACACGGAAAAAAAAGAATTCCTAATTCAGCAATTCAATTGCTAAAAACAGTGAGTGCAATGTTTCAACGCAGAGTTTACAACAAAAAAATGCTACTTTAACCACATTGTAAACTAATTTAGCCACGGGGGTGGTTAAAGTAGCATTTTTTTGTTGTAAAATCTGCGTTGAGACATTGCACTCACTGTTTTTAGCAATTGAATTGCTGAATCAGCAATTCTTTTTTTTCCGTGTATTATTGGATTTCCTGACTTTTCTCAGGTTTACTCTAACCTGATGGCTTCCCAGACATATTCCGATTTTCCAGACCTACAGACCCTGCATACAGAAAACCTTAACAGAGACACTAGGAAAAACAATGCAGTGACGAAAATGTAAATCAAGTGGTTCAAGCTTAAAGGTTTTTGCAAAGTTGGATCCTTCGAAATCAGGTATGTAAAGTGCATACAGAAGTTCATTATTCTACAATAATTTCAAAAGTATTATAAAAGAGAATAGGAAACGCACCTGTTTAAAATACTTTTGGTATGAGTGAGTATTTGACGCGGGATGTGTACCGATCCCATGATGTTCCGTACACAGACTTGTTGTGAGCGTTGACGACAACTGCTCGGTAGATGAGCGTGATGGTGAGCAATATGGCCGACACAAAGGGAACCCAGAGCTTGAAGTCAGCAGCGAAAGCCCACGACCACTCGATGATCAATTGACCCAGGTAATTTGGGTGCTGCAGCTTGCCCCACAGCCCGCTGACGATCAACTTTCTTCCTTGCACAGTAGGGATGGTTTCCAAAGCTGTATCATAAGGGAGACAAACAAACAAATTAACAGAGGATTTTTAAAAAATGGCCAGTTTTGCATTATCAATTAATTTTTTACAGTTGAATAGAACAAATTAACAGAAAATACTAAACGCATAGTTTCTATGTTCAATTTTAACAAGCTTTCACACTTGTTTTTCCGCAAAAAATTAAATTGAAGCACAAATTTTGAAACATTGCAATGAAGAGACCTCGTTTTGCACTTTGGCAATCAATGTACACATGGGCACAAGGCCTCTTCCCGTCCATCACTTATGATACTAGGTTGAAGGGAATTAAGGATATGCCGCCACAATTAAGTTTTGTACTCAGGTCTCAAGGAGCAGCATTTCTCTTCAAACTACACAAAAACCTAGGCCCATAAAAGCTTAACCAATCAAAACCCACAGACCACGAGACATAGTGTGAGATTGAACATTGCAGGTACGTCTCGTCAAAATTTAACATATGATGCCGAGGACATGATTAGATATTAACGCTTTACCTCCTGAGTGGAAAAAAAGGTTTTCTGCACATTTCAACTCAAAACTCCCGCTTATAATGGCACTATAAAGTCAAATACAATGAAATTGAGCACTGCACTAATTCTGGTGCACTAAGCAACTTGGTTTTTATTTGTGTACTGAATTTTACAAGACATTCTAAATGCGCTCAATAAATTAGGGAGGACAAATTTTGCTCAACCAAACTGATTATTTTCTAGATGGATGAAATAGTTCCATTTCTAAAATTTAAGAAACATAAAAGATAATAAGAAGGAAACAAAAAAACCAATCTCACCAGAAGCACGTGGATTCAAAGGATTTTTCCTGAACTCATTTTTCTGGTAATTGCTGGCTCTGTAGATGAGGTATCCGATGAGCTGAGCGACTACGATAGCTCCCAGAACGTAAGGCGATTTTTCAACTCTGTAAAAATAAACAGTATGAAGTGAGTCAGAGGGGGGACGATGAGACATAAACAATAATACACAGCAGAAATTGAAGAATGTTATGTAACCAGTCAAAAATGGAAAGACTTAAGTCAGGCATAAGAAATAGGATAGGGTGGAGAATTAACTAATTGTAAGATATCAATATCTCCCTACTTCTCCTCGCGTTTCTCTGACTTTTCTAAAACATCCTCTGACTAATTTTTGCAAAATTATGAGAAATTTCCGATTCAAGATGGCTGACTTGACTAGAAAAATTGCTTCAATAGGCTAATGTTCTTGACTTCTTTCATGCTGATACATATTTCCGTACTTATCATTATTTTTTAACTCGACGTACAACACTACTCACTTGCTGATGAGAAGATATTTGACGAGGTTGATGAAAACGAATGGGTACAGGGTGTAATATACGACCGATCTGAAACCAACACCTTCGACTTGAGCTTCGAAAGTCGTTACAAAGTTGTCTTCGAAAAATAGCGAATCGAGAATGAAGAGCGTCTGGAGGGCGATGATAGTGACAGCCGTTACAGGGAGAGTGTTGAGCGTCTTGTGAGTTTCATAGAGCTTCAGAGCTACCAGAGCATTGTAAACAAGCTGAAAGAATCAAGCAGAGATGAGAATAGAACAGGAAAAATATAAACTGCCATTAACTGTTTAACTGTTCCGCGTTCATTTAACATTCTGTTAAGATGAGTGAAAAATATGCTGAAACTTGAGAATTATATTTTGAAAAACATTTGCTAGCCAATACAGCATTTAATAAGTACAGCGTGACTTTTCACCTGTAAGATATTATAATTCAAGAAAAAATATTACGAACATGAGATCAGCCGTTCAAATTTTTCTTTGACATTGAGTCTTAAGAAAGAATAAAACTTTGAAACTCTTTTATAAATTCAGCGGAAGTCAACGGATAACACTGGCGGCTTCCTGGATGCTACTAGACTACAGTTTATGTAAACACCTGCCTTTGGACTGCTATTTTATAAGCATTCTATAATGATTTTATTGTTAGCCCGCACAAAAACAAATTGATCAAAATTAGACAACAAACAGTCAAACTGAAACTTACAGCGGTCAACAGGGCGTGCCTCTTGAAGAAAAGCTTGAAGTCGAAAGACTTGATCCTGGGGTTCAATTCTCTTCCGACGATGAAATCATTAATTTTGTTGCCAGTGTTGCCTTTCGGGTTCAGGGACTTCTTTGCTGCTTTTCCACCTTTGACAAAGAGGACGATGGAAACCAGGAGAGCCACAGCATATGAAGTGGTGATGAGCGGCATTGGCCGATCCAGGACCGAAAGTACAGGGAACTTGAAGTAACGCAGGCCTCCAATCGCGGACAGGGTCAAGAAAGCGCTCAACAGACCTGGAAAAGATTAGCATCAGAAATAAGTTGCCTGAGAAACTAATTTCTGTCAGACATACTTTAAAGATTGAGCGCCCATAGACTGTACCTTTGTACAGATTTACGTATGATGGTGGCATAAAAATGCAACACCTCTCACTTAAAGAACTAAATAACTAAGACTTCAGGTTTCAACAAAATTCAAATCATTTCCAAGCCATGTTTTTAATCTTTTGCTTTTTGTTACCTCATTTTTTGAGAAATTATACCTGCTGGAAAATCACTAACTTTGTAATTTGCAGAGAGGGAAAAATGCAAAGTCTATTAGTCAGAGAATTCATATCTATTCAATGTTACTATGAAATTAAAATCATTATCAGGCTATACTTTGGCTATAGGCTATACTATCACATTGGCTTTAGAGTCATCAACTCATCCTTCGCAGTGGGGTACAGATGTTTAAAACACTAAACATCTGTAAGATGATTAAACATAGTACGATGGTTAAAAAAAGGGCCCTGGAAAAAACAAACCAGTGATTTGAGCAGTTGGGGTACTTGCCTTCCAGCAATATTTGTTATAGGAGACCTCAGACATTTCAAAGTCAACTTTTAGGTGATAGGACTGAAACTTAAAATGGTGAACAGAATAGTGTTGTCAACATTGCTCCCTGCAGAGGACATATTTGATGTATTTATTCAGAGAGAAAGAAAAAAAGATAAGGTGATCCAAAAATTTTTCAACTTGCCATTACCAGACAATCTGTATTCCAACGACTCAGAGATTCCACTGACTTTCTTTCCGACAGGTAAGATCGAGAGGAAAATTTGCCATACAACGAAACCCAGGAAAATCAGGGAAGATTCAAGGTTGACAAAATAACGCCACGTTTGAGGGAACCGCACTGGCCACAATTTGCAGGATTCCGCCTACAAAATAAAAATTTAAATGAAATGGTTGAATCACGTCAATTATCATGCAAAAACACAAAAAATAAATACACTTATCAAAGATTTGATTTATCAAATTTAGAATTAATAATTTACTGCCTCAAAGATCTTTATAATCAGCTGAATTGATAAATAGATGGAGAAGACATGAAAATTAAATTACTTTCAATTGAAAAATTTAATAAACCTTTAAGTGTTGATTGAAGATAAAATGATTAAAGGAAGTGAACATCGGTGGATTGTTCATCTATGAGGCAAAATGACAAAAGAGAATTGCAGAGGAATAAAGAAAATCACTGTGTGCAATTTATCCTTCCGAAGGCAATAAAATAACCATTTGAATATGGTTTCACAACCCATTTCATTATGTTAAAAAATCACATGCTCAATTAACTGAAATCTAAGGTAGGACAGTCCACCTTCAAGATAAATCAAAGCCAATCTAATTAATAGTGGGTGGAGGATGTATGAATGATGCAAAGTGAGATGCTTGGGCGGAGTCAGTAGTCACAGCCCTGCCCATCAAAACCTCATCACAATCACAATAGTAATTAAATCTGCCCTGTAATAGATCCTGATTATGAAACAGTTAACAGATCAAGAGTTTTCAAGTGGTCTTATTTGCCCTTTCAGAGAGTCATGATTCATGTTCTTAATGACTTAAAGCTCACTGGAGTGCGACAAAAGAGCTGTTTGGTGTTTGAATCAGAGTCTTACCCGTGTGCAAGAGAGATGAGTCAAGGTGACAATGGCAGGAAACACGATCAAGTACAACAAGGCTTTAAAGAGGACCTCGTATCCCTTCGGCGAGGATGATTTTGATGACGTTCTTACATTGTTTGCTTTGAGGATTTCCTTCACTTCATCCTTGATACCATCGTCCAGCTTGCCTTCACCCTGAAAGTAAAAATTAGCACATGAGATATTGTATGAGACACGGTGTATACAATCTCTATCTCATGAATTCTAAGATTTATAAATCATGCAACACTCAATGCTTTAAGAGTCCAAAATAATAGAATCTACTTAAAAACTGAGAGCGATAAGAATCCCCAGTCTTGGAATTCAATATGATATGGCCATATGTGCAAAGAAAACCATGACTCCATTTTGGCTTTTCCAATTTTTTCCAACAAAGTGTATAGTTCAATGAAATTTATTGAGCATTCATCTTTTGAATCCTACAAAGGATTGAATTGTTTCATTCGGAACATACACTGGAAAAATTGAAAAATATGGAATGGATATACACTGTTCTTTTTATGAAAAATGGCAGGGGTTCAAAAACTTCTAAATCATGTGATTGGTTAAGTATGAAAATGGGAAGGCGTTCTAAAAACAGGTTTTAAAAATGGGAAGACCACCAGAATAGTTATTTTTTTGCAAAACCGCGAAAATAGTAATTTAATTTCAATGTGAAGTTGCAGCAATTTTTAAGAATAGAGTCATGAAAAGGTTATGTTAAAACTCCTGAGTAAAAAGGATTTTTAAAATGGGAGGGGAATTTATCTGCATACATACCTTAAATGGAAAAAGGGATAAAAGATAGAAGGATACTTACGCTGGCAGCGATTTGCTTGATAACTTGTCTGACGGATCTGCGGTACGGCAACTGAGATACCTCTGCGGCTACAGCTTCCACTTTGGGGTCCAATTTCATTGGCTCCACACTGACAGATGACGTTTCGCTGTCTGTAAATGAGAGATTTTTCATTAAAGAGGGCCAAGTCTACAAAGAGCCTAGGACCTCACATATAAGTGCAGCCACCACATAAATTGGCTTTTGGAGGACTTACTTTGTAAGCAGTAATTATTTTCACATTACTCTCCCTTGTATTACCGAGAAAATGTGAACATCTGATTATGACTTTTTTTAAACAAACTCCTAATCAAAAGATGATTATTGAAAATCAATAGCATACTAGCTGTTGACACTGCCACCCAGGGCAGTTGAGAGAATATCATTGGTGATGCAAGAAATTACTGTGCTGTGTTGATAACATTATGAGCTACAGCCTACGTGTATTTGAAAACATTACATTCCCAAATGAAACGCTGAAAAGGGAGCGCATCACACAGTGTTTAAATCCAGACTTCATTGTAAAAGACTATTGGCGAATGGAAGAAAGTGAAAAATAATAAATGAATTTCATTCATCAAACTTATTCTGTATTTGCATAAACAATTAACACATTTAATTTTCTCTTTTTTTTCTATTTTATTCTTTCCTTTTTCTCCTTTTGTTTCCTCCTCCTTTTTTTTAGTATCACTAACTCATGTCTTTTGAGGCAATTTTTTGTGCTGAATCTGATCTGTTTCTTTCTATTTTGTAAAACTGGATCAACCACACAAGCTCATGCCTAGCTACTAGTGAATTTTTACGCTTTCGTAAAGAGATATTTCAATAATAAAATTATTCATCTATTTCTCTATTTATCTTTCAGTACCTGAGTAGTCATCTTCCGGGAAGACTTTTTTCTTGCTTGGTTTCTTAGCAGGTGAGGGTTTAGGCTCACTTTTGGCTTTTGTGGGGGATTTTGGTTTGCGGGCTGGTGATTTGGATGCCTTCCTCGCAGGAGACTTCTTCGCTGGTGATTTGCCACGGGCAGGAGACTTTGGGCGACTACGAGATGGTGACTTTGATTTTGCAGGGGATTTTGGTTTCGAAGGGGACTTAGATCTGGCAGGAGATTTGGATTTTGCCGGAGATTTCGGCCTGGCTGGCGACTGCTTCCGCGCTGCAATATTCGCCAAGCGAGCAGGAGATCTTCGGAAATTTCTGTCCATCTGCAGGAAAACGAAATATGATTAATTAGATGGTCATTATTAGTCTTAGGGGTACAATAAGTGATGAAAAAAGGGTGAATGGACGGTACTGAAGTACACAATAAACTTTCTTCTCAAAATTTTCTCAAGATATGTCATGACAACCATGAATACTTATTCCTAGCAACGAGCAAGATGTAAAAATCATTGGTACTTAAAGGTAAATGCTTTGTGAGCAAACATAAGAATTCGGGCGTCAGGTGAGGGGGGGGGGGGATTTTTGTTCTCCACTTCAAGGCTCATTAAATTCTTGATTGATTCACTAATATTACTGGCTTTTAACAAATCATATGACACCGATTCATTTTTAAAAAATAGGAGCTGTACTGGTGATTCTCAGGAGGAAAAATTCCTCAAGATCCGGGTTGGAAATTTTGTGAACTTGAAATATTAATTTCAAATGCAAGTTTATCTTTAAGAAAGCACCTAGAACTCACAAATTCTGAATGCTTGATTGCAGATACATTCAGTTTTCAGGCTGAAAGACAGTATTTCAGTAATTCAGCAGAGCATAATGCCCTCTTCCCCTCCCTCCCCGTTTACCAATTCATGACTTTGAAGTTAATTTAAAATTGTTTCCTTGCATTATGTCATAAAGTGTGGAGCAATTGAGGACCAAGAAATCAGTCCAAATAGTGATTGAATTCTTGTGAAAATGATCGGTGCAGAATGACTGTAAAAACACCTGGATAGTTTACAAGCCACAAGTAGCATAAGTAATTAAAATTCTTAGTGGTGTAGGCAAATAGTAAATAGAATAAGAGGGGAAAACCCTGCAGTTGTAGAGAATGAAAACGTAAAACAGGAGTCAATTCCAGATTTTTTTCTGCTTCTTTACACCACAATTCACTAGGAGAGGAATAATGCAGCGGTACATTCAACTCGCAGGTTGCAAATACCAACAAGCGATCAACAGGGAGGAAATTGAGGAGCTCAAAAACAAGAATTTCACCACAATTTGCATTGGGCATAGGTTAGGAAAAGACAAGTGAATCAAAGGTGAACGAAACGTGAGTTTAAGTTAAAAATAGTAATATTTAAGCCAATGATGAGGAAGTTGTATTCCCGGTGAGGTTAGTAATGCCAAAAGGGGGGGAGTTCCTCTTCCAAACAAGCAAAAAGGAGGTAAAAGAATGTTGGCCACGAAACTCACTCCCGGATACATTCGGTTGAGAACTAATTGAAATGGACAAAAATAAGCACTTCAGTACAACTGCTACAAATTATAAGGATGGATATTCACACAAATCACGGGGATTTATGTAATAAAGTCTCTAGAGGTGGCAATGAACTTGCGATCCTCCGGGCTAAATACCTCGTGTTGAATGTGAGATTCGCCGAGCCTAGAGAAAGCTAATAACTAGATCACTTGAAAACTCGAAAAGTAATGAACACTTGATGTTGAAACACGATTTAGACTAACTGGATGTTGAAATAGTGAGAATAAACAAACCTTTAAAGCAGAAACAAAGCTTACTTTCCGTGAAGCTTCAGAAAACACAACAATACAACACACACACAGAAATAACGGCTCGCAGGACCAGGCAGGGCAAACCGACGCTATGGAATCCTGCTCTCTGATTGGCTCGTGTAGCCTACTTCTGAAGCTTCGTCATTGGCTCTTCCAAAATGGCGACTTCTGACAAAAAATTTGAATTTGACATCTTTCCAGATATTTTGAATTTCTCTCCTTACGAAATGATGAAAACGATAAGCTCATCGCTAATAAATATGAAATCAAGAAAGAAAGTCAGGGACAATGTTCGATCAAGGATATAAATCTCTTCCGTGGACTGAATGATGTAATAAAGAAGCGCGGGAAACTGCCCTCAATCCCCCACTATTCCGTTCTGACGCATTCTGCATTCTGACGCGGACAAAGGGGTGAGAATCAGAGGAGGGTGATTTTTGCGCCAAAACTGCGAACACTACAGGACGGAGGGGAGGGTGAAGTACGTAGGTAATTATGGTAATAAGTAATTAGAGGAATTGAAAGTGGGAAATTTACCACATCGATTCCGTGTATCAAGTAACTGCAGTTTATTACTTCTAGATCAGAATGAGATTTGCTATACGAAGCTAAATAAGGGACAGAAATTCATTCTAGGTGGCGGTAGCCACCCCGGCCCAATCCTAAAAAACTCCCCCTAAAAAATTACGACAGAAGAAAAAAAAAAAAAAATTTTCATTACTTAAAAGGACCATAAAGAAAACAATCCTCCACACATTTTGGACGGCATGCAGGACCCCTAAACATTCAAAAATTGCCTTGCTTATGAAATTTGGAACTTACAGACCAATGACTTGCAGCTATTTTCACCTCTTCATGTTGTTTCATGATTTAGAGTGTCTGTATATGACATTTTTTTAAAGCTATCTATACCTACCGGGCAGTTCAAAAAAGAGAAGCTAGTGAGCTCATCTCAGATGAGGGTTCCTGTGAGCATGAGTTCATAATTTAAAAATTTTCGCACCGATTTTCTTTTTAGAAGGAATAACAAGTCAACATCATTCTTTGCAGAAGTTTTTCTCATAATTTGCTTCGCATGGAGAAGGAAAATCACAGAAGTTTTGAGGAATTGGTGTTGAATAGTTCTCCATTTAAAAAATACAGGACCTGTGACAAGAAGTCTGCAACGTCACACCGAGATACATGCCCTGGGAGTCTCACCATTGATATATTTGTTCCTTAAAGAATGAATTCTCTCTGATGTAATCAACTATTGCTTAGGTGAAAACTCACCTGTGAAAACTTAATTTTTATTGAAGAGTTAAATTGATATATAGAGGAACAGGCAGTAGAGATATTTCTTCAAAAATTTCTTAAAAGGGCTACCAGTTCACCACCCTCTGCTTTGGGAGGATTCAAGAATAAGGGTAGTATCATGCACGGATGTTACTTTTAAGAGGGTACCAATGAGGTTGTAATACAATGATCCATTCACTCAGCGATCATTATCATTACAAGTTTCAAAAATAAACCAATTATCCTTGGTAACATTTTTCTTAATGCTCTTTCCATGGAAAAGCAGGTGAGGTTTCTTTCAAAATTTCCATTCATAGGTACTTAAAAGTTTTGAAAAAAACAACCTGGCTAAAATCATGTAAAAGTTCAGAAATTGAAAAGAAAAAATTGGTCTTCCTGCACTACAATATGAAAGAGAAAGGAGTTGACAGTCACAAATCACAAAATTTGGGAGAGAGGACTTTCAAAATCATGAAAATCACATCAACCATTCACCTCAGAAACTTACATGGTTGTTACAAGGTTAGACTACTGCACAATGACGTAATGCTATATTTTCTATGTATTGCTTTTTGTAAAAGGCCTCCAGTGTTAAAGCACCTCTTAAAAATAAACTCATTATACTACTACTACTCTTTACTTCAGTTCAGATATAATTACTTTTAGGCCAGAAGTATAATTTAAGAGAGGAGAGAACAGCATTTATATTATAACAACTTAAAATTCCAATAATTATTTGCCTTAGATACATTCATCAAGAGGAAAAAAACCAATGTGCTCATGAAAGAGTTAATTCAGGAGTAGCTTAGAGTTTGACACATTCATATTTTTTCCTGTCAAAAATTCAAATCAAGAAAAAATATTTGATAAGCAGGGATTATTTATTTTTGACTGAAGGTCTTCAGAATGTAAAAAATTTAAACAGCTTGTTTTTACGACTTAGTGCGAATTGATACTTGGCTGCTAGACTCAATCCATTAAAAGGAGCATCTTATGCACCTGAATGTAAACGTAGTCACATAAAGTAGATTGATTTTACGAAAATCATAAGAAAACCTAGTTATAGCTGTGCTCTGGATAGAATAGTTTCGCGAGAGAAAACTACAGTTTGATTATGTTTTTTTGGCTTAGGGCCGCAATACCAACTCGACGGAGAAACAGCAAGAATGAGTATTTCGATTTGCGACAGAGCAAACTTCTGTCATAATTCATTCATTAAATAGAAAAATACTAGATGTCCTTTCTTGAGAACTTCCTTTTCTGAATGAAAAATAAGCGATAAAATTTTCAAGCGATAGCTTAGGTTTGCTCTCCTTTGTTAAAATGAAACGGAAGTGGAGGTACGAATTCTTGCAATTCCACCATCAAAATGTAGCTGGCATTTTAATTGGACTGAGTTCAACAGGAGGTAACGATGTCACATACCGGAAAAAAATAAGTTGATAGTTTAGAGTTCAACTGGCTGCACATTTTCTTCGGTTAAAAGTCAAGAAAAAAAATTTTGAATGTGAAAATAGGAGTCGCACTTAATCTGTGATATTGAGTTAAATAAAGGAATAAAACTTCAATCTTTCCTTTCTCGGTTTCATCTTGATAGAACTCCGCTCCTTCTTGTTGAACTCCATCCACTTGGATTGAAAACTTATGTTTATCTTGATTGAGGCATCAGAGATAAAAAGATACAGCTCTTCTTTCAATTAGATAAGATTGGTTTGGTAAGATTTCAGGATTAAAAAGAGTGTGATAACCATGTTATACAAAGTTAAATTTTATTAAAAACAGGTCAAGATAACATTTATCTGTAAACAGTGTTGATGTTCTTTCGAAGCGTGAATAATCCAAGCTTCCTCTTCTGTACGATACGGTGAACAAGTGGGAACTTGATGTTGGGTTGCAGCCATTGTTTGATGTAGGGTCTGCGTACATCGTCTTCTTTGATGGTGGCAATCCGGATGATCTAGAAACAGAGAACAAGAAAAATAATCACATTTGGCAAGAGAATGGATACGAAAAGGCAACTGCAAAGAGAGAAAAAAAGAGCCAGATTTAACGATTTGCTGTTCCTTCCTGATTTGGAAGCAGGCCCAAAATCATTCAGGATGGCTTAAGAATTGGCAGGAATATGGTGAATTGTAGCATTTTTACTTCAGAAGGGTCTTAATGCTGATTCAGAGAGATTTCAAAATTTAGTGGGGTTTTAAACTTAGCCATTCTTAGTATGGACAATGCAAGGTTCTACATGACATCTCAAGGTGAACAAGGGTGCCCTACTGGAAGTTTCTCTTGAAAGTTTTCTGTGTTAGTAATCATTTTTCGATTGAAGAAATAAAAAAACATGCCTAATGGGCCTGTTGCAAACTTTTGCTGGAGCAAAAATGAGAGTTGTTCCTTCAGGATAATGCCTCAAAAATCACAATGAGCGCATCTGCAAAGTCTGAAATGCACTCATAACTTCACAAGCTACATAAGAAAGCGGTTTCTTGAGCTTCCCACTTCAAAGACGATACTACGGCGCAGGTGAACATTTTGTGAAGAGGAGTCGTTCCATCGTCGGCAATATTCATCATGGCCGACGCTTCCGCAGTTCCGTGCGTAGTTCGAGAAGAGATCAATGTCCAATGATGGAACGACTCCTCTGACAAAATGTTCACCTGTGCCGTAGTATCGTTTTTGAAGCAGGAAGCTCAAAAAACTGCAAATTTCTTACTCAGATTGTGATGTTATGAGTGCATTTCAGACCATGCCGATGCCCTCATTGTGATTTTTGATACAATATCTACAAGAAACAACTCTCATTTTTACTCTGGCAAAAGTTTGCAACAGGCCCATTGGTTTGCTAAGAGTAATGTAAAAACTTGCTGCATTTAAAAGAGCAGACTGCACTACCAACCGAGAAAGGTAAGCACTAGGGCATAAGTCTCATTTCTTCTGGTCGGCAGGCTGAGGAAGACTAGAATGCTTCATTCCACAAAAAAAACTGATTGGAAAAATTTTTCTGCACCTGTGTCTCAACTTTGATGGATATTTCGGTCCAAGGTAAAATCAATTTGAGATTCTAAACGAATCTTTTTCCACGAATGCTCTATTTCAAGCAAAATGAACATCACCATATTTCTTGCTTTCAGTTGCGAGTCAAAAGTATTGGAAGTTACAATCCTCCCCCATTTTTTACTTAAAATTGATGATCAGTTCCCTCCCGAGACTCAAAAAAATTTTCAACCATTACTGATCCATGAGAATGAACATTTTAAAAAATCTGAAATGGTTTCTTTAGTATTTTAGATTCTTATAGGGGTTACCCCATCTTTTATTGTTCTCCCATTCCATTTTCTGCGACCAGCTAGTTACTCAGTTAGAAAGTCTCTGCTCCGTTCTCAACGAGGAGTCTTTGTTTTACTTCCGAGTTCATTTATGTCTTGAGCTTGCATTGAATTGTTCAACTTCTATCTTCATTTTATGAGATCTCAAGGTCTCTCAACTTCTTCATTAGCAACAGCCTTTGAATTAAAGAAACTTGAGTCCTTAAATGAATCGAACTGGAATGTAATTAAAGTTAAATTGAGGAGTTAAAGATTTTACTCATCATACCTGGATACTGTGAACGCGAGCTTTGTGTTTGGAGGCCATTTCTCTGTACATTTTTCCAACAGCACTGCATGTACTGAGTGCTCTGTACTCCCTGTACATGTTTGAGGTACCATTCCTGTGGTCATATCGCAGCCAAATACCGATGTTCTTGACTGTCGTAGGGTCCTTTTCAAAGATCTGAAAAAAAAAACAAAAAAAACTCCAATATAATTTGTTCATATGAATAGATCAGGAGAACTTACACTGAAGGATAGGAAATACAAGCAAGACACAAACCTAGTGGGAAACTGAACTTGATATCAATGGTCTTAATTATATCTTTCAACACCTTTCAGGGACAAAACGAGGTACATTTGATGGCTGAAATGGGAATTATGTGTTGTGGTGTTTCAAAAGTTTCTCTATTATATTTTTTCTAAAAGAAATGAGCCAATTTTAAACCCTAAAATTTTTACTGCATATTCTGCTGACAGAGAAAAAAAATTGAGGACGTTATCAATAAATAACACTGACTTGTTTTCCAAAAAAACATTAAGTATGACAGGAAGTCTAAAAAATATCGGGAACAGAGAAACATCAAATCGCACTTCAGCTATCAGTATGCAAAAAACAGTAATATGCTGAGTAATCTCAAGTCAAGTGGTTCACAATTATTTGAATGTTTCAATTCATACCTGTCGAGGCAAATTTTTGTTTTTTCCTATGGTTAAGGTATTTCAACGGTTGCCATTTTTTGTGTCAGAGCGGCGTGCAATATATCGCTACTTGGTGTTTTTTTCGAATTCTGAGATTGCTTTCCTGTTGTCACAAGACTAAAGAATTCACGGACCAAATTGGACAAAGAAATTCAACGTATTAAAGGCAGGGTTTTTTCAGAGGAAAAGTACCGCATTCGAGTGCAGTTCTGAAATCAGTATCGAATGCGATGATTTTCCTCTAAAAAAACCCTACCTTTACTACTTTGAATTTCTTTTTTCAAATTCGGTACATGAATTCTTTTCAACAGAAAAGCGATCTAAGAATTCGAAAAAAATGACAAGTAGCTGATATTATGGAATGAATTGATGCAATATATCGCTCTGACACAAAAAATGGCCACCTTTGAGTCACCTTAAAACAAAGGATAAGACATGAAATAGACGCAGGGGGGAAAAAAAAAGACAGGTAAATTGAGGTTTGGAGAAGAGACATTAGTTTGTAATGTTACTTGGATTTGAGCCAGCTGGGGAAAAACACTGGATCCTGAACCTGCCCTGGACAGCTTATTAACAATATAAAAATGGACCGATCGGCTTTTGTGATTCTACTTGTTCTAGCCAAGTTCTGGAACAAGGACTATTAAGAAAGATGATGCTCATCAGAACTTACTTCTTTAACTTGAACGATTTCTCCTGTCGATTTCTTGAATTTGCGCAACTGACGGAGGAAATACCAAAACCTGGATTTGGCTATGATTCTGTTGGGGGCAAATATCCTCATTCTGTATAAGGGTGTTTGTTCCTTCAAGTTCTTTGGCATTTTACGGCCAATAACTCGGAATTCTCTGACCTGTAAACAAAAGCCAAAATCATTACTTCGAGTTACCTTCTTTTAAGATCTCATAATCATGAGTTTGAGAATTGAAATTTTCAAAACTGGAAGTCAGAGCCAAAATTGACATTAGGGTCAAATATTGATGACGAGGCAGCAAATTTCCACAGAACTGAGCCCCTACAACATTAAATATAGTTTGGTCACAGACAGTGTGAGCACTGTGCTTCATTAAACCAAAAAGTAGTAACTGTTTTCTCAAGTTACAGGCCACGTATGTTAGAACTGGGGAAAGAAAAGAATAGACAAATGTCACATCAATCGTCACTTGGCCCATATGTTATCATGTAAATTTATGTTGAATTGTGCCATTCTCTGATGTGACATTTGTCTATTCTTTTCTTTCCCCAGTTCTAAGAAGACGTAGTTTGCCTCGAGATTAGTCTATGGCCCCTCCACTATAGCCTTCTGAGGCACAGAACGTTGAGAGTTGGAATTTGTCATTTGAATGAAGTACATCATTGCTGCAGCCCGACCACGGACCTCTTCCATCGATAGTGCTAGAACTCGGCTCCATTCCAATGGAATACCCTTCGAGGGTGACCACAGACCTCGATTTATGGAAACGGTTTTGGAAAGCTGTTCCATCGCTTATCGAAATCGAGTTTAGGGTTCTTCTTTTGTTTACGCACTTCTCACTCGTTGGTCATTGAAGTTGATTTAGTTCAAGTTATTGGTTGAAAACAAAATTTTGAGGTTAGTGTGTATCCCGCCAGTAATATTTTCCAACCTGTTTCTTCTTCTTCAATGAATGCATCAAGGACAGTGATTGGTTGAGAACAATTGGACCGCGTTTAACAGAAAGGAACCAAGCCACATCAGCTATTGCCAAATTTAATTGGGCAATTTAATTTTTCACGAGAGAATGTTAGTGTGGATTTCTTTGAAAATTTAAAGGAATTTGCTTTGTACTGTAGAGAAAATCCACTGAAATTTGCACGAAAATCCGGACATCCGTTTTCATGTAAAAAATTGAATTGCTCGAAAAAATTAAATTGCTCGGCAATGGCCGATGTGGCTTGGTTCCTTTCTGATTGACGCAGTCCAATTTCCTCTTTTACAGTTAATATTTCAACATAGCATGCCTTTCCATCGCGGTCCGTGATCGCAAAAATTCTAGCAATGGAGCTGCTATAGAACGAACTTGCACTTCCATCACCAGGAGCCATAGAAGTCTGTGGTCAGGCTGCTTGAGATCATGTTGTTTTCTTTAGATTTAAAATATCTAGCATAGACAGTCTATATGGTATCTCTGAAACCCCCTGATCAGAACACTGAAGGATTATAACATAACTCAGAGGCTAATTTCTTCAGTCCAGGCAAAACTTAAGCAACTTAGGGTTGCGGGAGTTGGCAGAGATCATTGGCATCGCCATTTCTCAGCGCTGAAGTTTTAAAGATATGCACTTGCATCAAGAGAATTAATCATCATAACTATTCGTGATGGGTGCCAGCTTTACAATCTGCATTTTGAAGTTCTTAGATAGGTGACCATACAGGAAATTTTTGGGGAAGCATAGGGTCATAAGATCAGCTGGCTTTGTCAGTCATTCTTCATGTTGCGTCTGTGTCCGATAGAATCGACGACAGGCTAATCACCCCTCGAGGTGCCAGTATATGACTTTCAGATCCACCAAACATGAGCATGACGAAGAGGACTACGAAGCCGATCCATCACTGACTCCATACTTCCTTGATTTCCTGTTGTTGGTCGAAAAACACAAGATTTCAACGATCAGGCCCGACTGGGTGCTAGCCCTGATAAAGAGGTTAGGATTCATTTCAATCAGTCACAATGGACTGGTAAAATGGGTTTCAATATAGTTTCAAGATTGAAAAGGGCCACATTAGTGCTCAGTCATGGAAATAGGACGAAAGATTTTAAATGGGAAATGAGGACGGATAATCGGCGGCTAATGTCGCCTACGCGGCCTCGTGAAAGATGGCTACACGTGGTACGTGGAAGAAGCGCCGAATAAGTTCAAAATCAAGTCAAACTGCACTGCACATAGTGTAAATTAAGTAAAATTACGAACCTTCTTCCTGATTTTCATTTTGAACTGTATAAAACTTCACAAAGATTAAAAAAATAAGAGAAAGAGACCCGAACTGACTCGCGTCTTCCTGCAAGATGGGACGACAAACAAGGGAGGGAATATGGGAAACTGGGAAGACAACCAAAGAACCATAATTTCCCACAAGAAAGGTGATGAAGGAAAAAAATAATTTAGGAATAGTTCATAGGGAGATGTTATTGAAAAATGTCCTCCTAAAAAAGTATTTCGGTTTGAAATTTTTTTCACCGATTGACATTCAAATGTAAGTAAAATGGTAACATTTTCGTGAGAAAGGCAAAGTGAGAAAACTCACTTTGCAGCTCCGTCATCACTGAAATGAGCCTGGCGCGTAATTTGAAATACCGCTTAGGTAAATGTGGGTTCGACGTTCGACGGTATTTTTCGTCGAGGTCATGAATGTTTACGTATAGTTAGGTAGGAATTTTTTTCTACAAGTAGGCAGCTCATTGCCTCCTATCTTAGTGTTTTCACACAAAATATATATGACCGTTTAACCTGCTTAATAAACGTTTCACGATGGTAAATGAAGAGAGGTCCTCAACAAATCCTAACATCAGATTATAGAACCACATCACTTTATATGCAGTAAACCTATCAGTGAGAGTTTCTGATGAAGTTTGAGAAACTTGATAAAACTTCACTGAACTTCACGGTTGTGTGGGTCAGGGCCGGATTAAGTGGGTTGCCACATGGGCCGCGGCCCATGGCGGCAAATCAAGGGGGCGGCAAATTTTGCAATTTTTTTAAAAAAAAATCGAATTTTGAAAAAAAAATTACAAACGAGAAAAGGCGACAGAATCTCTCATTTCCTGAAGTATAATAATTTCTAATTTTTTTGTCTTTTAGTGATAAAAGAGACAGAACCTTTCATTAATAACCTTAAGAGAGAAACCAAACACGCAATTTGGCCTGGACTTAGAAAGAAATGATGACGAGGACTTGAGATTAGAAGGAGAAGCCCTCGGCGCGGCGGTCGGCATGCAACACATATTATCGCCTACAAGACTGCACGAATACTTTACGCCTTGCATCAAACACAGTGCGGTCACTGCGGTTAGCGTGAAACGGATAGCGCCTACAAGAATGCAAGAATACTTCACGCATTGCGCCAAAGACAGTGCGGTCAGTGTGAAACGCTTAGAGCCTACAAGACTGCGTGAATACTTCACGCATTGCGTCAAACACAGTGCAGTCTGCGGGGCGGCGGAAGTTAAAATCATTAAACTACATCTATGTTTGTTCTTTCATAATTTGTTCGTTCATTTCTTATGAATGGAAGGCCTTGTTTACACAGAACTACGTTTACGGAACTTAACTTTCGCGCAAAGTTCCGTGAACTTTTGCTAGTAGTGTTAACAGAGTTTTCCCAAAATATATGTCCAACACGAGTAAACGATTCCTATGCACCCCTCCCCCGCTGGCACGCTTACTTGATGGGTTTTAGTGGTATTTCAAAACGAATATGAGAAGGGGGCGGCAAAATACAGGCAGCCCATGGGCGGCAAGTAGGTAAATCCGGCCCTGGTGTGGGTGGTTGCCATGTAAGTGCCAATGGCCCGTATACCTACGCCGCAGATTACGAGTATAACTAATCAAGTATAGAACAGGAGGAAATACGACGGATTACTCAGTGATCATTCAAGCATAGGTAAATAAGGATTCTCTCCCTAGTTAGAATGAACTATAAAAAACTATTTTGTTCCGATTCTCTTAAAATTTTTTTTTTTATCCCTTATGCTTCTTTTTTTAAAAAGCAAACGTACAAGTCCAATGAATTCAGGCTCGAACTGGCCATTTGGCCTTAAGGCCAATATGTCATTGGCAGATACTTACGCCCCCTTAGTGCGCCCCTCTGACAGATAGCAAAATAGGAAGAGAGAGAAAAAAACCATGACCGAGAAAAAATTCGGAAAATTCAGAAATGGACGGGAGAAGAGAAAGTAAGAAAAAAGAGAATAAAAAGTTTCATACTTCATTTCAAAAAGAGCCTACTGCCGCGAGAGTAAACTGCTAAAGGAATTTTGACAAATATATAGTCACTTGTTCTTAAAATTGAGGATTTGATAACCCTCTATGCATTTTCAAACCATGCATGTGAAGTTCTTATAAGAATTTTACATAATATCAGTCAGATAAACCCTCAGATGTCAATCGTAAGTTCCGAGTCTGGCCGAAATGACCCGTATTTAAGCAGATTGATTCTGATGGTTTTGAACATGCTATATTTCTGTGTTTTGGAGAGTAAGCATTTCTTTTTTTCTTTTTTCTCTTTTTTTTTTTAATATGTTCACCTTTTTGGTGACATACTGGCTTTTTATCACCCCCCTCCTCCTCCTTAACCGCCATATTGCGATGATGAAACTACCAAACCACATATCTCGTTTGCGATGTAAAGGAGAACAAAGCAACATCATCCCTTGAAATTTTCTGACAATTTGCTCCGCATAGAGAAGAAAAATCACAGAAGTATTTATGAATTGGCATTGTTCGGTTTTCCATTTAAAAAATTATGACGGGAAGTCTGCAACGTCGCAAACCGAGATACGTGGTTCGGGAGTTTCACCATCCGGTATGCATAGAGAAAAAAAAGGAGGTGTTTGCATTTCGGGCATCTTGGAAGTTTTTGATGACTTGATGACCTAGGTGGGTACAGCTGGGTACAGCGACGTCCCCTTCACGCTGTACCCACCTACGTCATCAAGTCATCAAAAAATTCCAAGATGCCCGAAATGCAAACACCTCCTTTTTTTTCTCTATGTCCGGTATGTAACTTCCTTTAGGTGAGACGGCCGGGTCAATTTTTAGACGTGCGCCCATTACTTAGAGCGCTCAAGAGACCTTTAAATACTTTTTCCCCTTTTCAAAATGATATTGATTCGGACATATCATATCTTATCATATTTTGAGCGAATTTAACGTTAACTTCATCTCAAATTGCAAAAACAAGAGACATCTAAACGCGGTACAACTATTCATATATTTGGTGGATGAGCATAATGCAAATGTAAAATTTAACGCGCGATGTTGAGTCGTAAACACGCAATGCTCTGTTCTATGGTGCTAGTGTGATTCGGGAGAAAAGTTAACCGACGAGGCCAGATATTACTTCTTAGCTAATTTCGGCTGTGTTGCCCAGGCGTGGCCTTTGAAACACCACCACAAAAACAAATATGAAAAACGGTATTAAACCTAGCACGAAAATGGAGCGAGGGAAAGGAGGCGCGTTGCTAACGGCGCAGAGATGCAACTATTCGTGCACGATGGACGTTCGTGTTGCATCTGCGAAATTGAAGGCGCGCTAGCGAGAGGCGTGAACTCGCGCTGCTCCGCTTTATGCTGCCAATGAAGTGTCGGTAGATTCGGGAGATAAAGTTGAAAGACGAGGCTTGATTGGGTCTCTCCTATCTTCGGCTGCGATGATACTCAATTATTTTTCTTCCTTTTTTTCAATTTGATGTCCGATTCTTTTTTCACGGTGTATTTGCAGACCTACATCTCAGGCTCGCAAGTAACGGATACAACCCGCGGGGTATTTTCATCAATTCGTTCCTGTCTCTTTACTTTTTTTTTTTTTTTTACTTATTTATTTATTTTTTTACGTTTCTTACTGAACACATTGTCCTTTTCCAACCCAACACTTTTTTACCCCTTTCTCGCTCCTTCAAAATTTCACCTTGTACTTACTAGGTTGAATGTTTAATTTATTTTCGACGGGGTTAGAAAGATCCCTCCGGCTGACATATTTCTTGGGTACATCATATTTAGACTTACCTAGTTTTCAAAAGCTCTATTTTTGATCGTGAGTTCAGGCTCCCTTTTCTGAAAATTATGTTGCTTGGATGCGTAAAGTAGCTTTGATTTTATTTTTTTTCTTTCACTTCACAAGTCTTCAGGTAACATTCAATTTTCACTCTGAGCGTTTAATCAACTTCAGACCTGAAAATAGTGTAAAAATGCGCTGATTTGTCAAAATTTTCTGTATCGCCTTTTACGTCGGGGGTATGCCCCCGCACATCCCCCGGGCAAACCATCATATTACGCCCATTTGGCCGACTAAGCTGTCATGCTATGGAAGAACGCCGTATGAACATTCGAGAGTTGCCAAATCTCCTTCGATAAAATGTTTATTTACGAGGAATATTATCAATATTTTTCCTTGAAATTTTCAGACTCTTATTTGGATCAAATTACAAACAAAATTACCTGAGAAATTGGAAGATAAATATTCACAAATTTTCTAGAAAATGAGTGATTTGTCAATGGAAATTTGGCAACGCCTGCGGGCTCATACGGCGTTTTTCCTTAGCACGGCAGTAAGGGTCTACGCCCTGGCCCTGATGTCTGATGTGGTGAGTCAGTTGATCAGATGCGGTAATCTTCTTCAGCTTGTCAGACGGACACCAGGCGCACATACACACACGCAGCAATACAGGCTTTGGCTCGTGTTTTACCCACGGTGGTAGTGCGAATCCCTTTGCGGTAAGACCACTTAATTGCTTTTGAATGAGTGCCCCGAAAAGCACGACAATAAACGGAAGCCAGAGCTCAACATAACTGGTCACACGCTTGATATAGTGATAGATCACACCAAACCATACGTTATGGGTGCTATTTTTTAAACCAATCTTGTTTCTATTCCTTAAAATTTTATTCCCTCAACATTCCGTGATGCTATCGGCACTTCTAACTCACGTACCAACTCCGGAAAGAAAAAGAAAAATTATATCAAACAGTAACAGTATTATTCAATCAGTAACAGAAATAATGTCTTGTGGTCCCTGTCTGCTGGGTATACCTAATTTCGGTTGTGTTGCCCACGCGTGGCCTTTGAAACACCACCACAAATAAAAATGTGAAAAACGGAAATAGGTAAACCCAGCACGCTGCCGTGCTAAGGAAGACCGCCGTAAGAGCCTTCAGATGTTGCCAAGTTTCCTCCGATAAAAACTGAATTTACTGGGAAAATTGCGAATATTATTTTCCAAAATTTTCGGACAATTTTGTACACAATTTAAGCTAAAATATCTGAAAATTTCAAGGAAAATGTGCACGAATGCTGTAGAAAATACGTGTTTTGTCGAGGGAAATTTAGCAACTCTCGAATGTTCATACGGCGTTCTTCCTTAGCACGGCAACACGGAAATGGAGCGAGGAAAAGGAGGCGCGTTGATAACGGCGCAGAGATACAACTATTCGTACACGATGGACGTCCGTGTTGCATCTGCAAAATTGAAGGCGCGCTAGCGAGAGGCGTGAATTCCCGTTGCTCAGCTCAACTGTTAATTACGTCCCTACTGTTAACTTTGTGTTCTCAGGGAGTAGAGGGGGGTAGGTAAGACTGATCCTGAAGTTCACTGGTCACACTTCTGATGTATAAATTGCTGAGTGTTTTTTTTTTTTTTTTTTTTTTTTTTTTTTTTTTTTTTTTAACATACAAAAATAGAACATTTTTCCTAAGTACGTCGAACTTCTTTGATACTATCTATCAAATGCAAGCCACTTGCGAGAAAAAACGGGTACATACAGGGTCTTCCGAACCTTGATCTCCATGATTCTTAAGCCTGTTTCAGACTATCAAAGTACAGGTCTCAAAGTGGTGTCACGTGGGGTCACGTGATCCTAAAAGATTGTCAGCCCGGCAGTCTTAGTGTTATTTGCGCGTTGTGAATGCTAGCGTCACATTCCCTCGGCGGCGATACAGCGTAAGATCTCCATGGCAGCGTAAATTAGTTTATCTTCGATACGCACGCATTTGTCCATGTTATGAAGGCTGTTTTCAAACTTTTCCCCGTCTGTGAATCATTCGATTCCAAAATAGTGTCAAAATGGGAGAGAGGACCCTAGTTTCTCAACATACACTAGTCAAGTATGGAAATCCGGTGCTTGTAACGAAAAAACGGGACAAATCGCCGTATAAAGTAAGTCTAAAAATTGTATTTTTCTTCTCGTTGAAACCGGTAACATAGGATCGGTATCATGAGTTATCTGCTTGGTTGGTTCATTTATTTGCTCGGAATTCAGAATAAGGTAGGTATATCGATGGCTAATCCCAAATTGCGTATTCCAAAGGAAAAATTGCAATATTATGAAATTGAGTTGCGATTTTTTGGCTATAAAATATCTGGGATTATGAAAATACGGACGATTATCCTCAATCTCGTCGCAATTTTATCTTCGTAAAATCACCTTCGATGAAATTAAAATTTTATCGCAATTTATCACGTTTTTTTTCGATAATATTGCGATAAATCGCCGTCCATAAAATCGCGATTTTATTGGAAATTTACGGGATGAAATCGCAATTGTTTATTCATAATATTGCAACAAATCGACATCGATAAAATCCAGGGCCGGATTTACCTACTTACCGCCTGTATTTTGCCGCCCCCTTCTCATTCGTTTTGAAACATGAATAAAAACCATCAAGTGAACGTACCGGAGGGCGAGAGAGAGGGAGGGGTGCATGAGACGCGTTTACTCGTGTTGGACGCATTTTTTGCGAAAGCCCTGTCAACACTATTAGCAATAGTTCACGGAACTTGGCGCGAAAGTCAAGTTCCGTGAACCTATCTCTGTGTGGACAAGGTCTTCCATTCATAAGAAATGAATAAAAAATTATGAAAGAACAAACATAATATGGTTAAATAATTTTAGCTTCCACCGCCGCGCTGTCCGCACTGTGTTTGACGCAATGCGTGAAGTATTCACGCAGTCTTGTAGGCGCTATGCGTTCCACGCCGCGCCGACCGCTGCTGACCGCATTGTGTTTGACACAATGCGTGAAGTATTCATGCAATCTTGTAGGCGCTAATATGTCACATGCCGACCACCGCGCCGAGGGCCGAGCAGGGCTCCTCTTTTTCGTCTCAAGTCCTCGTCATCATTGCTCTCAGCGCCGCACCGTTCCAGGCCAAATTGCGTGTTTGGTTTCTCTCTTAACTTGAATAAAAGGTGCTGTCTCTTGTATCTCCGGAAGACGACACAATTAGAAATTACAATACTATCAGGAAATGAGAGATATTGTCGCCTTCTCTCGTTTGTAATTTTTTTTCTGAATCCTTTTTATTTTTTTTTTACCTAGTGGCAAAATTAGCCGCCCCCTAAATTTGCCGCCATGGGTCGCGGCCCATTTGGCCACCCCCTAAATCCAGCCCTGATAAAATCGCGATACATTCTCCGATCAAATCGGAACATATCGCAATATATTACTATATATTGCATATTGCTGTTTGAGATATGCGAGGCCACGCGCTTCCATTGCGGTGTTTCAAAATCGTTTCTCCTCTTTTCGAAGAGAATCAAGTCAACTATATACGGCTAAAAATGTCTGCGGAAAATTTTGCTGATAAACAAAAAAACTGAGGAAGTTTTCGAGAAATTTAGTTGAATAGTTTTCCAGCGAAAAATTAAATTATGACAAGGAGTCTGGACCGTCTCAAATGGAGATTTATGATGTCACACTATGGCCAGCGATATACTGTCTCCCAAGTAGCATTTCTCAACGGAAAAATCGCTATATATATTGCGATTTTATCGGCGGTAAAATCGCCAGAATCATCAACATCTGAGCAAGTATCCTCGATCGCGATAAAATCGCGCTTTTATCGCCCGACAGTTCATCGTGCTATTTTCTAAAAAAAAATCGCAATAATTGGCGATTTAATCTCGATTTTACCGAACCAAAAATTGCGATGTGTAGCGATTTAATCGCCATTATATCGCAATTTTTAATGCGATAATATCTCGATATATTGCCACCGATTGAATCGCTATTTATCACAATCACTGCTACTTGGGCTGTGAAAACTTCATGAACGTTTCATCCGTGAGCGAGAAAACAGCCGGGGCAAGGTTCAGGGCTACGTCATAATTTGCAACTTCCCGTCGAATTTTTTTTGGGAATACCATTTCTACAGCTAGGCCGTGTTCTCCGTTCCGATTTTGTGATGACCTCAGCGCATTCATGGCATTTTAAAGAAAACCACTACCTCCAATTGAGGCTGAATAAAAAATTACTGGTGAAAATCACCCAAAATTTCATTACACTCAATTATAACTGACAAAAATTAGGCCATGTCTTTTCTCAATATAGACGTTGGATTCTTTTTAAGAGGGTCTATGAATGGTCCAGCGCTATTTCATGGCATCAAGTGCGCGTATTATTAATTTTTCAGTATGAAGGGTTAGAGCGCCTTCAATTTTTGTGCATGCAACATGGGCATCCTCGGAACACGAATAGTTGCATGAAGGCGTTGATGTTGATACCAATATTTCCCGCCGCTAGTCGGTTGAAACACTATATTTGTCTCACTTCCTAAATCCTCACGTGCTCTAATTCTTTTAAACAGAAATCTCAACTACATAAATGAACGTTCTCAAAAGCTTTATCCTGGATCATGAAGAATAAACTCGCAAAATTATATATTTCCATTCTTGCTTCCATTTAGTTTTTGTTTTAAAATTCACCATCAAAAATAATCAGAAAAGGTCTGATATATTTTAGATGAATCCAGTTACAGCCGTCCAAATCATTCCTCAATACTCAATACAGATAGAGAGGTCCTTTTTAAAAGAGTGTAGTGCAGATGACCCAGCGCTGCATCGTGACGTACAAAAATATGAGTTTGACTGCGCAAGGGTTTTAGCGCCTTCAATTGTTGTGTAAGCAACACGGACATCCTAGGAACACGAATAGTTGCATCGAGGAGTCGACATAGGTACTGCTCGCAGTTCGTAGGCACAGTTGCCAGATGATGCTGAGATTTCAGCACTTCCCCCATTTAAACCCGTATAAAACATCTGCACTTAATTGCACAATCTGGCAACTTTGTCGTAGGTTGAATCTACGTTGAAACACCATCTCCGGGTCGATTATTGAATCGTAATCGAATGATTTTGATAATAAATCTTCATCCTACCGATTCTAATCAGCGATCTAGGCCATTAGCGAACGCTCTTTGAATTTACCTCTTTCCACATGTACATGTTTTCTTCATAATTTCTAATTTCATTTGATTTTCTGCAGGAAATTCAGAAGTTTTTCCTTTAGGTTAACGGATATAAAGGACAGCACGAATTACCCTGTAAACTCCTTACTCAAGTAGATTTTTACAAAGGAAAAATCGCTATTTCGAAATTAAGTTGTGCGATTTTTGGCGATTAAATCGCTGAGAGCATCAACATCGGAGCGACTATCCTCGATTTTGTCGCGTTTGATCTCTATGAAATTGCGTTTAATAACAGCCAAATTGTACCTCAATCTATAACGATCTTCTGTTGGATTATATCACGAAAAGTCATCGTAGATAAAATTGCGATTTTATAGCATATTAATGTAAGTTTTAAAGGTTCACATACTGCATCTATTATAACTTGTTTGGAGGAAAGTGAGGTAGACCAAGTAGATGAAAAATAAAACAAAATCTTGTAATTGTGTAAATTATTTTATTTACTTTCCATCTGTGCCACTTATAATGTAGTTATTATTACTCGTAGTTTTATTCTAAATTGGATGTATATTTGCTTGTATGCTGTGCTCCCAAATGCATCCTACTGAAGATGGCCCCTCCGGCCGAGATGCATCTAGTTGAATAATAAAATGTAATTCTATGCATCTACTTGGTCTACCTCACTCTCTCCCAAACAAATTAATGTGATGAAATGACAATTTTTTATCCGTTAATATTGAAATAAATCGACGGCGATAAAATCGCGATACATTTTCCAATCATGCTACTTGGGCCATGCTGCTTAGGCACGAGGTACAAGCTGCTTGCTGATACAAAGTTTTGGCCAGGTTTTAAGTCCAGATACTAATTTGCGGAACCTCTGCATGACATTTTTCACCCAGTGCCGCTGATTGCTTCTCTTCTAGAAAACTACTAAAACCAGGATTTTCCTTGCACCATAAACATGGTTAAACTGCAAAAATCGTCGCCCTCTTGACATAATGACCTAACTACTGCCGTGCTAAGGAAAAACGCCGTATGAACCTCCAGGCGTTGCCAAATTTTCTTTGATAAAATACAAATCCCCTGGTAACCTTATCAATATTTCTCTTTCAATTTATCAGAGAATTTTGTTTGTATTTTGTTCTAAAGTTCCTGATAATGTCAAGGAAAAATGGATTGCATTTTGCAAAAAGGAACTACTCGCATTGCAATGTTGCCAAGATTGTGCAACTTCTTTTGTCTTGGAGGAAAAACCCGATTATCCATTCATAGTTTCTATTTTACTCGCTAAAAACTGTAAATTTAAGACAAAAATTACCATCTAAATTTCATAGTTTTTCACGATTTCCGCAATTTTATTGCAAAAGATGAAGTTGCACAATCTTAGCATCATTGCAATGCTAGTGGTTCCTTTTTGCAAAATGCAATCCAAATATTCATATAACTTTCCTTCAAAATACACATTTTGTCGAAGGAAATTTGACAACTTTCGAATGTTCATACGGAGTTCTTCCTTAGCGCGGCAGACTGAAAGTCACGATGAACCCTGCCGTCTATTATGACTCAATGCTTTTCCTGGCTCATCTCTTGGTACAGTTACGCCCTTTTGTCAGTAAAGCGACGAAATGCGTACCTTGGTTTGCGGCGTTGCAGACTTCAAGTCATACTTTATTTCCGACAACTGAACATCGGACGTATTTCTACCAAACAGACCTATGTGGCGGTGAGAAATATGGGGTGTGCTCTAGAAATCTGCATAAGAAGCAATGTAAAAGTGGGCGTGGTTCCTTTTGAAGAATTGGAAAAGCGGGATAATGCATTCTATCAAACAGACCTATGTGCAACTGAGTGCGGAACTCATGAGCCGCGGGCATGGCAAGAGAGCGTTGTGCACAGGGCTCATGAGTTTATGCGGAGGCGGATGGACGGGGGCGGCGGAGGCGAGCGGCTTCGTTACCGCTGACGTCACTGGCGCTTTATTATTCTCATTCACTCTTACGCAAAGAGAACTAACGAGCACACCCCATATTTCTCACTTCCACATAGGTCTGTTTGGTAGAACTACGTCCATTTCTTAAAAACTTCGGCGACTTTTCTTTTCTACGTGAGGAACATTCGGTGACAATTTCAAGTTCTGATGTTGATTAGGTCGCTCCAAAATAAAAGGGAGTGGATAATTAAAACACCGCAACCGAGTTACGCGTTTTTGCAGTTATACCGTCGATATCTAAAATTTCTGAGGGGAGGGTAAAGAAGGAAAATCAACATAAAATGAGTCAACTGATTCAAAATATATTTAAGAGAATGAGATAACAGGACATAATTCAAAAGTATACATAGGTAATCGATGAGTGCGGAAAGAACAGAGGAAGAGGTTTTTACTTAATTCGCGAATTCATTTCGAAATTCTACATTGATTGATGATAGATTAATTCGCACAAAGATGATGCAAGCTCAACATATACCCTATGAAATTAAATTATGAAGTCAGTGTGACTAGAGCATATTAGTTTCGTAACTGATTAATATGATGAGAAATGTACAATGCCGAAATACAGGACACAAAAAGACTTCGAAATTGTCGACGTTTCGTTAAAAAAATAATCCTAATAACTTCTAAATTTGGCATGCTTTTTTGATTAAATAAAACATTTGCTACTGTATCTTCATTACATAATGAAAAAGAAGAATTACAATTTTTCTTCGAAAATAACTAATGTATAAAATAAATACTATGAAGGAAAGTTGCGATAATAAGGCACACTTGAAATTCTTCAAGTTTTGCATGATTTTAATTGAATTTACAGAAAGGAAAGTGGTCAAAATTGCTTATAATTATTTTGAAGAAAGCTCGGGCGAGAAGAAAACATGGCAGGGTATTTTTCCTTGGAAGTTTGTACTTACAAAAGCCCCTGGAACATACAACTTGTTTGTGTGGAGGTAAAATCCTAGCTTAACTTATTGAGTTATTCCCTTGTAGATAACAAAAAGATCGGAATTCACTGAAAGGAACAGCTTTTTAGGATTGCTCCAGAGCGACATATTTGGGATGACTTCCTCACGAAATTAGGTTTAAATCGCAGTATGCGCGTATTGTAAAATTTAGTGCTTTTATTGTATTCAGTGCTTTAAATTTTGTTGACCAACTTGGGTCAGTGGCACCCTATTTGTAAAATTCGTTTTCTAAAAGTTCAGATTGAGCTGAGCTTTCAGTGCTTTTTTTGGATTTTATAGGGCCTGAAATCTTGAAGAAAACCTATTTTAAAATCGCCAAAAATCGGACCTGTTTGAAACTATAGTTCTTGGCGCGCTATTATGATGACATAGACAGGCTCTGTGACTACGACTTGCCTACCTAGCAAATGTAATTTTCACTCACATCAGTTATGGTCTATTGGGATGAGTAGGCGGATGTCTACTCGTGTCAATAGGTATAGACTCATATAAGTATTGGCATGAGTAGACAGATATTTGGACTGAGTTAAGCAGAAAGGAACCAACCCACATTTTGGAAAAAATTGAGTTATGAGTGGTTTCAAACTCAACCACTGCTCTACTATCTATCGCCAAAAATTCAAAGTTTTTGTTGGAGCAACTTTTGCAGAAATTGAACTTGAAGTTTATCTTTTACATTGAGTCTTATGCAGGAGCCAAACTTTAAACCTCTTTTTCTCGGTTCGATCCCGATGTGGCTTGGTTCCTTTCTGTTTAACTCTGTCCATTTACTCATGTGAAAAGGTCGGCTCATATAAGTAAGTTCACGCCTGCTCAGGTCAGAATTTGTACTCAACTCACATGACTAGAAATCCTACTCATATGAGTTAAAATTTCTACTCATCTCTACTCACCATTTTTAGCAGGGGTGTTCATTCATCGATTCTCATAATTTTCTATATTCTTTACGTGTAAATTATTATGTTAATTGTAGATTTTTGTTTGTTTATTAATCCATGTACAGTTAGGTTAAGTTGTATATAAGTAGGTTCGGTTGTATAGAAGTAGTTAAAGCATAAAGGCGAAGTCTTTATACGCCTATAAGCCCGGCAAAAGTTGAGGTATTCTGAACGGTAATAAGCTACACTGATTCGTTCTTTTTGAGTTGCAGTGTTTCGTTGAGTTGTTTTCCACTTGTTCGTTTCGCTCACAAATGTTTTTTCTTTATCTTTATTCTTAAATCTACTACTCCTGTTGCTGAATTCAATTAACATCCACTTCGGAGTTTCAACATAAACATTGATAAGGAAAAATAATTGTCCCTCTACTCAAGTCATCTTCTCCTCTTTCTTTTGTCCAATTTTGATACTCCCCTACAAATCAAAAGGATTGGCCAGATAATATTCCAACCATAATGGCGAGTTACAACGCATCAATGCAAGAATCAACTTTTTCACCCTACTACCTGGTAACGGGTCAACAATATAGAATGCCCACCGATACAGTCGTAAGACCTAACTGTGACGACCGATCTGCCACGGACCGAATGCTAAAGTTGGATACAGCCAGGAAAATCGCGTACGAAAATATAGGAAATGCACAAAAAAAAAAAACAACCTGAGAATCATAATAAAGAAAAACTAGACCCGTCGTTTTCAGTAGGAGACAAGGTACTACTTAATCAGCCAGCCAGAACGAAAGGCATGTCAGAAAAATTGCGTATTAAATATAACGGGCCATTGGAAATTATAGAGATAGTGTCTCCCAGTTGATTTAAAGTAAAAACCAAGTCCCGGGGGAAAAATGCAAGTGACATAATCCAAGCGGACAGATTAAAAGGATTTAATGCGGGGTAAACAGAAATCATGCAACATGTCATAGGACGGGAGCTTCGGTTCATAGACGGGCTGATAAATCCACGAAAAATATGTACCAGACCCGGAAAAAAGACGAGTATGCGAAGCTCGAAACCGAGGTTTCACGAACCCGAGTTTGTAATGCAAGTTTCCTCCGTCGGGTTTAGGCGAGCGCTGTAACCCGACTTTCGTGGGAAATCGCGTCGCTAGAATTTACGCCCGTTTATGCGCGTAGAAAGCAAGGTTTGTAAGCTACGGTTTTCTTTCTTAGATTCTTCCTCTGGTCATGCTATAGTTTCGAGATTATATTTTGGTGATAGCGTAGTTTGTGGACTCTGTCAAGTTATCGAATTTTCGGGGTTTCTTCGCGAACTTGTGTAAAATCTATTTCGTCAGTATTAGTTGCATTGTAAGTTATAAAACGGCTCTTTTCAGAGCCAAGTGTATGAGTATAGTGATGGATAAGTGCTTTGCTCCATGGAACTGGACTACCCTGCCGATTATTATGACGGTTATGAAGAACGTGTGCGTCTTCTTCAGCAGTATGTACAGGCCATCATAAACATTCATTTCCAAACGGCGGTAACTTGCGCCCTACAAATTCGAGAAAACACTAGGCATTTCGTTCGAAATCGTCTGTTCACGCGGTTCACGCTGTCACCATCGTGGTTATTTTCGTTCGATTTGAGATTAAGTTGTGCTCATGTTGCGTTGAGCTTGTTATGTCAGTGTGTATTTGGTCTTGTTATAATCATTTTGGTAAACAAAATCGTAATTATGGTTAATAAACCCTCAGGAATTAAACAAAAAAAAAAGCTGGCGGGCCTCAGAAACGAGCAAAACCCTATACGGCCATGCAAATGGAATATCTCACTGAGGCCATTAGAAAGAGACAGAAAGTTATTGAGTGTAAAAAAACAGACACTGTTGTGAATGCGGAAAAGACGGTTGCATGGCAAGATTTGGGCAACGAGTTAAACGCCCACCTCACCCCTGAAGATGGACCACGGACCCTTGTTCAGCTCGAAGGAAAGTGGAAACAAATGAAACGCGACGCCGGGAAAGTCATAAGAAAAATTTATCGAGAATGGGGTGGAATGGGAGGAGGACCCCGCAGTGGAAAGAAACACTGCCAGCACTGGAAGTACTAGAAGAAAAAGTGTACTACTGACTCTACGGTTTTATGCAACAGGCAGCTTTATTATTGTCAGCGCAGATTTCATGGGAATAAGCGTATCACGGGGACGTGAGATTATTCATGAGGTTACCCGTCAAATTGCTTTACTCCGACCCCAGTATATACTCATGCCTCGGAATGATCATGAAATTCACACAATACAAAGGAAATTTTATGAGCTTGCCCGCTTCCCAAAGGTCGTTGGGTCTGTCGACTGTACTCATATCCGAATTCAATCACCAGGTTTGTGCTTAATCCTTTCTGCCTAATGTGATTTTGATTGAAATACTGAGGAAATGTCATGTATGTGGACATTTCTTCTTTTTCCAGTGCACTCCTGGGCCAAGCACCAGCTCTGACAAACGGGGTGCAGTCGGCGGAGTGGAAAGAGATAAGGACACGGAGGATATTTTGAACTGCATCTTGCCACCGCGTGAATGGGAACAAGATGGTCAGTTATGGATTCAGCAAGTAAGTGAAATCAGGTTTGAAATAGCTTCTAGGCCGTCCATAAATTACCCATCCAAGGGAGGGCCCCTTGCTGCATGGGTGCAGAAAGTTCTTCGGCCTACACGGAAAAAACGAGTTTAGGGCTGGTACCTGCACCGAAGGTCCCAGCCCTAACCGGGTAGGTAAAATTGCTTCACCTCCACCGCCATAGGGGCAGGCCGGGCGCGCGTAGAGCCCAAATCTACCTGCTTCAGGGTTCAGCCCTACCTAGTAAGAGCTAGACCCTGTCTAGGTAGGGCTGGGCCTTACCCGCGCAGGGCCTGCCCCTGTGGCGGTGGAGGTGAAGCAATTCTAGGGCCCAGCCCTAATCTCGTTTTTTCAGTGTACGCAGTTTCAAGTAACAAGGGAGTAAATCCACGCACTACGACATTGCGCGTTCGCAGTAATTTACTAAAAATGAACGTTTTTGCCATTGCCTCAAAAAATGTTACGCTTCCCCAATCATTTTTTTTCTTAAAAAAAACCAATGTTTCTACTCATCCATTAGTGTTTACTAAGTCGGCCGGAAAAAGTTTACGTTCTCCTTCATTTCGCGGACATGCAACTTTACTTACTCGAAAGTCGAAAAAATTTTATCACGTGTTCCGCCCCATCCAACTTTTCTACTCTGCCGTTAAAATCTCTGAGTTAGCCGAAACTAAACCAAGCTCTCCTCAATGTTGTGGATGTGCGAAAAAGGTTTTTTTGCTATACATAAGGACCCCCTACTTACGCGCTTGCTTCTTGACAACGAAAACATCTGCAGATGTTAATTGACAAAATTGAATCTATAGAAGCCGCCACTTGCTGCCAGCGATCTCTCTCATTTCATTTAAATCCCATACGTTTTTACCTACAAACACATTCAGATAGCTTAAAATGCGGCGAATTTTCTCGTTATACTCCTGCAGAACATCCAATTTCAAAAACGGGATCTTATTCGTCGCTCTTTGATGCGGTAGGTCTCCCTTTTTCACAAGGAGTCGGGTAAGTCCCCACCTATCCGTCAGTCGTTATTACAGTTTTGAATCGAAGAGCCGAGTCTCTTGATTTAGGCGGATCTCCTTTTGATTCAAGCAAAAAGTCCGATTGAATCAAGAGTATTTTTTCTTGTTAATATTTTTAAGAGTCAGGGCTCTAGATCCAAGCGACTTTTTTTTCCCGTGTGTCAGATGCTTAAAAAGACATGATTTGAAATAGTTTTCAGACAACATTTTTTGTTCAAAGCGTCAAACCCATTTTAGAGAGGAAATAAACACTGGAAAAAAGCACACTGGATCTAGAGTCCAGACTCTTAAAATCATCGACAAGAAAAAATACTCTTGATTCAATTAGATTCAAGCTTAAATCAAGAAGCAAAGCTTCTTAATTTGAGCGGGTTTCCTTTTGATTTAAGCTTAAATCTGATTGAATAAAGAGTCCTTTTTCTTGTCGATGTTTTCAAGAGTCTGGACTCTAGATCCAATGTGTTTCTTTTTCCAGTGAAGGCGACTTGACAATTTTTCCCTGACATTTCCGTCGTTTCCTTGACATTTCCAGGGTTTCTCCGACAGTTCCCGGTTTTCCCGGTATTCTCTGACTGTGGCGACCCTGCATGGAGTCGTGAGAATGTTTTTCAGGCGTTTCCTGCAAGTTTCATGATTTATTTTTACAGGTCTCAAGCGACCCGGCAACACGGCTGGATGTACTAAAATTGGCTGAGCAGTTGGACATGCGCCTTCAGCAGCGGCAAGCTCGAGAGACCGGCATATGTCCTGTCAGAAGGGAGCTCTTCACTCAATGTTTCGGTAAATGAAAATGAATTAGCACGTGAAAGTCCTCCTTGATCCTCATTGAACACGATTGTGCCCAATAAATGGGCTTTTCATTAAAATGAGTGAAATCGCTGGTGGCATCTATGTTTCGTTTTGTTATGTTAATTAACCAACTACAGATAGACCAGGTTTAGCAGAAAGGAGCCAAGCCAAATCAGGTATTGCCAAATTTAACTGGGCAATTTAATTTTGCACAAGAGAACGTTTGTGCGGATTCCTTTGAAATAAGAAATTTGCTTCGTACTAAGCAGAAAATTCACTGAAATTTGCACAAAAATCCGCTCAACCGTTTCGTAAAACATTGAATTGCCAGATTTTGGCAATGGCTGATGTGGCTTGGCTCCTTTCTGCTTAACGCGGTCCAGATGGTCTCGTTGTCAAGAGGCAAACGTAAGTAGGGAGCCGTTATACAGCAAATAAATTTTCTCGCGCATCCACAACAATGGAAAAGGGCTTAGTCTTTTTTCCGCCTACTCGGAGATTTTAACGCCAGAGTAGAAAAGTTGGATGTGGCGGAACGCGCGATACAACTATTTCGACTTTCAAGTGGGTAAAATTGCAAATCTACAAAATATAGGAAAACAAAACCCATTTCGGCTGACTTGGAGACTTTAACGCGTGAGTAGAAAAGTTTGATTGGGCGAAGCACACGATACTGTTGAAAGTGAAACAAATTCATTCCGTTCCATAATGTGAAATTCCGCATCAATGCCTTACTTATATATGTATAGGGTGTCACCTGAGCACTGATAAGCTTTTCCTTTCTCATGCCCAGTCACATACGTATTAGCTTTATTCAATTAGTTGTGAGAGTACGCCTGTAGCCGCACGAAGTCGCTTTCTTTTCCACATATAAAATAATTATCATTTAATATGTTTTACGTAAATCCCTCATCCCTTAAAAAGTTAGGAGCCCAGGGTGCCAGTGACAATCATGTAACGATCAATCGCGCTGCAAAATCGTAAAAACGACGTGAATTTAAGTCAAAATTTCGGGCTACAAAGTGCCAACTCTACGAGCGACAAAGTGCCAACTTTACGAGCGACAAAGTGCCAACTTTACGAGCGACAAAGTGCCAACTATACGGGCGACAAAGTGCAAATTGTACGGTGAGAAAAAGCTAACTGAGGGCAACAAAATGCCAATTAGTTAAACTTACAATTCAACCGATCGTTTTTATGTTAATCTTCCGGGCAACACAGTTTCGGTCGACACAGTGACAACTGAATTAAGTGAAACTAAGTTTCTCTTGAGCTAATGTGACCAATTTTCCGTACAGAAAAGCAGTAGGATCGCTTTCGTACTTATCCAGTAAAACCCGACCAGATATAGCTTTTGCTACCAACGTAGTGAGCAGACATCTCGAGAATCCAACTAAAAATGATATAGTCAAAGTGAAAAGAATTTTACGATATAAAAAAACGTTGAACTAATAAAGAGGAATAAGGATAGATATATGAAATAGAAATCCGATTATCATTAAAGAAAGGTACTTTTCAGCTGGAGACTCATAACCGGGAGTTTCACCTTCTCAACGAGTGGATTGAGATTATGCGTCCGGCCATGACAGTTTTGTAGTTAGTCGGTCGCTTGCGTTGTATCGAACCGGCGAGATGCCTTTTTGCTAATAAAATGTAATACCTTTCTCGCAATCTTGGTTGAACCATTTTTGGACCTAAACTCGAAATAATATTTTCGTTAAAAACGACAGGGTCCCTCTATGAGCTGCTATTATTATTCGTCATTACCATTTCGAACTCTAAATTAATTGATTTGCCTTTTTTTCCAGATGAACTCATTCGACAGGTGACCATCAACTGCGCTGAGAGGGGTCTCCTCTTGCTCCGCGTTCGGGACGAGTTGAGAATGACCGCTGTAGCCTACCAGAAATTGTACGAAAGCAGTATTGCCTTCGGCATACGAAAGGCTCTATACGTAAGAAATGTATTCACTATCAGTCAAAACAATACGCTACACAGGAAAGCATTCGTGAATTTCTTGGGGGGGGGGGGGTGACAATTATTTTTTTTGTTTAGGAACAGGAAAATAGTATGACTTTTACAAATATTAACTTTCTAAAACAATAATCGAGAAAATCGATGAAAAGGGTCCAAACAAAAGGGGAAGTAGAAACCACATGCATTCATTTTTACTTGTCTACATGTTTGAAACACCCGTTGTTTCATTTTTACTTGTCTAAATTTTTGAATCACCCATTATTTTATTTTTACTTATCATCCTAATTTCTCTCTAGCACTGTTCTCCTTGTATATTGTATAAGCCCTAAAGGCTCCTTGCATAACTTATCTAAGAATGACGGGCGATTTGTAATGTATATAGTTTATTTCATATTCAATTAAGTAACTTCATCTCAATTTATTTATAAATCCTTTTTTTATAATTTTTATTAATTAAGTTCCCAGTTTTGAGAAGGAGAAAACCTCGCTCAATGTACATGCTGGTGCCTGTGAGGCTAATAAATCACGCGCTTCTTACCTTATTCACAGCTAAGAAGCAAAGCGTCGAACGTCACTAACCGGACTTCGAAAGTGAAATAAATCATAAAGGCGTTTCAAACCGTACACTATGTCTGATTCATCAGAAGTAAGTGGTAAGGGCCAACAAGAGGATCAATCAACGACAGAACATTCAACTGAGCGAATTCGTGCTCTCTGTCCTAATTACTTAGGGAAACCTGAGAACTTCGATCCCAACAAGGTCAAGACTAAAAAGATGAAAGCTAACGTTGCAGTCCCAAAGTCAAAAGGACCAACCAATGGAACGTCAACCAATCCAGTGAGATCTGGGCCGTCTTCACCAAACGTGTCACCACCAAGGTATCTGCACCGAAACGTGATGTGTGACGAGAGAGAGATCTGCATGCTCTGTTTTCTAGTAAAGCGGGGTACAGTTTTTCTCCCGGACATACCATGTGTCTGCAAACTGTCAGTGCCAACGGGGATTCTAGAGGTAGACGACAAAATTCTTCAACAATCCCTTGACTCCAGAGTTAGCACCCTTTCAGAGGTAGTCAAACAACCTGCGCCAACCAATCCATTCATGTCTGAATCACCAACTGTCCCTCCAACATCTGGGGCATCATTGAACAGACTGGAATACCAACGACTCATCATGTCCGAAAGGACCATATCGGTAAATGGCTGCGATGGTATAAGGGATAACCAGCAACAAATACACGAAGCGTTTTCACGCTTTCCAATGTCTAAAGATGAACCCAAGTGCCAAAAGAGACCGCATGCCACGACCATAACCATGCATGGTTTCGATCAGATCGTCTATCGTCAGAAGCGGTGGAAATTCGAAAAATTAGAAACTTTCCCGCCAAGGTCTCCATTCAGTCCTTAGATGCTATCATCACTATTATTAATTACTAGCCGTTCTGGGCGCGCTTCGCGCGCCCGTCGCGCCTAGCCGGGGGCTACGCCCCCTGGACCCCCGGTCACTCGCTACGCGAGTGACATTCGGCTCGCTTCGCGAGCCAATTTTGTAGTGGTTGCAAATTTTTTATCACTATATTTTGAAGATTTCATAGAAAACATTATGAAATTCTCACTCCACAATTAACTTGTAGAATAATAATGGCAGGGCAATAAATAGACTATATCTTAAAATGGACGGTTCCCACTTAGTAAAAACAGCCAACACCACGTGAAGGTGAGGAACCATCGTTAGCCACTTTTTTTTTTTTCTTTACTTTTCTGAAAAAAATTTACTGAAATTTTAGTTGCGTCCCCTAAAAGGAAACACGGAGAAAAAAATTTGTGCATGGAACCCGAAGCTGAGATCATATGGATCTCTGAAGTTTTCGGATCACGCATCCGAAAAGTTAGGGTCCATCTGCCGAAGTTCGGGTCAGACAATTGAAGTAGTTCGGTATATACCGAAGATTTCAGGTCACACATCTGACTCGGTGCATACCGAAGTGCTTCAGATTTCTGACTCAGAGATTTAGGAAAAACACAGTAGAGAACCAAGGAAATCACAGTAGAACAGAGAAAAAAATACAGTCGAATAAATAAAGAAAACTATTATCGAAGAAATTCTAATTATTAGAAAGTAATTAGCTGGCGTAATCAATGCGTAGCTGCATAGGAGCATGAGCGAGATTTATCATCAACTGACCGCTGGCCGCTAGGTACCTGGGTGGGCGAGCGACAATACGTAAGCGGTGGCATATGGTTCGATTGACAGAGGAGTGGGGAACGGTCAGACGTAGGGGAAAGGTTCAGGCTGAACCGTTCAGCACAGCGCAGCGTCAGTCACCGGGTGGGGAAGAGAGTCCGGGAGGGGACACTTCCCCTCGAGTGAAATAGAAAAAGGCAGAATCCTTCGAAGTTTATATTAATGATATTAAAGCAGAACAAAAGCCGTTAATAAAGACAAGGTTTCCCGGATTTAGAACGATAGTATTTACTGTTTTAGAGGATATTGGTGGCAGGGGTGCTAGACAAGTTACGAAGAGGGGGGCGACGCAACGTGCCAATCAGTAGAGTACCTTCATAGACAGAGTATGGCCATTCGTATCTTTTTACTACAGGAAAACTGTTCCGCTTTTTGATTGGTCAACGAGTTTTCAGGCTTCATGATGCTCTTAGGGCCGTAAATAAACAAACAAGATGGCGGCTCACCGTAACATCGATTAGAAGCTAAAATTTGACAAAAATTTTAATTACACGGCAGCAACAATTTAAATTAGCATATTTACGAATAACACATAAAAAACACATGAAAACACTGTTAAATCGCCTTTCGCCTATATCACAGGAGGATGTAAGATGTGCATAACCTCAAACTTGCTTGCTGATAACAGCCATCTTGTTTGTTTATTTACGGCCCTAAGAGCATCGTGTCAGCCTATTCGCTCGCGACCAATGAAAAACCGGAACAGAAATGGCCATACTCTGTCTATAAAGGTACTCTACCAATCAGGAACGCGCCGGACGAGCCACTTGATCTCCGCTGTGAAAAAACTTCGCTAACGGACGAGGCGATCTGAAGAATAAAAAATGCCGACGGAACACCAAAATACAAATTAGAGACGCTTAGAAAGTGCTAGTTTAACGCCATGAAACCGTCAAACCCTGCTTTGTTGGTCCACTCGCTGTATTTGTCCCATACAGTTGTGGTCAAAAGTTCATTCAGAGGGCGGAAAATTCATCTTATGAATAAAACACTTGTTTGTGAAGGATGTAATATCGTAACCACGGGTACGCGTCTTGAATCTTCAGATTACGGCGAAGTCAAAATTTGAAGAGCAAATGAAAGATGTCTGGTTTATTTATTTTTTTTTATACACAATGAGGAAAATTTAGATTCAGTGAAACCTTGCAATTTGCTCAATACTTTTTTTTTAAATCAAGAAATGAGCAAAATTAATGGACTACTAGACAAGGTACGAATTTAAGCATTCTGATACATGTATCTTAACCAGAAGTTCACGTACAACACGATTCGCGCAACGAAAATTACTGAAACCAACTCTTAACGAAGCTATTAACATTTTTATTTCACATTGGTTACGAGGAATTTGAACTGCCCGCTCACAAGAAACTCAAAACTCTACGTGAATCAAATCGCCCACTACAACGGTTTCAGCGATCTTCTCAATCGATCAATGTTCATTTCCCACCATGTGTTTTTCAAACTATAAGTAATTTGCTACAGCTGAGCCAAAGTGTCAAGATTGAGGTTGCCAGATTTTTTTATCGCAGAGACGTTCATGATAACGTTTAGCGAGCGATGTGAATCACGTAGAGCATTGAGTTTTCATGAGCGGGTGGTTTGAATTCACGCACCAAGAATCATTAATATCTTTGGAAGGAGTTGATTTCGATAATATTCGTTGTGTGCATCGTGTTTTACGTGAAATTTTGGTGAAGAAACATGTATCAGAATGTTGAAATTCGTACCTTGTCTAGTGGTCCAATATTGAATTTATACTTTTTCGTCGATATTCAGCAGCTTTCCCAACGAAAATCCCGTCCAACTGGTGATTAAGGGTTTTTCTTTTTCACCAGGCGGAACAAGGAAAGGAAGACATGGCAGAAAAAGTAGAGCAACTAACGGCGGAGAAGAATAAGCTCCAACTCCAAGTGGTTGACCTGAAGGCAAAGGCTGATATGATAGAGCGGAGAGCGAAAGAGTTACGTCTGGCCGAAGAAAAACAGCATGCTGAGGAGATAAGTTTCTTGAGGAGGGCGAACCAGCAGCTGAAGGTGAGAAAGATTTGAAAATCAGTAACTAGAAACGAGAAGACCTTTTATGGGAGTGGTAAGGGGTAAATCAGGAAGATACTCAGAAAAAGGAATACAATCAGAAATTGAGGCAAAAGGCTTTTATGTAACTAGGATCTACACTGCCGTGCTAAGGAAGCCGTATGGACATTCAAGAGTTGCCAAATTTCCTTGAATAAAACATCTACTCGTGAGGAGAGTTTCCTTACTTTTCCTTGAAATTTTCAGAAACCCTACATTAAATGGCGAACAAAATTGTCGGAAAATTTTAAAATATTCACCATTTTCCCAGTAAATTTGACTTTTATTGAAGGAAATATAGCAACATCTGAGGGCTCATACGGCGTTTTTCCTTAGCACAACAGTATAGGGCAGGGAAATGTTATCGAGAATCGAATGGAACAGAGGGCATTTGTAAGGAATTCCAGTGGTCTACGTAGACTTGAAAAAAAAAAAAAACGGAAGACGTAAATAAATTCATGAATTCTTTTTTTTTTTTGGCGCGTAATCGGCAATTAACATGCAAAATCTATCCCTCCTAACTACTAAAGGATGGTTTTGCTCACCTCCTGCAGCCTGATCGTTTACTATCTATCTATTGACCTTGATGGATAACAGTTGCGTTTCTATCACGCCGATATGGCAGCGACCATGGACTGCTCTGCTGTGCTAAGGAAGAACGCCGTATGAGCCTTCAGACGTTGCCAAGTTTCCTCCGATGAAAACTGAATTTACTGGGAAAATTGCGAATATTATTTTCTAAAATTTTCAGACAATTTTGTACACAATTTTATCTAAAATATCTGAAAATTTCAAGGAAAAATATGCACGAATACAGTCAAAAATACGTGTTTTATCGAGGGAACTTTGGCAACTCTCGGATGTTCATACGGCGTTCTTCCTTAGCTCGGGGGTGCCCCCAGTAGATATCTCAATGGATACGGCTCTGGATACGTATCCGCTGCTCCGGGGGTGGTGGATAACGGCTGCATCTATTGAATTTGGTCAGGTTTGAGGTTAGAAGTCTGTTGTGATCCAATTACTTCATAAATGTGGTGAACATTTTGATGAAAAGAAAGAGTGTGAACCGTGTGGATAATGGCTCTTGCTCCCGGATTTCTAGAGCGTTTGGCAGTATTCGAGGCTGAAGCAGAGGACCAAGATCCCATCCATACTGTCCGTATTCAAAGAAAAAGAACGAGAGACTTTCGCAACCCCTTTGATGCGCCGGAGATAATTTTTAAAACCAAATTTCGGCTGAGAAAGCAAATGCATTTTCATCCTACCTGGCCACAACATTCAAGCCGCATGACGAATCGCCCCTTCCTGAAGAAGCGGAAACCTATTTGGATTCAGCACTGCCCATGTGTATGCCCATCAAACCAATGTCTCCACCCGAAACCAAATCAACAATCTTGAAAGTACCCAACGACAAGGCTCCTGGTCACGACCAAGTGTTCAATAAAATCCTAAAAGAAGTCTCAAATAAAATTCGCGCCGCACTCGATTGCCTTTTTAATGCAATTAACAAGAGAGTCATACTTTCTAGCAGATTGGAAAAACTCATATCCACGAAATAACGAAGCAAGGCAAAAATCCACAAATGTGGAATCTTATCGTCCTTTCAGCCTCCTACCATCCGGGAGAAAATTTCCGAAACTTTGAACTTTTCGTGAAAAAAGAGCCTTGGACAGTAGCATCCACAGGTCTGATGGGACCATTTCCGCGCAGCTCCCTAGGATTTTCTTACATCGCAGTGTTTGTAGACTTGTTCACGAAACAGGTAGAAGTAGAGTACCTATATAGCGAGAGTATGGACAGATCGCTTCATGGAGGGCTTAGGGCCCAAAAGTACTGCCACCCTTCTAACCAACTTCTAACGCACAAAATTTCACTGCCAGTCTGCAGATTCCAATTCCGACTAAGATGGCTAAGAATGTACATAAATGAGCGTTCTTCCGCAAAATTGAGTAAATGTATGCAAAAACTAAGTCAAATACGTGCTTTGTAAACGATGGTTCGTAACAATTGTATTAGTAAAGTGCTCTGAATAATTGAAATTTATAGGTTGGCTGCATTTCTGGGCCCTAACTTTATTCACGGAGACATCGGTGAAGGCCTGATGGATTTTCGGAGTTTCACATCTGTCTATACTCTCGCTATACAGGTACTCTACAGGGTGATCCAAAAGTCCCTTCCACCCCCTCTAACTTTTTACCTAATTGAGGTAAAGATATGAAACTTGGGGGATATCCCTAGGTCAAAGGGAGCTAGGGAGCCGCCGATTAAAGTTCAAAATGACCAAAAATTTATTTTTTTAGAAATCTAAGTTCAAATTTGTTTATCTTATGCCAAAATACTCTCAAATTCCAAGTTTTAGGCAAATCCATCAGGAAAAAACCGAGGTGACAATTTTCGGCCATTTTAAACTTTAACCGGCGGCCATTTTAGAAATTTTGGTTTTTTTGAAAATCTAACGTCAAATTCGTTTTTCACGTGTCAAAATACCCCTACCAAACGATTATCGCGCAAATCCATCGACAAATAACCGGTGTGAATTTTCGGCCATTTTGAAACGGTTTGAGATATTGACTTCGGGTTTGCGCGAAAAGTTGTCTTTTTTTATGCTCTTTCGAATGAGCTATCACAAAGGGGGTCTTCCCATTTGAAAATTAAAAGTTGGGGGCCGTTGCTCCCCCCCAAGGAGGGCCCCTCTGAAAATTTTAGGGGAAACAAAAGGTAGCTCCCTTTGACCCTGGAATATCCCCCAAGTTTCAAATCTTTACCTCAATAAGGTAAAAAGTTAGAGGGGGTGGAAGGGACTTTTGGATCACCCTGTAGGTAGAAGCAACACCTCTTAGGAGGGCAACGGCGGAAATCGTCGACGACGAAACGTGCTGTACTAGGGTGTTTCCAAAAATCCAAGTTCTGAAATTTTGACGGGACCCTCCCTAAATCGCTTCAAAAGGGCAAAAAACTGATTCCAGAGAAATTTCAGGCTGATTCAATGATATTTAGAGGTCGCTCCAGCTTCAGCGTCGATCCGATAACTAGCAATTATTTGGATTATTTTTTAACAATCGAATATAGGAGAGACGCACAGGATTTTGCTTCTCTCTGTTGTCCCAAAATCCCTGTGTTAGGTAATTTCTCTCCCTTTTCCTTTATCAAAACCAGGACTGTCCTATCAACGCGAGACGGAAACAGAAACAGCGAAAACATTGAGGCCGAAGAGGGAAAGAATGCGAGAATTGCGGCACCCGCTCCGGCCACGGCCGAAAAGAGGATTTTCTTTGTTTTTTGCTTAGACTTTTCAACCACGAGATGATTACCGAGAGTTCCTGGAATTAATACAAATATTCTTGGGCGCTACTCTAAAAGATCAGGCAGTTTTACGGACTCCAGGAGCCATCTCCAGTGCTCGATGGATGGTGATTGCGTTGTACGCTCTGAAAATGCGAATGTTTCAAGCCAAAATCAACCTCAATGAGACTCAAAAATCAAGTTTGAATGACCTGTGTATTTTTATTGCTTTTGTATATGTAAAAGCATAGTTTTTAGCATCAGTATCTTCTCGTGCACCTATCACTGACCTACAAATCTTAAAACAACTTGTAAAATTTAAAGGTATTAACGAAGAAATTAGTCAATCCTGTGTGAAAAATTTTTTAAGACACTTGTTGTATCTTAGTTCGGAACTTTTTCCTCTAGCTTTATTTAGTGATAAAATAGATGCCTAAGAAAAAAGCGAAATTGTTAAAGCCATGAAAGAGAGAGAAGTTGGAAAAAAAGAAGCGCGAAAATTATCTCTTCCAGAAGAAAAAGTCCCTGAAAATCTGGACCGAAATTTAGGTTATTTTGCAAATAAAAATTCACAACATTTTTTTTTCGTACTTAGGTATTCCACACTCATTTTTAGATGAAAGCCCTTCCCTCTGGGAAAAAAAAGATGAGTATTTAGCAGCTTGCACCATTGTACAAAGCATAACTATTACGAATGATAATGGAGAGAGAGGAGTTGCTTTAATTGAACAGTGCAATAATTCTCTGACGAAAGATGAAGATCAAAAACAGTTCCTTCTTAAAGTTGCGTAGAAAAACATTTCCAAAAGTCACAAAAAAAACTATTGAAAAAAACATTCCTTTAAAAATCTTTTGAGCCTCTAATAACTTTTTAAGTGTTTGATTTCTGGTTTAAGATTATTAAATTAATTGACTTTGGCACAGGGTAACCATCTTATTTTGGCACTTGTGCTCTCAAAATTATTAACAAAGTAAGAATTCAAACATTGTCACTTTTCCCGAAGTAATTCTATTAATCTTTTATTGTTATTTTTCAAATTAAAGTTTCTAACACTGTTTTATTATTTTGTTCAATCATGAAGTCATATGATAAGAACAACTTATGGTAACTTGTATGTTACGGTGCTGCGCCACCATAGTGGTCTCGATAGTTAGAGGATTCAATCTTTCAAGTAGAAAACAGCAATTCATTGCAGACTACATGGGATGTTTACAAGTGATATAAAATGTGTTTCAGGGAATTTTCAGTAGAAACACGTATAGATATTACAATTGTCACACAGAATAAGTATTATTTGCCATCTTTGTCCCAGGATTTTTTTAAAAGCATTTTTAAGGGACAGACCAAAAAATAACTAAAAATAGCTATTTTTAACGGATGCGCGTATCTGGAGCGACCTCTAAATATTCTTCGATTTCATCGAAATTTTACCAAGACCGTTTTTTTACCTATTCGAACCAAATGAGGGGGAGTCCTGTTAAAATTTCCGTTAAAAATTGAAAAACCCTCACTTTTGAAACACCCTAGTCCTGAACCGATGGGGTGCACCAGAAACTGGAAGCGCCTGCAATACTGCAGGTATACTTCAAGCATCCCTCCGTCTCCCCTAGCCCGCAGCGGAAACCGATTTCTAGTCTCGCTCTCTGCATTTTACCCACGAACCACGCTATTAGGAAATGCATTGAGCAGCGCGCGTAAACAACTTTGGAAGGTGTAAGTAAAAATGGAGAGTCCAAATTGAGACTCTAAAATCAGTGGATAACAAACAAAAAATAGTTACCGGACGGCTGTTTGTCAGAGGTAAACAAAAACTTCAAGATACGAAGGAGCTAGATGCACCTGGAGAGCAACTAGAAGTTTAGAAGGTTGGATGTGTGGGTTAATTCGGAGTTCTTCTAGAGGTTGCAACTCTACAAAGACAATGTCAATCAAATTTTGGCCAAAATTCTTCCAAGGTGTCACCCTGAATTCATAATTATTGCGACTTCATGTTCGGACTTTTGATTATTTACCTCTTTATCATTCATTTTACTATCACTGTCATTGTTACCACTGTATTTTATTTCTTAATATTTTGATGCTTGAATCATTTATGTAAAATTTGCCTCTTACATATTTATTGTTCCTTAGTGATTTTTTTTCTCATATATTTATTGTATTTTGATATTTCTCATTGGTTTTTAATATTTTAGTTTAAGCATGTTCCTACTTCAATTTGCTTTGCTTTGTATATTGTGAGGATTGTCTACACATTTCCGCGGATACAAAACACAGGATGTGGACTTAGCCTGAAAGTGTGAACGTTTTGACAGTTTGATTTTCTCTATTTTTCAGGGCGTTGGTCATCTTCAACCATGATTGTTAGTTTTAATATTTTGATAAATGTTGGTTCAATATTTATGTTCCTTCTTCTGTGAAGCTTGTCCATATTATTTAAGATTTTCGAGCTGATTATCCTTCAGCTGAAGAGATTATCTTTCAGGCTGTTCCATAACAAGCCTTCATCGGAACAGAAAGTGAGCTCGTCAATGAAAGCGCAACAACCCATGTTGTCTTTAATGAACTCATGCTCCGTTCGGATTCCAGCCTTCCACAAGCATTTAGCTAGGCTCCTTCGTTTTCTACGGAACATGAACATCAAACATGGCACTTGGCAGCCAATTACGTAAGAGAATAAGTCAATACTGTAAATAGGTATCTGTTTGAGGCCAAGTTTATGTACTTGCCGTCCGGATTATTTTGTGATATTATTTGAGTGTCGTAGAAAATGTTTAGGAATTTCGATTTCATTTTGGACAAGGAAGAGGAAATTTACGACTCTGCCCCTTTGCCAAGGAGGCCGAAATTAATACGACCCAGAATAAACCTAATGGACGTGTGAGATCATCCGGAGTTCTTCCAGAGGTTTCGACTCTCCAAAGCCACTGCAAATCAAATTTTGGCCCAAAAAAAGATCACAAGTATGTGAAATGTAGTAGACCTCACTTAAGTTTCTCTGCTCTGAAAAAAAATAGGTAGTCCAAAATGTGTCAATTGTGGTCAAAACCACATAGCAAATTATTCCAGTTGCGAGATTGCAGAGTTTTTCAAACAACGTAGGCTGGCAGATTTAAACAAGAAAAAGCGGTCAGCAAAAATATATCTTTCGTTAGTATGGCTAGCAATGGACAAAGCTATTCCTATGAGCCTACAGGCTATAACAAGGAAAAAGATCACATGAATAACCTAAGAGGCAAAGAAAGAAAGAAAGAAAAAAGAACGTAAAAAAAAACCGTGCAATTTCAAGTGCTGTTGAAAATGATCAACCCATTTAACAGTCTCTCATCTCCCCTTACTTTGAAACCTTAAACCCTAAGGAAAACGGACAAAGGTGTTCCTGTGAGAGCACGTACGTACAGCGCAAAAGAAAGCGTTACGAGACATCCTCAACTTTCTAAGTACACCTTTTCTATTTATTATACATAATAATTTATTACTTTAAGTATGAGGCAGCTACCATATTCAGCGCCTCTCAAACATGCCGGCTGCTTTTAAGCGCCCTTCTCGTTTAACATGTAACATAATTTTTTAATACTATACTTATGAGGCAGCTACCACATTCAGTGCCTCTCGAACTGTTTTTAAGCGCTGAGCCAACAGGCAAGGAAAAAGATCAGATGAACTATTAAAGAGGCAAAAATTTAAAAGAAGAAGAATGTCATATGTTATGATGGGCGATGTGACAACATGGCGCGATGCTTAGCTGACTGGAGAAGTCAACAAGGAGTGGTCATTCGGGGACCGGCAGATATAGCATGGTGCTCGTCCATTTAGATTTTTGTATGTAGTGTGATATTTTTTCCAAGTTTTTTTTGATGAATAAAAAGTGTCTCTCTTATGCGACTTCTGTTGTTCTTTTTCCATTGCTTCCTTGAGAACCTGATACTCATCACATATACATATATTAAACCATGCAAGTGAGTAAAGAAAAGTAAATTTTTTGAGATCAATTGTTCTCATGTGATACCTGTACATAGTTTTTAATTTATTTTTTTCCATCGTATTACATTGTTATAATGTATAATACTTAGAAAAAAAAGCTGTACAACCAATTATTATGGCTGCAACAGTAGATCCAAAATTAAGCATACCTCTTTACATGTAATCCTAAAACAGCAGATAGAAAAAAGTTAACAACTTGGACGATGATGTGATGCATCAGCATTTTTATCGAGATGAGGAATATCCAGATAGATTTCGTGTTTCAATCAGTTTCTTTACAAAAACTGGAACATGTGAAACTGGTTTACAGTGTATTTTATGTACTTATGTGGTGTGCTTCATGTGATTTGACGTAGCAAGGCCAAGCCTGAAACTGAGTTCAGCCAATCAGCAAACGCTGTTTCCCTAATCAGATTACGTCATCAGAGCCTGTCAAAAATATCTTTTCAAACTGGTTCCATTTTTGCCATTTTCAAAATGGGGTTTCTTCACCATTTAGGGTTTAAAAAATCCGAAGAAACTCCTAGAAGCTTAAATCACTCGGTGCTTTCAGAAAACGAATCAAAAACAAAGAGTGGTTCTGACCAATTGGTTAGAATTACATAATGTCTATAAATCTGGTTAATGTTGGTTTATACTGTCCCTATTAAACTAGATGTTGGTCGGTGGTAAGAGGAAGTTTTTTTTTTTATTAAATCCTTTAGTTCTCAGTTCAAGCATTTTCACCCCTTGAGAAGCGGGCTCATGTGATGATGTTGAAGATGGAGAAACCTTATAGAGTCTACAGAAAAAATTATTCGCGAGGATTCCCTGAAATCTTTTTCCTGTAATTATCACTCCATAAACCATGGATTCTTGCACCTCTTACTTGCTATTTACCTCTTTGGATGTAGATGTTATGTTTATCCTTCATTTATCATTAGAAACTTAAGGAGAATATTGGGGTTTCAAATTTGTGTTAAGAAGAGTGTTTAATCAATATATTTGATGTTTAACTTCTAGGCTCAACTGGAGGGTATTATTGCACCGAAAAAATCGTGAAAGCTCATGAAATTTTGGATGGATATCAGCATAAGTCTTCAATGCCTGAGAATGCAAAAGTCAATCCACTTGGGATGGCATACTGCTTCTGCGTTGGACTTCCCGTTAAGAAATATGCAAAGTTGATTATTGGTGAAAATGAAATACGTTTGTTAAGAGAACAACAAATTGACTAGTCTCACTTGCAATATTTCAGGAGCAATTAAAAAAAAAATGCCGTTTTAATTTTTTCTTTCTAATCTTTGCTTTCAAGAGCGAAAGCCTTGGTCATTCAAAATAAAAGTTAATGCTCCTCTGATGAAGCTAAGCTTTTTCGCTGGTGCCGATCATCATTCATAGTCAAGTGAACTTCCTAAAAAGAGGCTACAAAATTAACTAGAGTTGACATAATTATCTCAGCTCTACATCATTTGGCTGTCTAGGTTTTCTCTAACTAATTCAACAGTGAAAGGAGTCTGCTTGTATAAAACTGAACTGGTCTTGCCGTTTATAAGTCTATTTTGAGCAATTTTTTTCAGTCTATATCACCCTGTTTTTCCCTCTGAGGGGGGTTTTCCTTTCTTTCTTGATTTTTTCAAAGGAATTTTTAGGTCTGGTTCTTTTGATGAAAAATATCCTAAAAATTAATTCACATCAGGTATCCAAAATAACAATTTTAGAATGAGAAAGGATGAAGAAACATCATGTTCTGATTTACGACGAAATACTGAAGTCTTGAAAATTGAGGAAAGCATAAAGTCAGTTTCAACTTTTAGCTTCTAAGGGTCTGACTTGACTTGATAAAACTCTAAAAAGACATTACTTCAAAAATGTCCTGGAAAACAGTTTTGGTCCAAACCAAACAGGCCTTTTTGAAATTTGTAAGTTTGCAGGGGAGACAATTCTCTTTAGTGCGCAAGTATTACATGAAAGTAATAAATCTCTTTGCGGAAACAAAGTTACCATTTTCTCTTGACGAGAGGATACAGGAGACCATGCGTTTTTACCTTCACAGAAATACCATGGATTAAGGCAGGAATGGTTTTTGACTTGAGAGATAATCCTTACCAGAATATGTATAGATGCTTATGAAGTCTATAAATTCACTTGCCAATACAAAACTGTTTGAAAATGATATCCAACAATTCTTCAGATGAGACGTGACCAGTGATTCGTCCTATACTTCTGATTGCTTCTCGTAGATACTCTGCACCAATAACTATTGTTTCATCAGTGTTATTGGAAAAAAACATTTGTAGGGCGAGGTGACACTCATTGATATGGTAACGATGTCGAACTTGACTCAGCACTGGACTTTCTTGGGATGGATTCCCACATCTGCAATGAAATAAAAATAGTTTGTTATTAAATCCGTGCAGCTAGAATTTTCTACAAGCTTCAGTAATTAAACACATTGACTACCCGTGTGTTGTATACACTTTGTTCAGTGAAATCTATCAACAGCTTTTAATTTAGACAAATATTACCTAATATTTTAACAAATTTTACATAGGTATCATTTTAACGAAAAAGTCGATCAACAGGAGAGACTCCCAGATAAATTTTGTACGCATAAGTCGGATTTTTATGGTTCATCTGAAATCGTGTTGGTAAAAAGCAAATTCAGTAGCTCATTTGCTAGCTGACTGCACAAATACTTATTCATAATGCTGTCTTGTTCTGTTGTTACATCAAAGTTACTTCTGAGCTAGTGAGAATGACCAGTCTTCTTTTGAGCAGGCTAAGACCTTATCAGAGCTACTTAATGAGCTACTCGAAAAAGTATAAATCTAGGCACCAAAATTTTACGAGAAGAGCAATTCACACTCTGGAAGTTTGGAAAGCAACTCATGGGCAAGATATAATTACGCTCACTAATCACTGACCAAATGGAGCACACATCAAACAAATGAAATCATTTGCACTTTTGCCTTCTACCAAATGTTAATAATAAAGGCTTTCATCTTCTGTGGAAGATAAATTCCAACCTTCCCATTGTGTGAATAATTTCATCGTAAAATTTGGTGGGGAAATCATAAGATGGAGTGATTCAATTTGTACCCTGTCTGGAACTCCATTTTTAATTGGTAAGTTCACCGTGTTTGAAGCTTGAAGTAATAATTCAAACCTAGCGCAAAGGCAAAGAACAAAGCAAAATGAGAGCTGCGCATCAGTTAATTTATTTTAGTTGAAAGGTAGTTTTTAAAAATACTGGATGGTTGCCATTGGAAAGGCACACTGAACTTTCAAAGCTTTATGTTATCTCCATTTTCTTGAAATGGTGCTACTTGTAAATTGTTGTTAAAATATTGAGGAGCCAAAAAACACTCACTGCTCCAGCCGACTTTAGGGCTCAATTGAAGCCCAACTTCAAGGGTTAAATGCAACTAATCTTGTGGCTGGCATGTTTTTAGTGTTGACTAGTCGCACTAAACCCTTGGAGATGGGCGAGCCTGAAACATGTCGTGAAAAAAAATAATGAGTGAGCAGTTTCCAAGGTATCTACTTTAATCTCTATTATTTTACTAACTTTATTCTGTTTCTGTGTTTCAAAACTTATACAATGTATTATAAATTGTTGCTGTTTGTACCATTTTTATATCTTTGTATAGTGGGCTTCATGCCTGTTTGTTTCTAAAAAAAAATAAATAAAAAAATAACTGAATAACAGTAGACATTATTTATCCTCATCAATGAAAAAAAAAATCCCGAGAATATTTTTAATATTCCCCAAAATCATCGAAATACCTGTTATAAAATTTGAGTTGTTTCTCAAGGTTCTACGGATTCTAATATAGGTCATATCATTTCAAGCTCTCCAATTTTTGGGGGCAAAACAGTTGAGAATTTTTACTTTCATTTTAAATGACCACACACGGATGCTAGATGTTGATGGAGATGATGTTCCAAAGGCTAAAAATTCATTAAAAATTTACTCATAAACCTATGAAATTTTTATTATTCTCTACTTTTGTATTGTTTCTCAGACATCTTCATTATTCTTTCAGATCTTAAAAATTATGTTAAATTATAAGACGATAACATCTGAGTGAGAGAGAGAATACTTACAAATCAGACAAGTGTTCTGTCATCAAAGATAAAAGATGAGGTAGATTTTCTTCCGTTTTGCATGAGACAGGAACAATATTCTTATCAATTCTTGATAACCTATGGCAAAACAGTTTTTCTTTTGGATCCAACAAGTCCAGCTTATTCAATATGACTAGATAGTTTTTGGTGTGATCTGCTGAAGAATTATGATTGTATTTGGTTCCAAGTGATTCAGTGTCGAGCTGCATTTCAGTAGAGTTCAGTTGCTTAAGTTGCCTGTCTTGTCCATCACAGCCCAATTTGCTATTGGAGAAAAAACTATCCAATTGTAAACTAGATACATGACTTCGGAAAAATTTTTGGAATAATTTTGATAGTTCTGAGTCACTGATATTATTATTTATACTTTTTGCTGAATCAAAGAAGTGACGTGCATCTATCAAAAACAAAATAAAATCTGATTTTTCTGCAGAGGAATAAGTCCGACTGATTCCTTCCTTTTCAACAATATCCACCGTATTTCTCCTAATTCCGGCTGTATCTGCAAGTAACACTGGATATCCATTGATATTTAGAGTTGCCTCGATCACATCTCGCGTCGTTCCAGGCACTTCTGTTACGATGGCAGCAGGTCTTTCGCCTGAAAATTAAAAAAAAATTAGGGCAACAACAAACAGGCAATGATGACGCTAATCTTGAAAGAAAGATGATACCAATTGAGATCTATAATAAATGAAAGTACACCTTTTTTTCGCCTCCAAAATTTGATAACATAATGAGAACGAAATTATTTTAAAAATGTTAATCAATGGAAAGCCTACATTTGACAAGTCACCTCTGGAAACTGACTGATAGAAAAAAATAAGGAAAAAAGTACGTAATATTGAGAGTCTGGTTCATTTTTAGGCATGATTTAAAAATTGAGCGGTAATTATTGTCATTTGGACTACGATCTGCTATGAGGAGCCATTGAATATTTTCTGCTTATTAATAAATGCTTAACGCAACATCCGTGCCATTAGTTTCCTTAAATATATGGGTGTTTATATAAATAAATGAGCCCAAAATAGTGGTTCTTCATTGCAAACTGAAGTCCACCTGTAAAAGTTGGAGGAGGATCTTATTGCAAAGATACAAATTTTGAGGAGAGCGATTTTTGTTGAGGGTAAAAAATCTGAATTTTAACAGAAACCTTTTTTGAGATTCCAAGGAATAAGTTTCAAGTAATTAAGTTCTTTATGTACCAGTAGGTGGCATTAATCGTAACTTGCATTAAAATAAGAAAATTAGGAATCCTGAACAAGATAGCTTGCAACTGTAAATAGGTTTCCCTAAGATATACATGTTTTAACTGCCATCTTCAAACAATCATGAGTCCATTTAGTTGAACATTTTCATGCGTTTCTGATCTGAAAGTTTCATAAAGAATTTCTCTTAGCAGTAACATAAATATTTTAAAGCTTTTTCAGCACTAACAGCTCTTCTCCTAACAACATTAATTTTAAATTCAAAATGAGCTTGTTCAGTAATTCGTAATTCTTGCATTTTTGGAAACTAGAGAGTGCACATAGTTTGCAGGAATTTTCCCCAATTTTTTTGAGCAATATTAACCCACGAAATACAAGTCCAAAAGTCCGTATTTTGGGCTCCCATTTAAACGCGCGCCGCTTGGGCCATCTCAAAATGGCGCCCATTCGATCCGTCCGGCGGTGGCCACACTTTTGACCTAGCGTGCCGGCGAGGTACCTCTGCATGCCTCTGCCGCGCGCCGCGTGTGGATCGTGTAAACAAACGAAGATTGATAACACGAAGGATCCAAACAACTCGAAATCTCTTAATTTCAATTAATTTAAATCCATTTTCGACTTCAACCAAGCCTTCGGCAATAATATTCATCGTATTTTACAACCTGGAGCCACGGCCTATTGGCTCATTTTAAGGTGCATTCTGAAAATCAGTTTTTTAAGTCCAATGTCCAAAACCCAGACTTTCTTCTTTTACTTTTTTTGACCATTCTCTTTTCATTTTCGCCTCAAATCAAATGTTTTGCAGTTTCTTTGTCTTAAGTATGTGGTCCTGAATTCATTCAAGAGTTATAAGTTCACCATTTATTTAGTATTATAGCCTTTTGACCTCTCAAGCTTCACCGATATGATCTCATGTTGTTCAAGGTTTCTTTGGCCCAAACCAAGTGATTACACATCTGATGTGTGTCTTATGGCTGTTCAAATTCGCAGTAGAACTAAATCAGAGACTACAGTTACTTAATCCAGTTCTGCTCTTCTTTTCCCCTTTTTCCCTTTTCTAAGCCTACTGATGCTCATTTGTATCAAAGAAGAATGTTAATAACTTATAGTCTGTTTAACAGAGTTGAACGATTACATCTCTAAATAATGTGTTTTAAAAGAAGATTAATGTTTGACTTACACAATGCATTCAATAGACTGCTCTTTCCGACATTTGGAGCACCAAGGATTATAGTCATGACTCCGGAGCGAAGTCTTTCTCCTTTCCTACCATCAAGTAAATGCAGCTATACAACATTAAACAAACAATAAACTGAATTTACAAGAAAGAAAAGAATAATTTGACAGAGAAAACAATAGAAATTGAAGCAGATGTATTCTGCACCCGACTGGAAGTTCAAAGAGTTTCAAAACGCGACCGTTCCAAGCAATTCCCGATTTTGTAACACAGTTAAACTGCTTCCACTTCAGAGAAAATTTTCAATTTTAAGGCAAGATCCGCAATTTCACAGCAAAATGAACAATTATTTGCACGAAAAAGAAAAGAGGTCAATAGGGTATTGTATTTTAGAAACTTAACTAATCAGCAGGGGCCTTTAATTCTAACAGCAACTATATTTTTATTCTTGTGCATCATTCAACATTGTGCAAACTGTCAGCTTAAAATTGCGCCCAATATTTAATAATTTGAAGTTGCGTAAAGATTCCTCGCGCAATGATGATCGTGGATGCTGATTTTATATCATCCAACAAGAAAGCCCAGTCACTCCCTTCATTTGTTTATCAGCACCGATCAAAGTTCTATCTTTGATTGAACCAGCTCAGGAAAAAACATCTTACTTCAAACAACATTTTACGGTTACTTATGAGCTAAAGTTAGTCTAAGATGTTAGACATTTAGAATAATTTATTTCAAGTTTAATGAATATAGTGAAAAATTCACCAAGGAAATTGACCTCTTGAACAATGTTGTAAGAAAAAACAAACTAGGGTGAATCTGAAGAAATGTGATGGACATGGAAGGTTTTCAGCAGATCTAAGTCAATTGATAATACAACTGGACTGCATTTTGCAATTACGAACTACAATTTCTAGTTCATTCGTAAAAACACTTGAATGCATTGGGAAACTGATGGTGCGTATGTTGTTTCTGATTTCTATTGTAGTTCTTAATTGCAAAATGTAGCCTAACTTATACTTCAGGCATTCTGCCGTGCTAAGGAGAAATGTCGAATGAGCATTCAAATGTTGGCAAAGGACTGCGTGCAAAACGGGCCATTTGGGGCTCGGGGCTGATACCTTTGAGACTTGCCCTATTCATTCACCTAACAATGCCTCATCTTTTCCCAAAGTTTCAAGCCCCCCAAAAATTTTGGGGGGACGCAGCGGGGGGTCAAAGTTAAAAACCGGCAAAATTTTCGCGAATTTATTACTCGAAAACCAAGAAGTTTTGAAAAACGCGGTTTAAACGAGCGTATTCAGCGTAACGAAAGCTTTCAGAATATGTATATCATCATAGGGTTTTGTCAACTTCAGCTTGAGTTATCGCCTCCGAAGCGCTGGAACACTCAAAACAGACCCCTTATTTTTTCACGTTTGGGCCGATTTAAAAAAAAGCCATTTTTTTATTTTGATGAAAAACTGACATATTGTTCCTGACTCTCTGTAGCCCCACTAGCTTTTTACCGCATGCTGGGGAAGTGTTTTGGTTGCGAGTTATAAGAGCGGAAAGGAGCGAAGGTCCGGAAAATCGGCTATTTTAAACTGCGCGCAGCGACAGATCAGGAGACATGTGGCAACAATGCGAGGTCGGCAGAGGAGTTTGATTCGCCGAACTGAGTGGGAGGGGACGTTTTCCTTCCGATCAACGCCTCGCACGCAGTTTAAAATAGCTGATTTTCCCGACCTTCACTCCTTTCCGCTCTTATAACTCGCAACCAAAACATTTCCCCAGCATGCGGTAAAGAGCTAGAGGGGCTACAGCGAGTCAGGAACAACATATCAGTTTTTCATCAAAATAAAAAAATGGCTTTTTTTTAAATCGGCCCAAACGTGAAAAAATAATGGGTCTGTTTTGAGTGTTCCAGCGCTTCGGAGGCAATAACTCAAGCTGAAGTTGACAAAACCCTATGATGATATACATTTTCTGAAAGCTTTCGTCACGCTGAATACGCTCGTTTAAACCACGTTTTCCAAAACTTCTTGGTTTTTGAGTAATAAATTTGCAAAAATTTTGCCGGTTTTTAACTTTGACCCCCCGCTGCGTCCCCCCAAAGATTTGGGGGGCTTGAAACTTTGGGAAAAGATGGGGCATTGATAGGTGAATGAATAGGGCAAGTCTCAAAGGTATCCGCCCCGAGCCCCAAATGGCCCGTTTTGCACGTAGTCCTTTCCTTTCAGGAAATATTTATTATGGAGGAAAGATATGAATATTTTTATTGAAATTTTTGGACGCCTTAGATCAAATTATGAACAATATTCTCTGAAAATCGAAGGAAAAATACATGTATATTTTCCTGAAAATTCATGATTGGTTTCAGGAAATTTGGCAAGGTCTGAAGGCCGTTGTGTGACATACGGCGTTCTTCCCTAGCACGGCAGCTTTATGGTACGGTACATCATTTTGCATCTCTGTCACTATTTGTTGCTATTGACTGAAATATCAGATGGAGCAAAAAGATGAAACCTTGTGTCAGTTATTGAGGGAAAAATTCAACTCACTTGAATCTTAGCTGACACTTCTTTCAAATCAGCATCCACTTTTTGAAGAATATTATCTTCAATATTGTCATCTTCACTGAAATCGATGTATGCTTCGACAAATGCCAAACACTGGAAAGTGAACAGGACAAAAATAAATTAGTAAATGAAATTGAAAGATTGAGCCAATGACTCGACTCAAGTCGTTTTTTTGAAAATTTTTTTTTTTAAAGTTCAAAAACCCATGAGGACTAATCCCATTCAGTCACCTAGTGACTAACCATCCCTACTCATCCTCATGATATCAATACAGGACCCTAACTGATGCTACTGCGGGAACTATTATCCCTATACTCCAAATTCCTTCTATCTATAACACCTGGGGAGCAATTCCCCATCTCCTCAATGTTTCTCTTGCAACTTCATGATTTCCCTAACTACCTCATTCCTGAAATCATTCACATCTCGGTGCTGCCAATATTTACATCCAAAAATCGTATAATCTATCACTCACTCCCTTTAAGTAAATTATCCTATCAACCTCATTATCTTCACTATACTTTAACTCTATTCTTTTAATCATAATTTTCATGATCTCTTTGTCATCAAGTTCAATCAATCCCATCCTAATTTTATGAAAGAACAAGAATATCCTAATTTTTAAAAATAACTCAATACAAAACCAGTCTAAGCTCTTCAGCATATCCAAAATTCTATTTTCTTCATCACAACCTAATATATACCTCATAGTCAAGTTCCTAGTACTCCTAACTCAACACACATTTCCTCTGATAGTTCCTGCCCCCATAATACTTGCTGCTTCCTGTCACTCAAATAGTTTTCAAACCATTCAATTGACTCCCCTCTGATTCCATTTTTTCTCAATTTCCTGACTAAGATTTTCTTTTTTCCTGTCTCAAGAGCTTTTTTCGAGTTCAGAAAAACTGTAGTCTTTCCTTTCTTCTTCTTTTTCTTCCACTTTTTCAACAATCCCTGAATTACCTCCTCCGCCTTCATTCATTTCCTAAATCTTCTGTTTATCTATAATTGCACAATTTTCCCTTAGGAATTTTTTGTTCAGTCAGTTTCACGAATTTTTATTAAGTGCAGAGGATGATAGCATGGACATATGGACAACCACCTCAGGTAAAGAGATAAAAGATACAAAAAAAAAAAAAAAAATTGGTAAAATGGTGGTGATAATGGTTTTTCATGGTTAGAATTGACTCACCCTTGCCAAAGTGTCACGCCAACAGGAATACAGCTGTTTTAAATTGCCTTCCATTTGGTATAAAGCCTGTTGCCTTTGAAATTCAGTTTCTGCCTCTATTAGGTCAGCTAAGCCTTCGACTTCGGTAAGGTCCAACTTATTTGCATAGAATGCTCGCCTTGTGAACTCACCTTCAGAGACCAATGAAAAAGAAACACAGATGATTCTTATTGCAAAAAAAAGAGGAAAATAAGTTAAAAAATAAAAATTAGAAGTGGCTGGTGATCAGCTATCAAAAAAACTGCAAGGTTTTTTTATGATATTTTAGAAAACCTTGGACTAGTATTATGAGAGATGTAGGGCGCAGCACACCGTTGAGGAACAAAAGTCAGGATCACATTTATCCATGTAAAACCGGTGCAAATCTCTGCTTGCTTCGAAACTTCATATATCCTTACTTAGCTAATTCACCAATTTTTCTTCAGCTTAGGTCTGCTTGTCTGGCGAGTAAAACACTTGGTAAAGCTTAAATTAAATTTCTCTCTTGGTCATCAAAAACAAAAAAAAAGGTTGTTTCAACGTCAAACTTTGGATCCAAGAATTGACATTTCTGGTTTTCATATTATGATTAACTAGTAAGCTCCTTATCCAAAATCAGACAGGATAATAGATGAGTTGTGGCTAATTGCATGCATGTGTTGAAATACATGGATTTAAAGGAAAAATACTGCCCGGCAACATCACAAGGCAGTTGAATTTTGCAACTTTAGAGCACCTTTTCTCCGTGATCCCAGATTAGAATAAAACTGTGGAAAATTTTCTAAACTCAACTCATTTAATACTCTCGTATGAAACAATACCGTTTTTTTGTATTTCCTACAGAGAAGGGTTCTTGAAATCATTTTTGACTTGTATAGTGTAATATTGGTTCCAAGAATTAAACTTCTAGTGCCATTAAATATGAGCAAAGGAAAAAAATATCAACTTCTCTACTGAGCTTTCTGATTTAAAAAATGGAAAAATCACAACTGAGTTAAGCTCACTAAATTTACCTGGGCTTGCAGGCTGAAAATCATCCAGTTTACCAAGAGAGGTCAAGACCGACGAAATAACTGCAAGCCCACCATGCACTTGAAGTTCGCAACAGTGCTCTCCTGTAAAACTGGAGGGGGCTAGAAACAGAGAAAAAAATTGCAGTTGGAAAAGAATAATTCAATGAAAGCAGATGGTAAAATTACCCACAACCTACTTTTACGAACCAAAATGAGCCTGGACCAGAAATTGTTGTTACTTGATACAAAATAAGAACATATAACTACATACATTGCGCAAAGCTGAAATTTGGTACTATTTTGGATTTAATGAGGATTCATAAATAAGAGATTCTTGTAGGAAGACTTCAGTGCATAATACCATTCTTGAAGAGTGATTCCAAAATTTCAAAAGAAATCACAGGACGGAGGACGCAGTCCTTCGATCAAGGCATCCTGCTTGTTGTGCTGAAGGATGCTATTTTGGTTACAATTGAATGTAAAAACTTTTTATCAGGATGAACCTTGTTATACTTACTTAATTTATTATTAACGATTGTCTGAATACTTTGTTGTGACTAGCTTAGCAGACCCATCAGTACAGTGGACATAAAACAAAAGTGTTGAAGAGCATTTCATTGTAGACCGTTACTTCCTCTCTTGAGAAATTGGATTTCTTGAAATTTGCAGTTTGGTAGAGCTTGGGAGGAAAAGAGGAGACAGATGTCATATTAACATGAAAAAACAAGAGAGGAAAAACGGGAAATAAGGCTAAAAATAATAATAAAAGCCGAGACGTTTCAGGGTTTCAGCAATTTTCACTCGGAAGCAAACACTAAAAGACATAAATTTTTTCTTTTGAACGTCTTGGTTTTTATAATGTATTTTTAGCCTTGTTTCCCTCATTTCCCTTGATTTTCATGTTACTTTTGGACTGCTGTGTAAGAAATTTGTATCTTTATTATATTAAGAAAGTTAAAAATGTTAAAATGGGTAACTCACTTGCATGTTTTAATATTCTTTTTTTGCAGACGCGTTTCGGGCATCAGCCCATCATCAATGCTAGATAGCTGATTTATCTCATGACCTTGATCCTACTTGTCGTGTTGCGTCGTACAGCATGGTTGTCATGTTTTGCGGTTTTCTGGATGGCTTTAAATAAGGAAGTTGGAGGTGGAAAATCTAGGTTGAAACACTTTTCCTTATTCTTTTACCATGCTCTACGAGGCATCACGGATGTTCGACAAGTAGGATCAAGGTCGCGAGATAAATCAGTCTCGATCTAGCATTGATGATGGGCCGATGCCTGAAACGCGTCTGCAAAAAAAGAATATTAAAATGTGCAAGTGAGTTACCCATTTTAATATTTTTAACTTTCTCAATTATTTCTTGTGCGGCAAAAGCTCCCCTCAAAAGTATTTATTATATTAACCTGAATTTATCAATCATCAGTTGGCCCAATTGGTCACCACACGATTTTATGTTGAATGGTGCCATTCTCAGACGTGACATTTGTCTCTTCTTTTTTTTCCTTGGATCTAGTTTTGAATTGAATCGAAAGACAGAATATAAACAGCACTTTACCAGGAAACCAGAGTAATAATCCCTTATCCAACTTTGTTCGAGTCTCGGGATCCAGGATTGACAGGAGCAGAGCTTGTCGCGGTGGAGGTGGTCCTTTCAAGTTCGTCATTCTGCTAAAGACCTCTGCAGACTTTGGGCCTGACACTCTGATGACCGCCACACCACATTTTCCTCGTCCTAAAAGCAAGTCATGTATTCTGTATGGGATCAAAAGCATTAAGGGAAAGTATTGCAAAGTTTTTGACAGATATTTATAAGTTAGCAACCACACTGCAACTGCGTGAACTCATCTATTAATCAAAGTGCAAGTCGTTACTAGTCTTTCAGCGCTTTCAACGGACCGCGATAGCAGGAGGGGACCAAGTCACATAAGGTATTGTCAAATTTAATTAGGCAATTCAATTTTTAACATGAAAACAGTTGTGTGGATTTTCTTGCAATAAGCGAGTTTTCTCCTTAATACAAAGTAAATTCCTTAACAATTTGAAACCGATTTACCACTATAGTCCTCCTGTAAAAAATTAAATTGCTCGATTGAATTTGGCAATAGCTGAGATGGCTTGGTTCCTTCCTGCAAAACGCACTGTTCATCTGAGAAAACATGGATTTTAAATCATTCAACATGCATACAAAAAATATCCCTTTTCCTCCATTAACTTTTCATTTTACCAACTCTTCACTAAGCGTAACTTTGAGTGATCTTTCAGCATTTCGGGGTTTGGGTACCTACTAAATTTGTAATTAACTATGCATGACTTTTCCGGTTCTGGTTACACAATCTGCGACTAGTAATTCTAAACTCTGATTTAAAAATACAAGATTCTTCAGCTGCCAGTCAAACATAAGCCAGATGTAAAATGTAACTACAGATGATAGACCGAACAAAAGCGTCAGCCGGCCGATTAATAAAATTAAATGTTGGCATGATGTACTTACAAGACTGGAACAAGCTAGAGTGGAGTTATGCTGATTGACAACAGAAGCAGGTCCCTTTTTCAGGCTGAAAAATCAACTGGTTGTCAACCGGTAAGAAGGTGCTTTTCAGTGATCAATTCTTTAGCCCATATCATACGATCAAAGTAGAGCTCTCAATGTGGCGTCATGTAACCTGCCAGGCCCTCTAAGACTGTCAGGTCGACAATGCTTGAGGAGCACATGGCTCCGTGTTGATGCCACTTGGAGAGCTCTAATTTGATTGTATGATACGGGTTTAGAGCCTACCACAATCCCAGCTCCAAGTCAGCTCTTAATCCTAGTGCCAGGCATCCAATAACATGATTTCAAGATTTGGCATACAGATCTTTTGACTGCAAAAGATTAGGTTGGCAGTTACACTATCAAAGATAAGAGTAGGAAAATTTCAAACCTGATGATAACGCATAAATTGTAGACATGTGTCGAGTCAAATGGCAAGATTGTGCTAGGTTGGAAAACGTTTTGCAAAAATGGTGAAGAGTTCGCATGGCGTTGATTGCTGCGCACAGCCGCTTCAAAACTTACTATTCAGCCCATGCATGCGGTGACCTCTCTGGTTGATCGAGAGCGAAAGAAGCACGTCGCCAGTTCAGGCACCCCTTTCAGTGACACAAAAAAGTATTTCTGTTCTCGCACAAGCCAGGGAGACGGCGAAATCATCGCACCAGAATGCAAAACAATGCAGAAACACGTGGTACGATTTACACCAATGGATTCGGAAGATTGAACCAGGTTCTGTATCGACAGATAAGTTTAGCGGCTACTAGATCACGATTAGAACAGGATATGACAAAGATTTAGGTATAACTGCATTATAATTAGAAGTAAGTGGTAAAAATAGGCACGAAATCACAAAAGCGAACGATCTAGGTAACATTTCCAGGAACGCCAGGAACACAACAAATCAACATTTCAACAATGTTAGTTAGGAGGTTAGGAGGAGTTTGAGGTTGAGGAGTGTGAGCAGAGCATAGAGTACAATAGAGTCGCAAAGTATTGGAGCGCCGATGAAGCCAATCCATTAACAGGCGTTTCCGAGCCACTTGTGCTCCGAAAATAGTGAACCATTTGCGAACCCAACGGCATTTTGTAACACGGCGGCTTATGGAGAAATCAAGAATTGCTTGTGTTTTTTAGGTATTTTATAATTCAATCAGCATTAATTTTTGCAAATTTTGCTATTTAAAGGTAGTCAAAGCCATAATGAATCCATTGATGTATATTACTCCTGGATAATATTCATATTGGGATTTAATTTCTGACTTATACCAAGTGTGAACCAACCGGCATTT